CACGCGCCGTGCATCTTGAAGAGCTGGCAAGAATATTTTTCTTTCCGATCGAAAAGAATCTTGCCTGAATACAGGAATCTTGTCTGAAAGTAAAGAAAAACAAGAACCTGGAAAGAATAGAGCAAGATCGTCGATTAGTGTAGCATCCGCAAGTGAGACAGAACATTCTTCTCTCTTTTTTACTTTTCAATGGCCTTGTTCGCTGGTATATACAAACAGGTGGCATTCATTATCGGGCTTCAATAACAATAAATTAAGTCGACAAGCATGAGCTGTGGTGTACACAAAATTGAATAAGTTTCATCAAGTTGTAAAAAATGTTAATAGTACAACCATCTTAATTAGTGTGTAAGAGAATTCACTTAAACTACTATTATTCCATAAAGCAAAGATTTATTCTTTTTGAGTGATTTTGTTATCAATACAAAATTCAATAGGTAGTTTATCTAATGAAATGGATAATCAGAAAAACTGAGTCGACCCATGCAGATCACATAGTAATCTATTTATTTTCATTTTCTGTTCTGCTCCTGTATATATCAAATTTTAGTTCAATCACAAATTCGTTTTCATTATTTATCTAGCCGTATCTTCTGTGATAGAGTAACGTTTCAACTGAACGCTTTTGCGAACATCTTTGAGGGTAACAGTATGAACAGATCATTTTTTACCATAAATAGATCAACGAAATGATTCGATACTTCTATGAAATATATGATTTTGTTGTGCAAGGCTATCCAAGCTGTTGAGATCTGAAGTAATCGATAATTATTGAAAAAAAAACGAACAGTGACCATTTGATTAAGGTATCTTCTATACAAACTAGTCTCGTTATAATGATAGCATTTTCTACACGAAGCGGATCACTGTTTTCAAAGCTCATCAATAACAGTGTTTGTTTTTTGAATGAATATTATTGATTCATGCAAGCGAAGAAAACCATTGAAGAGCAAAGAAGAGAGAATAATATTATGTCATGTTTTCATATGCCATCCAACAGAACAAAAAAACGACTTTTGTTTGAATTCTAGTGCCACTTATAAATCTTATGAAAACTGTGCAGCAAGGTCTTTTGAGCAAAATATAATATGAATTCAAACGGGTGAATGTATTCTACCAGAATGTAGCCTGACAACTATGATCAGATATAGAAAAAAAATCAGCGAGGCAGTTTCATACCTAAGCATAAGCACTCCTCCGCTTTGAATTTCGCTATTGTGTTAACTTAATTGATTTATAGTATAAATAATTGATTTCAATGTTATTCTATCATTCTTTGTTTCATTTCTTGCATAGTTCAAATAAATACAAATATCGCCTGAATGTTTCAAGTATTCAGTATGCGATTACGTACTTATTCATATCAGAGAAGATCAAGGCAGGAAATTAGTGTTGGCGATAAAAAATTGTTCAAAAAATAAAGCCCACGATAAGTTTCTTTAAAAGAAAATAAGCATCACATCCAATTAACTTCCTGTAGTCTAACGATCTTTAAAATTTCAGAATATAATTCATTGACACGCTAATCGTTTTGATTACATGAACGAGAGTAATTCTACTAAAAAGCACATTTTAGTCTTTCCTCAAAATGATTTTAATATTTAAAGACGTTTCCTTTTCATGGAAATGAATAATTAGAATATGAGAATTTTATTCTCTATGAACTATGATGTTGTTCTATCTGAATGTTGTAAACTATTGAAATAGTGCATCTGTATCTATCACGAATATGTTCACTATTTTTGTTTCATTTTTTTGAGTTTGATAAAGAAACAAAAATTTACTGTTGTCTTCCAGCTACTTTCAAATTTATCGTTCAAATAGAAAGTCGATGGATCTTGTGTAGACTTAGAAACAAAGTTTTATTCTTTTGTTGAATAATATCAATTTCAAAATATTTTCATCGTGAATGCGTAATTGCGCTTAGAAATTGTTTGAAAATACTAGAAGAGAAATAGCAATTCTTTGAATTTACATTATGTAAAGTTTAAAATTAATAACTGATTAGTGTTATACATAAAAAAGCAACATTCCGATGAGCATCAAGTCATCATTTAACTCGCTTTAATTCTAAGATTATATAACTTATTGTAATAATAAATACAAAAGTGAACGAAGGACAACTGAGCAATGCCAAAGAGAATCTATGCAACAATCAGATGTTGAACAGCAAAATCATATTCGTTGGAATGCTGTAGACTACACATGCAGACTGAAGAAAAGCAGACTATATTATAATTGAGCTTCTTGGATTTAAAAATAAAGAATTTAAACTACGTAGAAGACTCGCTATTCAATCAAATTCAAACTTTACATTTGATGCTACTCGAACAAGCAAGCAGACAGTCATTCGGTTGGTTTTATTTGCTGAGAGTCAATTAGTAGTCTATAGCTACAGAAGCAAGAAACGACAAACATTTCTTTGCGACAAAAAAAATTCATATGACATCGACCGACACACATTTTCATTATCTCACCGTCGTTGTGTAAAAAACAATGACTCTGTCACAGGAAGACAACATATTCTCTGTCGTGCACATTGATTTTTAGCTTCAGAGATTTTTCTGGATGAACAAAGTCTCATTGCCACTCGACAATTCCCGAGAGAAACTATAACAATACCATATGCTTTATGGAAGTAATTTCAAATATAGAGAAAAAAGACTGATTTAAAACAAATGATTTTGTTTGGCTCATCAATAACAATCTGCAGATCATCGGTGAATGTTTTTCTTTAATATTATTTTTATCAAGCATTTTTCTTTTATGCCACTATGGCTTCGCTATTATAATTTTTCCCCATTCATTCACACTTAAAGTCACTTCAACTACTTGGATATGATTCATTAGATGACAAACTGGAGAAAAAAAATCGCTATACCTATGAAACTATATATAATAGGATACCATACTGCATTCATCATTATTTAAGCAACAGTTATGTTATTTCATGTCTTATCGGCTATCACTAAAATTCGACTAAACTTATCAAACTGCATATAAATGGCATCTAGCTCAAATCAAAGCGATAATTCCAATGGAAAAAAATATCCTGCGTCGGAATTTCGTAGATTTTTGGAAAAGTCAATTGCGTATATCGGTGAGGTTCGTCGTCATAAATTTGATTGTCAACTAGCAGCCGCTGCAGCTGCGTATTCACCTGGTCCGCGTTATTCAGATGACACAATCAAACAATACGCTAAAATCCTTGCATCACCAGATAATATTTATTACTATGGCAGTGCCGCAGCGAATAATGGTCATGATCGTACTTCAGTCAATAAGGTATTACAATCAGTTCGCACAGGTGAACGAGTCGTCTTAAGTTCGCACGAAGCGTCACATATTCGAGAAGGGGCAGCATGGTTAGTAAGTCATAAACATGAATTTAGTGAGGGTTTTATCAACTCGGTAGCGTCACTGTATGAAAATGTTTATGATGAAGAAGGACATAAAGTGGTTGATCGAAGAACATTAAAGTATTGAGAACAAAATAACGTATTATACTAGCTCCGAGAAAGCATTATTTTTAATCATGAAAATATTTAAATAAAATTAAAACTTCTGATTTTTGGCCAGAAGATAATTGTGCTGTATTGTGTTTGAGGCGATTTAAGATGAATTATTAACAGGAATCCAGCAATTGATAGATCTTTTGATCCATTTTAATTACAAATTTTTCAGATCGCTTGACTGATAGGATATCAGCGATGGAAGCGACAAATATGAACTAATTTATTAACGAAAATAATGCCTTTCATTAATTTTAATTTGCAATATATAAATTAAAGAACTGTTAGGTTTCACTGGTATGTCGCCTGTTCATTTCTCCTTCTACTAAAATATTATGAGATATCATAGAATGCAGAATTGCAAAAGTCTCAATTCAATCAAGAGTACAAGCACCGGAAATAAAATTCATCGAAAGAAATATATATATACTGTTAAAACATTCAGCAAAAAATATTTTCCAATCTATATAACTATTTGATAGCTTGGTAATGTACACTACATCGAATTTACATTCGTTTACTTAGACTATACGAAAGCAAATGACGATACCAAGAATCATGTTTTAGCCCACGGAGATGAAAAAAGCATTGAGAGCTCTATGCTGATTGAGAGTGGGTGTTTTCGATTGATCAAGTTGAATTCTCGTCTACGTATCATGGCTCTTTCAATCGCATTCACAGTATTCATAGTAATCGATTCACTGCAGAAAGTCTTCGCAGGATATTTATAGTTTGTTTGATACTAAAACATTGGACATAGTCTAAAGCAATTTATTACTTTTAAGAATATGATATACTAATAGGACGACGAATGGTTTCTATTTTTCATCATCAAGTCACCCTTATTCACAAAAATTCTCTGGTTTTCATAATTATTTATTGTATCGTGATGCCTACGCACTGTCTCTCATGTCATTAGACTCGTATTGACTGATTAATGATTAAAACTAATGAGTGATCCTCATTCGACTTTTATCAGTGCATACGTCTCTTATTGATGCGTTGACATCTAATACATTACCTGGTTGCAGCTTAATCTTGTATTAGCTGTCTCAAGTGTCTTTGTACTATTCGTTCTTGCATTATTTCATTGCTTTTTCAATTCTGTCAAGTAGTTTTGACATTTTTTTAATCAACAAATAAGAAAGAAAAACAGAACAATGGAAAACTACGTATTTCGTATTATAAATTTGATCTTTTTAAAACAATAAAAAAAAGTCAACGGACTACTATTTTATCCATAACTTTCAATAGAAATATTACACTTTGTTGACATGTATTTCACCATGAAAAAATTGAAAACGTCATGTATTCTCTCTAGACACTTTATAGGTTACAGGAGTGATTAAAACAACAGACAGCATTGCCAGTGCGTTTTCTAGCTCAATAGCGTACGGCGAATGAAATCTATGTCATAATCTGATTGAAAAAATAATCAACGCAACGAAAACATTGTGCCATTATTGAATCGATTTTTTCTTCGAAAAGTGCAACTGATCCGATTATTTGAATCCAGATTTTTTCAACTTGATCAAATGTTTCATGTCCCGAGAAAAACCGTAATTGTCAAAAGAATCAAAGTAATTGTAGCTTTCATTATCTTTTCGGCACACTGAATAAATTATTTTTCAAAGAATAAATCGAAATATTACATCTTCTTTTTCCACAGAAAAACTCTCTGAATATGGAGCAAAACCAGAAGAGTAGTGTGATCTCTACGACTATGAGTCAATCTCAAGCACTTCAACCTTCCGTCGATCTTCATTCTTCGTCGGCAAAGCCCTTAAATGTGAATCAACGAGAGCCACTATCCAAGAAATCGGATACGTTAGTACCATTGTTGAAATGAATCTATATTTACATATGGATGGAGTGGCGGAAAGTATTTCTCAGTGAATTTAATCTGATACACTCTTGCGAAAAATGTCCTTTAGTAGAAACGTTTTCCACAAATTGTTTTTTTTTTAAATATCAAATTACTCTGGGATATGTGATGTTTCATTTGAAAAACATCTCGATATATATTCATATCGTTTATTGCAATGATATATTTCGTTTTCTAGGGTATGGAGTTAATGCGAATGTAGGCAAAGCCGTCTACCCTTCGCATTTACGCGGAATAATTGCAGACGTGAGTCCATATCCATACATGCATATAACCTAAAATAGTTCTTACTCCTCACAAGTCAAAAGAAAGAGTTTTTATGGTTGATCTAATAAGAAGCCACATGACAGTGCAACAATTATTAATTGAATTTTGTTTTCATATAATGAAAAATAAAATAAATAATATCTCGTTACATCGAATTACTTAAAATACGGAATATTATTATTAGACGTTGTCTATGTATGATCGAATCAATGATTTAGTTTCGCCCAAGAAGCGTTCTCGTAGCCGCATTCATCAGAGATATTTTCATCAAGAGCATTACTTTACGGACAAAATTTGGGGAACTTTTTTTTGAAAGATGTTTAAGACTATGACTTTCTCAGTTATCATTTTACAGCTATATGAAATCTTATTTGTTTTAGTACTTCGAAGAAAGATGTCACCAGTGTGTGTTGGAAGTCATCGTCGACGTCTACTTATATGTTTCCGATTATTCTTACTTTTTTATTCATAACAATGGTACTTGCTGCATATGAGATTTCTACTGTATTCACAAACCAAAAAGCAACTACAATTACTGGTATAATTATAAATATTATCTTAAACCTTTATCACTTTGAGAGGAGATATAAAATAATTCGTTCTAAAATCATTTTTTTACTTTCTTTCGTGCGTGTCAGTTGATCAGTGTCGCAACGAAAACAAGTGTCAGAACCCAAAGCGTAATTTTGAATACTATAGAAATTTGTGGAAAATGTACTGTATACATCTATATGACGATATCATGATGCTTTAATCGAAATATCAACAATTTGACTCATGATTTGATCGTCTTTTGACCGGAAAAACTGAATTTTTCTCAGTGAATCTAAAAAAATTGACTGTAGTCAGAAACTTGCTCATCTTGTGTGCACCATGCGAAGCACTCGATGCGTACTAACTTCGTACGATTACTTGGCTTGATGTTCTTCTTTTCAAATCAACAATTTCACTAATCAGTAAATTTTGTAGGACCGACAACCACTAATGCGACTACTATGACGATCACTACTTCAACCAGCGTAACTACATCAGGTGAGTTTATTCTTTTCATTCAAATTATGGGATGGGTGTTTAGGTTCACATGAATTTCTGCCCATGGAATTTTCGGTTCATATTCTATTTCTACTCCAAAAAGTAACCAGCTTTTTAAAGTCAATTACTGGATGCTGTAATGCTTAGTAAGAAGACGTGCTGCTGAGTACAATAGCATAGTTCTCAGCGATATGCTTCAACTAGTACATGATGGAGTATGATTGTTTGAGATATTCCTTCGGTCTCTACAGTAAGTACCGATATCATAAGAGCGTACTTTCAGTAAGATGTGGATAAATATATGTGTGAGAGTGATGGTGTGTTGGTTGGGATGCAATTATTTTCCATGACCTCACCTCACACCCACCACCACTCTCCCGAGACACCCTTCTTTCTCGGAACGAATCACTTTCATTACTATTCACAAAGTTTGATGTAAGCCTCGATATTATGATCGAACAGTGATGTATTAGAAATTTGAGTGATGTCAGAAATTCTGTAACTGTGCTTTTTCACCTTGTAATTTCAATTTAAAAGACATTTTTAATATATTCAAAGCTCAACAGTACAAAAATTTACGCACAATATCTGTTATACTTTATGCCAAATTTTTCTTGAACTTAGTTTCTATTGTTAGGGCAAATTAGTTAAATTATTTTACTCGAATGGCGGTATGTAACTCATTCTGTATAATCTTCGAAGGAGATGAATGTGGATGTGGTGTAACGTAGGTTGGCTTTGCTTATATTTAAGGTTACAAATACCCGTAGCAAGCTTTGTCATATTATTTTTAAGAAGTGAGATCCGACAACGATTAGGATTATAAGATCAAGATTCGATTATTCATCACATTAAGAATGTGTAGGCGAGCTAAACTATGAAGTTAACACTGAATCATAGAGTTATTAATATGTATTTGACTCTTGTTCACAACTTGAGGAAATTCATGGTGATTTCCATTCTCTTACTGCAGATAGTGTATTGTAAACATTTTTATCATAAAAAAACTTTCAAGTTTCCTCTACATTTAATCTTAGATAATACGGAAAAATAAAACTATTCTGACTAATTTGACATTGCACAAAGCAAAGTTGTTATCAATTTCTAAATGCAATTATATTTAGTTACTACTTTGCCATTGGCTTGTTCATCTTACACGACGATAAATGATTCAACACGAAGTACGTCTTACACAAATTCCGCCGGATGTGATAATACTGTATTCGGTTCAAGTGGAACATGGGTTCGATTCACTGGTGTGGGTGGGACTCAAATACCTACATCACCACCTGCTACTAATAGATGTGGGACAGATGCGACAGGATGGTATAACGGCTTCATGCCAAATGCTAGCACAACTATTAATGGAACAGTATGCTATAATTGGTCTGGAAGTACTTGCAACTGGAACACTGCTATTCAAGTAACTAAGTGTAATTCCTTTTATATTTATAATTTGATCAATGTACCTATCTGCAATTTACGTTACTGCACTGTTTAAGAAACGCAAGACTAATCAAAATCTTTTTCATTCTCTGTTGTTTTCCATTGATTAACATATCCTAGCTGTTCCAATGATCTATATTTTCGAAGATAATGCTTTAAACGAAACTATAAATTTCTGCTTAGCCTTCTCTTTTTTTCACCATTTTTCTAGCCATAGTTTATTTAACCTCTCATGAAATAAAATAAATATGCTTCCAGCTCAGTGCCAAATACTTCAGCAGAATCTTAGGGATGTGCGGGTGGTGACAAGTCCGAGTATCACTGCAAAAACGTCTACGCAATCGGCGCAGAATGACTAGATTCTTATTCAGAGAATCAATGATTAAATACTAATATATGCTTGAGAATATGCGTCTGAGTAAGAAGTAGATTTTACTTATACAAGTACCAATCGATTTATTGTTAAATTATGCACAATCGCTTGATTGATCTGGTGTATAATTATTATAAGTAAGGAATGTATAATGGTAACAAATAACAGCCAGTGGTATAGTTACGCTATATTTCAACATCGTATATTTATTCAAATTTAATACCAAACCTTCACAGAAATTGAATTATATATGCTGCAGTATATACTTCAATTGATGAATATAAATGAGCCATTAAAAACTTCCCATACCATTCATATTTACACGATCCTGGGTATCATAATTCACGAATTACTACTATGCCTTATATTGTGTCGATTTTTTACCAGTGAGCGGTGCGACCTATATCAAATTGTATTTGTTCTTTTGGGGTGTGAGTGAAAGCAAGAAGAATTTGAAATTTTGATGCGCCTTGACATTGTCAATAGTAACAGGTCTTCAGTCTCTCAGACAACAAAAAGTAAAATTTGATTCAATTTACATTATATATAGGATTCGGAATGTGTATCATCAGATGAGAAGGTGGATTTGTGTTAGAGGGTTGATAGATGATGGTGAGTGTCAGTCTTGTCTTTTCTCGCTCATCGAGCCTCGTCGATTCTGAGAAGCATTTTAACATTCTACTTCGGTACTACTACGAATAGTGATGAATGCATCAAACATTTTGATTTTATTCAACGTAAAAGGTCTTCATTCTGTTTCACGCATTAGTTCAGTCGATCTTACTTTAATCTGTTTTCGGTGATTGGTACACTATATTGACAAGGCGACGAAGTTCGAACGTTTAATGTACCCAATTTTCGACAACGTTTTCCAATGGGTCGCAATAATCGACTTAGACAACGGTCAGATAAATTCATAGGGGGTGCATCAACTGTGACATTGACAACAGCTGAAGTTTCACCACATGCACACGGTAAATGTATGCTGTGGGCAAGTGCGCGCACGCATAATATTGTGGATCCTGGTCATAATCATGGTGGAAGTACAGGTCCCTTCGCGTACAGTCGAAGAAGTTTTGGTTTTTCACAAGCCCATGGTGGTTTTACTAATGACCAGGGCATTCATACACACACACAATCAACACCGACTACACAAGAATTACTATTCAAGAGTGAGGAACGTATTATCACGAAATACCAGGAGAAACAAGCGTAATTGGACAAGGAAAGCCATTTAGTATTATACCACCCTATCGAGCAATCAACTATATCATCTTCACTGGAGCAAAAGCTTACTGCTCATCATAGCTTTTCCCTTGTGTCAACATCGTTGAATTTTTTAGCGTATATATATATATAGATCAGAACATACTACAGATATGATTCAACGATAGTTTGTGTAAGGAAAAACTTAAGTTTAACAAGAAATCTAAACATCATGTCTCTAAAATAAAATTTTATTCGTATTTAAATAGTCAACTAAAATAAACGAATGATTTCCATACCCATAACATCTCTCAATAGTCAAAAATTGGATTTAAATGGTTTACATTTGTTGATCAAAACATTTCTATTATATAAATACTTATTGGATAGAAAAAGGAATATAAAACCTTATAACTTAATATTGAATGTCATTTCTTTTTTCTTATTTTACTCAAATACATAAATAAAGTGACAAAAATAAATGAACACCAAAGGAGAAAAATAAGTATATCGAAAGACATACTGTTTTAAAATAATAAAGAAAGAAAAGGTCGATTTGGTCATTAGTGATACATTGAACAAAAACAGTAATGAATAAATTTATAAAAAAACTATTCATTCATAAACACGCGTGTGTAGGAAAAAATTCGCTTGGCGTGCACGATTGAAAACATCGTGCGAACGATGCATCGATAACACTCACTGTGTAATCTATACATGATTGACAGCACCAAACTGTATTAATTCTTTGACAAATTTCTATCAAAGAATTGATCATGTTTTCCTAAGGTGGTAGAAACGTGACTGGCTGTGATTGAATATTAGTCCATGCTGTTGCATTATTACCATCGGTTAAAGTTTCATTGGTTGATGTTGGATTGAATTGATTTTGCGGCGCTTGATTTACGATAGGAGTTGTTGTAGCAGCGACAGTCTTTTTGGTATCAGATACAGAAGTTGAATTCGTTACATCGGGCGATATGATTGCCGTATTAAATGCTTTATCAATTGATTGTTCAACTCGTGTGTAATCATTCTAAAAGTATTTCACACGTTTTAAATTAAGAGAACAGAAAGACATTGTTTATACGAATAAATCCTAGATTATGAAAATATTGACTTCATCTGAAAGAATCTAACAAGCAATTCTCTAGAAGAGATAATAGGGAACAACTTGGACGCATTTATACGCACTAGCTAAAAGAAAATTTTCCATTTGTTTTTGATTTCATTACTGAAGAATAGAGCCATCAATTTTTATGCGTTTACATGAAAAGTATTTATTACGCGAGTTTCACACTAGTATGGCGATTACTAATGAGTTCATCTGTTCTAGCAGAAGATTTACTTAAGATGTCTAAATAAAAATCAGTAAATAACAATAGGCAATTTTGTTGTAAATTCGTATGGTTAGAAATCTCGGGAAAAAAAAGCGCTAATGAACTATAATTTTAAGATTTTTGTAAACTATCTCAACGGGTCCGCATGTTTTAATAGAAACGAAAGTGAAACTGAAAATTTTATTTCTCATCTTATGTCAGCAGGTGCTAAACATTAATATTGTTCTTAATAGATACTTTCTATAAGTGGCTTTGAATCTTAAATGTTATTCTTGGATAATTATCTATCAAGAAATGTTCGTAATTTATTTTTGCACGAAGTAGGATCCATTGAGATTCCAGCTGGCAATAACTGTTTCAAGGATCTTCTATTCGATTGAATTCAATTTATATCTTACCTCATGAATTAGACCAAGTTCTAGTAATTCTTTGGAAATCATATTAGGAGTTTCGTCTTGTTCAATTTCTGTGGTCATATCACGTTGCAGTCGATCTTGAAATTTGACGCTAATAAATAACTAAATAGGACAAAAGCAAAATTGAAAAAAAACTTGATCGATGCGGAGCTCTTTACCATGCATAAACCAGTTTCTTTTGTTTTTGTTTTACATTGTACATCAATAATACGTCGATTTTCTTTTTCATCAGGATTCGTCACAGGTGCCATTGTTGCATTAGAATTAGTTCCTGTTGATGATAATGCAGCTTCTCGTCTATGATGTTCATTATCGACTGCTACAGAAGAAGATCGTTCACTTTTTGTAATCGATGATGTTGTTCCAGCTCGAGATTTTGGCGAACTGTTGATCATCGTTGATAGATTTCCATCATTTAAATTATTCGAAAGAAGTTTCGATAAGTCCGTTATCGTCTGAGCAGACGCTAATAAGTCATTATCGGTTGTTGCAGATATTGATGACGACAACGATGATGTTGACGAGGTAAAAATTTTAATTGGATTAGCTGGCTTCGTTGCAACAATCAATGAACTACGAGTTGGATATAGAAGATGGTATGCTGTTATCGGGTAGAGACCATTTTGCACATCTTCCACCAATTTATCCAGATCGAACGATGGACAATCTTTGAAACTAAAAGAAGAATCGATGGAATTAACGTTTTGAATAATTATTATTTACGTATAAACAATCGGTTTAAAACCATCACGATTTGACTCGGTTTCGGCAAATACTTGATCGCTGGACATTGGATGAATGGTAGATTGAACAAATGTACGATCAGGATTATAGCCTATGAAAGAAGTAGTTAAGATGAAAAAATAAAATTATTTCATGTCTTACGAATATCATCGGCTAGTATGTGAACAGATAGAAGTTTCAATGTTGGTATTTCGAATAGAACTGGATGAAAAAGTAATTCACGTGCTGTTGGTCGTTTGAGTGGGTCGGTTTCAAGACATTTTAATATGAGATCCTATTTTAAAACAGGTTTTTTTTCTTCTAAATATTTATTATATAAAATAGTTTTATCTAACTTTTTGCACAGGGTCATCAAGTGCTTGAATAGCATCATTCACAACCTCGTCTGTTACTGAATGTACATCACCATTTCCACCAAGATCAAGATTGATCATCTAAACAATTTTTTTTTTGTTATAAATAATGAGTTTCATATAAAATTCATAACGGAGAAAGTTGGATATTTGAATGTGTACCGTGTTATATTACAGAAAACTTTGTAAATTAGAAATAAGAAAAATGTCAACGTTTGTTGTGGACTAATTGAATCAAGAATTTTTTACAATAGAATATGAATTCGACACTTTAATAAAAATTCAAAAGATGACAATAGTACTTGCCTCGAGTGTAACCATTCCAAGTGAATAGATATCGACAGCTGTTGTAATGAGACTTAGTTCTACAGAAAAAAAAACAGAAATATTTTCAAGATAGTTTCTTATTTTTATTAAGATCTATAGACCTGTATCGATTTCTGGCGCTTGAAAATGTAGATTTTTAGCTGCTGAATCCGATATACTTTTTACATGACGATGTAGTACATCTGGAGCGACTATATAAATAGAAGAAGAAGAAAAAAGATGTTTAAAATATCGATTATAAAAATGTACAGTGCAGAAGGAATTATTGTGCATTAAATAAACAATAGATGCATGATTTTGTTTACAAGGCAATAAGCACAAAACAAAAATCTATGTAAACACATTTACACCTACCGATTTCCAAATCAGCAAATGCTTTCAACTGAGGATAATGGACTATAGATATATACAGAGAGAGAGAGAGAGAGACAGAAGGAATTTAGTTGATCAAATTTTGATGAATACATGTTTATTCATGTATTCAAAAAGAAAAGTTGAACTTACTCGATCCAATCTTTAGTAGACCAGTGTTTTGAATAAATATCGTATCACAAGTTAAGTTACCGTGAATAATTGGCTCTTCACAAGAGTGTAAATAACTGTGAAAAAAAAGTTTAATGCGATCAAAATAAGTTTTTAGGCGAAGCTCGAATAAAACAAACACATTGGATCGAAAGGTTTCTACCTGGATCTACTAAATGAAGCCGATGGTGAGATCTCAGCGGGATTAAAATGTGAAACACAATATAGCTGTTGTTGTCAATCATAGAAACGTGTCTCTATTCTATTCATGTAGAGATACAGTTCTTCGTCATTCTTTTACTTAATGTTCTATTTATGTAATACAGAAGTAATTGATAAAACAGAATGACGTACAACATTTTTGTCCTTACAACTCAATGCTATTTTCAGATATGATTGCTCAAGAAACGAATAGACTCTAGTTTAGTGAACCCAAACAGTAGACTAAAAATATTTATTTCGACATACTTTAGCGCGGACAGTAATTGAATGCACCAACGTCTCCATGAATTTTTCGATAAATTTTGCTTAGTTTTTTTTGTTTTCCGCAAAAATAATTTCAATGAACCACTTGACATAAATTCCGTGATAAAAACAGCCTAGATAAAACAAAATATATAGAATCACCTTAGGTAAAGCAAACAAAAAGAGTAGTTCTATATGCTGATATTATCTTCACATATTAGAAAAATAAGGCATATAGTATCATTGAATTCAGATATCACTGTAGTGGATCTTACTCGTGGACGATCATCGTGTTTAATTCGATCTTGCCAATATCCATGGAATTTGACAATATTCATATGATTTAATTCGATTAGTTTATCAAAAACTTCACTAATTTTATTCTGAAAACAAATAAATAAATAAAAGAGCAATTGTCTTTATATATAAATCTTACGTGTTGAATATCACTGATTTTTCTTTCTGAAAATAGGACTTCGTTCCAAACAACTTCTACACCTTCTTCTGTATCCATTGCTAAATAAGAAGCATCAATACCGGGAATATCACGTTGAGCAACCTAGACAAAATAAAATGAATGCATTTGCTTTTTAATTTCAATAATAATAAAAATACGAACTGTTTCACGTCGCTTTTGCCACCGAGCACATGGACTTGCTTCAATATAAACCGGTTCATCTTCTTCTTCTTCTTCATCATCGGTGTCTTTTTTTTTTTTATTTGAGCCACTATTTACTGTTGTTTCAGTTGTACCACTGACATCTTTATTCTAAATAAACAAAAGTAAAAGAAAATAATGTTACGAAAATTCTTTTTCATCTAGTATTGAGAAATTTTCCGTTCTCACCTCTTCATCAATAGCCGCTGTTTCGTCTTTTTCCTGATTCATTGTTTATAAATAGGTATTAAAGCGAGTCTATTTTTCTTGTTGTTTATTTTTTTGTGGAGAGTAAAAAATTAAATTGGAGAATACATAAAAAAGAAAGAAAGAAAATGTCGCTGCTTTTTTGTGTCTGTTGATTCCCAAAAATATTTCTGTATATTCGTCTTTGATAATAATGGATAATAAAAGTAGCAGAATGGAATTCGTCAACACTCATAAACGCTGTATGTGAGGAAAAAAGGAAAAAAATATTACACGACCACAACGATCGAATGGCGATGCACGTTTTCAATCCATAAGTAGAGGGCGTGCTGCATAGAAGAGGAAGAAAAGATCATTCCCGTATTTAAACCTAGGCTTGTGCTTTCTTTTTTTTCTTTTTCTCGTTCTTGTTCCTACTCTAAAAATAATACAGATATAATCATTGTTTTTTGTACCTAGAGTATTCCTAGATATTTTTCCCTGCATGTTTACCTTCATATGTCTCAAGTTTATAATATTTTATCGAAAAGAAAGGAAAATATTTGTCTCTTCGTATGATCGCTTGTTTTTGTTGTTTTGAGACGAAGAAACTATCAATAAATATTTACTCATGCATCTATTTAAGATGTTTAAATCTCTTTCCGAAAGCATCTGCCTACCGGTAACACTGAAAAATTGTTTCGTTTATCCATCACTATGAGTTTTGACTGTGATCATTGATAAATGTCGAATTCATTTGCTTCAATCATTTTAAAATGTTTTTCTGATGAAGTGCAATGTAGATATCGTTTTTTATGATCAACACCACGATGCCCTTCTAGCGAAGATCATTGGATTGGTAATCGAAATAACTCACAAAAAAAAAAGAAAAGAAAAAGAAATCAATAAAAACACATGTTGTTATATTCATTTTACAGTCTGAATTTTAAGAGAGAAAAGAAATTCTTTTTTTTTTTCTTCGATACTGATACTCATTATCCAAACATGCATAGGAAACATATGTTGCCTTTTGTTTTTGCATCATTTTGTTTTTAAGAGTACTACGGGTTCAGTTCGAAAAGAAAAGTAAAGATATTTATGATGGCATTGCTTCCGCTCGTTCTATGAGATTTTATTTCTATACAAACACAAGAAATAAAATCTTCTCACGAGATCCCGTACTAGAATTTTTTTTCTTTACCTTCTCTCCACTGCGATGATTATGGTATTCCGAACTTGTTCGCTGTAAAGTTACGATTCGTCGCATGATCGATATTAGGATGTGTTTTTATACATTTGATACATGCATTAATGGGATGATGACACTATTTGAAATTGTCGGATATTCAAAGATATTGTTAATTGCAAATGAAAGATGGATACGACGAAAGCAAAAAAGAAGAGAAAGTGAGTTAGAGTCAGATGGGATAAATGCAAAAAGGAAAACCGAAAATAGAAATGCTTTCACTTGGAGAAATGTAGAAAAAAATTCTTTTCTATCAATCAGTCAAAAACGTTTTGAAAAATATAGCACCACGAGTTAGTGGTGATAAATTTCCTGAGAGTCACAACAGAATTATACATTTACCCCGTTAGAGATAAACGTGTAATCTTGCTGATATTAGGAGGGGGTGGGGGGTAAATGTATAATCGCAACCATTTTATCTACTATCAGTAAAACCCAAAGATTTCTAAAATGTTAAAAACGTTATGAATATTTTTTTATGAAAAATATCCGCCTTCAAAAGTTCTACAAGGCTGAAGTATTTCATGACACAATTTTTGTTACTATGTAGATATCATTTAGACAGATCAGTCAACGTAGCAAAAAGTCATTTTTGGGAAAAGACCATTGTTTAAAACTAGCAACATATTGTGAATCAGCATGACATTCTGAGTAAAATGATGCATTTATTTCTGTTGGAAAACAACTTTCATTCTTTTTTTTTGGCATGTTTTTTTGCGCCTTTACGGGATCCCAGGATTAAGAAAAATAATTCTCTTTCATTTTCTATCGAATTTTACATCATTCGATGCAGATTTGCAATATTAAACTATAATTCAAAGTTAGCCAAGTATTTGGGCGAGANAATGAATTAAGTTTTTCTTAGAAAACATTAACCATTAATATTAATGGCTAATGGAAGTCATTAATTAATGTCATTAATTAAGTTCCGTTAAAAAAAATGGTCCACCCCTAGACCCCAGGATTGACAAAAATAATTCTCTTTCATTTTTCTACCGGCTGTTATATCATTCGATGCAGAATTTTATGCTGATTTGCAGTATTAAACTATAATTCAAAGTTAGCCAGGTATATGGGCGAAAAGCATCCTGTGATGTGCCCATGATCAGATGACAAAGTAATATTGTACAAAAGTAGAAACTATTCAGCACATGTATAGCACCGTATTTCCCATCAAAAAGATGTGAAAAATCAGTTTGGGACTGAACAATAATGTCAACTTGAGTTCTTTAAGTATTATAATCAGCTGTAATCTATGTTTATAACACTGAGTTTCCCACGGTTCATCATACTCTTTATCTTTTATCAAAGTACGAGGTAATATTCCGAATCAGCATAAAATTCTGCATTGAATGATATAAAAACCGGTAGAAAAATGAAAGAGAATTATTTTTGTCAATCCTGGGGTTCCCTACAGGCGCAAAAGCCATGTCAAAAAATGAAAGTCGTTTTCCAACAGAAATGAATGCATCATTTTACTCAGAATTTCATGCTGATTCAGAATATGTTGTTAGTTGTGAACAATGATCTTTCTGAATGAAATCTACATAGTAACAAAAATCGTGTCACGAAAAGTACTTCAGCTTTCTAGAACTTTTTAAGGCGGATATTTTTCATAAAAGATTTATTCATAAATTTTTAGCATTTTGGAAATATTTGGATTTTACTGATAGTAGATAAAATGGCTGATATTTTACATTTACCCTCCCCCCCCTCCAAACATCACCAAGATTACACGCTTACCTCAAACGGCCAAACTGTATAATTCTGTTGGGGCTCTCAGGAAACTTATCACCACTAACCCATGGTGACATATTTTTCAAAAGTCTTTTGACTGGTCGATAGAAAACAAATTTTCCTACATTTCTCCAACAGAAAGTATCTCTAAATAATTGATGATAAAAAAAAGATACAATAGAAATAAAAAGCATCTTCGATTTTCCTTTTACATTTACTTCATCTGAGTCTAGATAATGTAGAGTTAATTTACGGTATACATATATTTCTATTCTGTAGTTTGCTGTCAATCAAATAATCATAGTGGAAAGATACGCAAGATCTTCTATATCTGGCATAACAATGTCCTATACGATTTGCAAATAGTTTGTCTTCATTTACACATGTCAATGACTGATAAGAAGAATTCGTCTGCTATTGTTTGCGTCATCGTCATAAGTCAAATAATTAATCATTGTTTACACAACAAATATAGATAGGTTTTGTTTTTCCCTCTTTTTGTTTTATTTAGCGTGTTTGTTCTATCTCCAAACGAAATTAACAAGAAAATAGTAAGAAGCAAATACATATAGAAAAAGGAAAAGAAAAGAAAACTCAAATATAAAATTCACGCTGTTCATCAGCTGCTGTTAATGGAGATTTTTTTCGTTTTCGATTTTTATGTGATTTTACATTATCGGTTTTTGATCCGTGTCGTGTTAGTGATGTCGTCAAAGAAGTTGCTGTTGAATGATTATTATCTTGATTGCGTTCACCGGGTGATGGAGTTAATTCAACAATTAATGGTCGAAAACGTTGAGCTTCTTCAACTTCATAAACACCAACATCTTTTCGACGATATTTTATAAAAGCACAAAGAGCAGACAGTAAACAGAACAGAATTCCACATAAAACAGGAACTACGATTATCCAAAGTTTTGGCCTAGAGAAAAATTTTCTTATTCTATCAGTAGTACGACTTCGAATAGAAATAGTCAATGGTGGATTTTTATTATAAGGAGTTGAATTAGATGTAAAATTTGCTGATGTTAATGTTGAAAAATTACCAAATGAATAGGAGACTGTTGTAGTTGAATAGGATACGGCAGGCCGCGATATCAATGAAGTAGAATATAAAGATGACGATGAAGATGATGAGAATTTATGTGTTGGTAAAAATGTTAGAAGTGTTACATTAGGATATGATAATGAACGTGCATTCGTATCGGATGTAACTACACATATCGCATCATAGGATTCGGATGAACATAATGAAGATATAAAATCATTTTGGTTTTGTAATGTGGGATAAATAATTGATGAAAATGAAGAAGAAGAAGAAGAAGAAGAAGAAGAAAACATTTTGTTTTGTATTGGTGAATATGATATACGTTGGAATGTTGGAGCAATCATATCAAATACTGGATAGATATCAGATTCAAGACCGTAAAGTTGACCCTGGAAAAGAAGAAGAAAAAAGTGCATCATTAGGAAACATAGTTGAAAATGTTTTAATTAGAAAATGCAAAAGATTAAAGCACTCATCTATCGGCCTACAATAAGTCACTGCTGATTATGTTCAGGAGTATTTTTTCTGCAATGTAGTTTTTTTTGCCTCTATCTTGAAAATCAGCCCTAGAATTTGACAATACAACTTACACTCCTAGACTATGTTGAAATAAGATCTAAGTACAAATATTTATCACTGAAGGTTTTTTTGAACTTTTCTTTTCGCAATAGTGCATAGAAAAAAGTCGCGGAGAAGATTGAAGTAGTTGAAAGAATTTTCTATCACAAGAATCACTTGCCGAGTTTCCATTACTAGATTTAAATGAAAAATCTCCTCAAAAAATAATTCACTAATTTCAATCGAATCGTGTTGTAAACATGTTCAACTGGCTGAGAGTACCTTTTGAACTAAGTAAAACGACTAAGAGCTCTTGAAACACCTGTGTTCAGCGAATTTCCCCTCATTCACGAGAGACACCTTAAAGTGTGAAACAATAAATTTTACAGAAATTTTCATGAAAACGCTTGGAATCATCTATTTTTGTTTAGACATGTGTTTTCTATTGGATGAAATTGTTTGGGCAGGCGTTTTCATGGAACTGTAAATACTATATTTAGCAATCTTAATTCTCTAAAGATTTCTCATCATATCGACTCATGCTAATTTGATTTCTGTAATAGAAAGTAGTTCCAGTTGATCGAAATTTTTCTTTTTTCGCTTTAGAATCGAGATGATTTGGATCATGTACGACCTAATGAACGTTGACTATTGTAAAAGAATAGAGTGCTTGCTCTTAGCTTATTACTTGAACTCGATGGATAGACATCCTTGTCGGAAAAAGTCATTTACGAATTTTGATTTCAAACTATAGAACTCTTAATGAGTATAGTTTGATGAGAAATTCAGATGTTTTGCTCTTTCTATTTGTTCTAGGTGATATCTTTGATGAAAGTGTTTTCTTTTGCATATCGCTGATATAACCTCGTAGACTCGATGTTCTAATCTCAGTATAGAAGCATATCAAACGGTCTACTACCGTAGATTATTATCATTTAGATCTGCTACGGTATAACTCTGTTGCAATTGAAATTTGTTGAATCAACTGAGTGGTATCTCTCGTCAGATTATTATTTTTTTTCCGATAGAAAACAATAATTTCTCCTTTTGATTAAAAAATTTAAGCTAGCGAATATCTTATTTTGTCACCTGAAATCCATGTCGAAAAGCTGGATTTTGTCCAATCAATAAAAGTAAAGGTTTATCAAATGATAATCGAGATGTTAATTCTTTCAAAATTGATTTATTATCAACATTTAAATTTAAACAACCACTTGAATTATATTGAATTTGTACGAGATGATAATAACCATCGTTAATCATCACATCATTTTCTACAAATTCATTATCATTATTTGTATTAGCAATCAGCTTTATTCTAATATGTCCACGATGTAATTCGATTTGTATTTGATCACTAACACGTATGATTTCACCTGTAATCGTTTTTGTTACAACACCAAACGATATTTTATAAGTCAATAATCTATTATCGACTTGAAATGGTTGATCAAATATTAAGCCAGCTGTATACTCACTGAAGAAATAACCAGTTCGTAATTCCATACAGAATTCTCCTTGAAAACTTGTATGTTGACAATTACATTTCATACGGCCAATGCAAATACCCGTATTTTGACAATTACGCAATGGACATTGAGAATCAAGAAAACAATCATTTCGTATTTGAGAACTTGTTTTAATGTATTCATGAAAATTTATTGAACGACTATTTATTGTTAATGACGCTAAACATGTTTTCAATGTAGCTATATGGTTAATTGCTGGAATATCGGATGATAAAAATGATGGCCGACCAAAATAAATTGTATCAATAAAATGTATGGATGTTAATAGGTAATATTCAAATGAATCAATCATTAATTCTAGATGATAATCGCTACTGCGATGTAAAGATATGTGATGCCAATGGCCATCATTGAAACGTGTTTTTGTTTGAATTTGATGAATTTCATCTTCATTTTCATTAGACGTTGCAAGAATAACAATTAAATGTAATTGACCATCCACTAATTTTATAACTAAATAGTGACCATCTTTTTCAAGTCTATTATCCAGTGAATAACTTAAAATTAAAATAAAAAGCAATTTTAAACATTCATTCTTAAAACCATCTTTTGTTTTTATTAATCCGAAATATTCTAAAGAATATATATATCTGCCCCTTCATCTCCAGTGTGTACCATGGCGAAAAGTGTTCACGCACTTACTTCATCATGGCACGGAGATTATGAAAGTTTTAGCTCTTTACATTTTTTTCTCTCTAAGATTTTGCTACTATGATAAAATATCACAACAACTCGTTAATTTCCATATTTTCTGTTTGAATAAATGATGCATGCAACTTTCAAGAATATTTAGTTCTAAACCTAAATTCCCATTGGAATAACGTTTGTCTTGTGGTCCGATAAAAAATCTATTGAGGGGCAGTGCACAGTGATTGATTGTGGCATTAGAAACATTCATCACTTAAACCGTATGTCAATTGAATATGATATACAGTACGAAAGTACGAAAAATTTACACCAAGGTCATAATTGTGATTAAGAAAATAGCACACACATCAATCATACAATATGCATTCAACGTAATGACATTTATGAATAGCTTAGGTGATACAATCAAGTATTTACTTTATTATCGCAATTTATCAAAAATGTGGGTTTCTTTCTCCAGCCGTCTCGAATAACATGCCTTTATCTTTACTTCTTATTCGGTTATGCTAAAGAATTTTTTGTCATCAAACAAATAGACATATATATAGAAATATCATTTTTCTTCATTAATAGTCTGCATATATAAGATATTATATCAGACAATCAATATTTTAAATTTCTTTACCTCATTTTCGGGCTGCTTGTTTGAATATTAGCAAATAGAATTAGACCAGTTAATTCTGTTGTACGAAAATCAAAATAGAGCGTATCTAATTCACATTCTTGACAAACTATATCATTTAATGATATTGTTATATAAGAATCTCGTTGTTCATAAAATGATATAGAATTTAAAGGTTTCCATGTGCGATGTTTTAGTTGAATTTGTTCATATTGATTATTTAAAAAGAATTTTGAATTTATCGATTGATCATAGATACGCAAATCTTCGATACGTATTTGTTTATTACCATTGAATATTAACCATATTGTTGATAATGCTGAAAGGTTGGTTTCAATTAGATTCATGCGTTGTTGAGCTATATGATGATCAATATGTAATAATAATTTTGTATCAACACGGTACAATTGAATATAATGCCATTGATTATCAAGTAGCAAAGGATGTTCTGTTGTCATATTTATTGTCGTATTGGAATAACGAAAATTTATATTTAATAATCCATTGCGAATTGAAAAACTTATTGAGTCACATATTAATATTTGACGACATGGACGTAGTTCTAGGAAATTTTCATGATCATGCATAGCCTAAAAGAACAAAAAATAAATAGATTAAAGCTTTCAATGACTTTTTGGAAAATCTATTTTAGACTTTGTTTAAATCATGATTCAGTCCGCCCTCACATACTATGATGGACAGAACCGACAGGCAGCAGATCAATAACGGCCGTTTATAATCAAATATCTAGTTTCTTATTACAGTTTTGAAGGATTAAGTAAATAACATGTGTTCCTACATTGATAAATTTAACAGTCTTTTCGTAATTATCAACAGAAGCTACTTTTTTGTCTTTCATTTTTAGTCCCAAAGGATAGGACCAGCGAGCTCGTTTTTTCTCCAAAGATCATCGCAGGCTGTAACGCTTGTCACAGTCCTTTTTTTTTCATTCTATTTTTATGCTACGGAATCAAGCCGCAAGTTCTATATCTGGAAAAATTCTTTCATAATACTCATCTGATTATTATACATCTTTTTTGAATTTTTAAAAATCTCAATTCTTCTAAGTCAGAGGCTACAGTTTCCTATGCTCTTTGAAAATGAAAGCTTCTAATTTGATGTCCTATACCGAAAAATCCCTATACCTGTAATCCAAATGCAATATCATTAACTTGTTCACTCCATTGTAAATTTGTATTTAATTCGAATGTATTAATTTTAGTTAAATCTATATGATAGGTAGCATGTTCACATCGTCGACCAGTATAACCAGTTTTCGAACAATCGCACGACCATATTCCACCATTGTTTAATCGACATTCACCACCATGTTCACATGAACATTCACGTTTTGATGATAATGTCGTTAAACATGGACCACTTTTTGGTGCCATATTATTATTTGTATAGTTTATATATTTGGTTAAGTTAATTGCTTCATTATTCAATTCAAGATCTGAAAAACAACCGACTAATCCACGACGCATTATACCAGACCAAAAGTTATTTGGTAACCATTGAATATTTGGATTAATACCACCAATAGTCAGTTTATGTAACTAGAAAACATTGAGAAACATCAATAAACTAGTCAATTCAATGTTTAATCGCATAGACAAGAATCAATCTTTTACAAGTTATTTTTAGTGTCTATTATATTATTCTTAGGTCTTAGAATTTCATTGGTAACCATCAGATTATATCAATAGTCGTATATAAATTTAATTGAAACAAGTATTGACAAACAATAGAGTTAATAAGATAAGAACTATAATTGTTGTTTCATCTGTTGTATTCATTCTGAACAGCCAGATGTTAAATGATATTCGGCAATAGTCAATAAACGATTACTTATTCATCTAAGCATGCATTTATATTCTTAACAATCCATGAAAAGGCGGCACCACACATAAATCAAAGCAATTGTATAGATTCATATGATTCAATTGTTATACATCGATTTATTTTCAATCAATTGTAAAAAAAAAGTAAAAACTTTCTCTTTTTCCTTTTTTTTGTTGTTAATTATAAAACGATCAATATGAAAGATTATTGGAATTTACTTGTCCTTGCATAAAGCAATCCCGCAGATGTATAATTCATGGTCATGTATATTACTGTATGTTCATACACAACTGTCGCACACAACTGTTATGTACACAGAGTTCATATTAATGTTACATGATGCTTTTTGACTTGTGACACTTCATTATCGGATTACGCAATTTCGAAGTCTCGTATCGATCTTTATGTAGAGCTCAATCAGCAATTGAAAATAATTGTAGATTTACTCTCAATTCTTCTGATTTCACGCTACTATAACTATGAGACAATAGCGTGTCTATTATCTCGTTTAACTAAACTGTTCGATTTGATGATCTTATTTCATGATAGAAGCAAATCAAAAGAACTCAAACGTTCACAATCCACTTGTTAATGATTGTCTCTATGGAAAATTTTCAATCGCAAATCAATTTTCCTGAGGACAGTCATGGCAGTGATTTATAAAATGCGGTATCGCCGTAGGGATAAGCTAACGACACGAATTCTTTTCAATGTAGTTTTTTATAACTCATTTAGATCTACGCAATCTCAACTTGAAAGCAATTTATCGTCTGCGGAACTTCGTTTGTTAGTTCTAAACCAAAGAAACCACATAGATTGAGTGACTTTTCTATCGGAAATTAAGGCTGATAGTTAATTAGTATCAATTGAATTTATCAAAATTGATTATGTTATAATGTTTCACCTTGATAATTCATCGTGTAGGAAAAAACAAAAAGGAAAGATCCTATTATGATTATTTATGACTTACTTGAATTTTCGATTGTGAATTTCTAAGTGTAATTCTATTACTTTGTCTATAATTCATTGTAACATTAAATTCTATGCCACCTTGATAACCTTGTATGTGTAAAAAAATGAAATGTGTTTGTCCATTGTTTAGACGTTGTTGAAATAATTCTTGTCGTTGTTTTTTCTTATTTAAATTAATTGTCAAATAGAAAAATCCATCAATTAAATCAAATCCGAGAAAATCATCATTATATTTATTTGTACTATATAATAGAATAGCGTCCGATGAGTATGTTTGAAAATGAAATGATATATTTAATTGATAGTTTGTCATTTGTTGCACATATTCCGGTAAGTCAAATGATATATACGATGATGAAATAAGAAACTCAATGGGACTTAATAACGATGAACAACGTAAACTATTTTGATTGATTTGTTTATTTAGAAAATGATCACTTATAGGATAAGTTAATGTATCATTGACAACAAATGTTATATCTTTTAGGCAGCCATAGAATTTTTCAAAATTTTCATTGTTATTTCCACCGATAAATACTTCAGTTAAATTAAATAATTTTTCTATGTTCATATCACTGTCCAATTGTAAATGATATTCATCGATCATCATTGTTAATTGTTCATGATTACGTTTTATTTGTACATAATGCCATTGATTATCAACAAGAAAAAGATCTTTTGTCGAGGATTCATACCATTGATTATTGTAACGATATTCCATGATGATTTGGCCCTGTTTTAATTTAATGTATAGATTTGGTTCAGTTAAATGAAATAGTAATGCATTATAGTGATTTGTTTTAAATTGAAATTGTATTATTTCGTTTACACTTGATAATGATGGATTGAAATTATATTTTAAATAATTTTTACCATTAAATGTTAATTCATGTGGTTTACGCTCGTGCTCACAATGCTCACCTTGATAATCGGTTTCATCGCACAAACATTTATAATTAGTATCAGTAACTAGACAAATACCAACACCACACGGTTGAGTTGAACATTGAGTATTTTGTATGAGAGAAACACCGCCTGAGATTTGTAAATGAACTGGTTGAATAAGACGAGAGTTGGTACAATTTTTATAGATTAAATTACGCAATCGACCACGAAATCGTGGTTGCATGAAAACATCATAGGAGGATAGATTTCCATTACTTGGCCGTTCCAATGCTGCTGGAATACCTGAGGAAAAGAAAAACGCACGTGAGCATTAAATTACTGGAGAATAAAAGCTCATTTTTAGAAATGCACGAGAAAAATCGACAACGTTTTTGTTTTTAATGAGTAGCTTTACTTCATATCGTAAAGCTTTGACTTAACTGTAGCTATGGAATATTCTTACAAGAACTCACTAGTTTTGATTCGATTAGAAATAAAAAAAGAATTTTAATAAAATACGCTCGACAATATTTCCAGGATCAATAGATTATTCGATGGAACTTTTATCCCTAACGGAAAAAAAGGATGAATGTTCTTCCGTTGGTAGGTTTAATTATAACAAAAAAAACTACATCTATAACAGTTGTTATTTAGAAAAATTCTAAAGTCCATTTTTGTCAATCGTATTTTTCCATTGGAATTTAACAGAAATCATCCGATAATTATTAGGAACATTATGTTTATTTTTTATGGCATTCTGTTTTTCCTCGAAATGACCTTCGAAAAATCATTATATATATATATATATATATATGTAACATAAACTAATGTCGATGTTTTTTATTTGAAACGAAGTTCTCTTGTAAAACTAAATTTACCTCCAAAATAAAATGGTGATGCTTGATATTCATTATGTGTTGTACCACCAAAATATAAATCTTCAGAATAGCTTATTGTTGAACTCGATGCTAAACCATTGTCGATACTAAGTGTTGTTATTTGTCCATCGCGTTTTATTAAAATCGTATGCCATTGATCATCATTGATATTCATATTAACATTTAACGCTTGTCGATCACTTCCCAAATTAAATAAAAGACGTAGTTTACCTTCGATTAATTTTAAATAAAAAAAATCAAATTTTCCACGATCATCTATGTAAGCAAGTGTGCCGTCATGCGCATTTGTTCGTAGATCAAAACGAACATAACCATTAAGACATGGACGCCATGAATCGAATGCAACATATGAATTTGGTCCAGCTGAGAAAACTAACGTATTTGATAGTGAGGAAGATGTTGAATTAAAAAGAAATAGATTTAAATAAATAATTATAAATAAAAAGAAGATCATGTCTACTATGTATATAAATATGTATTTATATGTATATATATATATATACACTGTATTCACGTTAATTCAAGCTTAAAAATAAACGAAATGATTATATTATTTATTAATAATAATAATAATTGATTACATGATGATAACATTATTTAGCGTTTTTATTTTATAGAATCTGAAGATAAAAAGAAAGAAGAAAAATATAGAAATCTTTTTTAGTGTGTATATATGAATATACATAGATATGTGTATATATATAACGCGCAAATAGACCTGTAGGCTTGTTTTGTAATGAAAGTACTGTGTTGTTATTCACATAATTAACTGTCTTATATTACTATATTGCCAGAAAAAACATTTTGACATACTCAAAGACACCGTCTTTACATGGCTATTGTATAAAATAGGGAAAGGTCAGCCACTTTTCGAGCTTTTCTTCTTTCTGCCATAAGCTGATTACATAAATATGTATATATATATATATATATATATAGAGAGAGAGAGAGAGAAGAAGACCTAATTGCCCGGGTGATTATCAATTTGCGCATACGACCTTGTTCAGATATTCACCTAACTTTTATTCATGCGAGAAAATCTCATTATTTTCTTTTTATGTTTTTCTATTTTTGATTTATACTACACACCTGACTTATTGCTGTTATTATTATTATTATTATTATTATAACTATTATTCCGAACAGTTGTACAATAGACTATTGGAGTTATCGAAATTATATGGATGATCAAGCGGAGTAGGAGAGAAATGAAGGAGAAATTTTCTTTCGACACTGCTACCAGTAGCAATAGTATATAGTATAGCATGAATGATTACGTACGATGCAAGCGGTTGATTTCTTTTTTTTCTCTTATTCTCTCCCCCTCCCTCCGTAACCGTTCTCCCTCTCCTGTCCCTTGCGTTATTTCATCGTCAGTAGGTTTTTTATATGATTTTTCTGTTGTTACTACTGCTACTGCTGTTGCCTATACATTTCTGCCACTAATTCTTTGGCATGTGGTGCCACACAACGTACAAGTAATCGTTCTACGTACCGTATCGTAATATAGAAACAAGAGCGCATACAAAAGTAAACGACAACCATAGGCTCCACTAATCATCTATTGCACTCAATGATAAATAATTTTCGCATATCGTAGAAATAGAATCAAGAGTCAAAAAGAAAAACGAGAGAGAAATAAGCAAAAAAGAGACAACAGACATTGACGATGGATAGGGTAGAATTAGAAATGAGAGATGAGAAGTGCGAAAGAACGGCGCGTTGAGTTGGAGGTATCAAGATATTAAGATAATTGACAAGAGAGTAGAAACTGATAGAAGACGATGCAATCTATCTATTGGAAAGGAAGTCAGATCGATTTGCAAATTGAATCATTGCAAGTGGCAAACGTTGCTGATTGACCATAATTTTTTCCTTTCCTTTTCTTTCTCTCTACTAAGCACCTCGTCTATGTTGATCTAACTTGAGTACGGTAATGATGATGATGATGATGATGATGTTCTTTATTTGTGTGTATATACATAAGCAAATGCTGGCGAAGAACAGAGAACATAAGAATAATGAAAGTTCAAACGGAATAAGAATAGACCGTCATGGACCGCCTGCTACGTTTCATCATATCACACGCTTTGTAAATAAACACCAGAGATTCACTACTGGGTGGGATGTTAGAACTCAATATCAAGCCAATTTGATGTATATTTATGTGAGTACATACGTATGCATGTAAGCATACGGGACAAAAAGCCCACACATACATACGGTATAAGAGTCATTAGTATATATATATATATATACATATAAAGTATAGGAACACAAATGTTTCTTCACACTTTTTGACTATTCTATACTCTGACACAATGAATGATGAGCAACTGAGTTGTGCATCAAGTAAGATCGAAGGAAAAAGAAAAATATGCAATTATATTAGTATTGCTCAACAATGTGTCTACAATATGGATATCGATCTTTGTAGTGGCAGTTCATTAGTGAAAATACACACATAGATACACACACACACACACACACACATATATATATATATATATATAGTATGACATCATGTCTATGTAAAGCTTCATAAAAAAAGATTTCCCTATAGATAGTTCTTTTCTTGTATATGGCACGATCATATATCGCAGCATGATACTTCTGTCAAATGCCCGAGTGACAGAAACGTTTTCTGTCTCTCTCATATACGTAGTAACAACGATGACGACTGAGATGCAAATGGATCCGACAGATTGTTTTCAACGTTAAGGGAATGAAAACAAACAGAAATATGTTGCGTAGCTCTACAAAGCACTTATCGAATCATCAAGATAGCTATCTACATTGGCCCTGACAGAAGCTGTTCTCTAGTGTGTACTACTAGTAATATTAGTAGTTATCTTAAACGATATCCTAAAGGTGTGCTTTTCTTTGTTTTATTTATCTTATTATTCACATGAGGAAGTTATATAAAATGAAACAAAACAAAGAAAACCTGCATAGAACAGCTTCTAGTTCTTTAGCTCGTAAAATCGATTACGATGAACAAACTAAGGATGACCACTCAAGGCAAGTAAAAAGAAAAAGAGAAAACGAGAATCCTTGACACCACCACCATCATACTAAAAAGCTGATAGCAAAGGAGAAACAGACCAAAAAAAAAAGAGGGAAAAGTTTGCAACCAAGTGCATCAATTTATGACAAAGAATAAACAAATACTATGTGATTTGCTTTATTGACAATGATGCATAACAATCATAATTACATATTTTATTCACTCACAAATGGAAAGAAAATAATGATCAATATTTTACTTATATAATAATCTCTCTTTCTAATGAAATTATTTTATCATGAATACAGACCTTTTCAAAGCAAATACGATGAATGTCTTTAGAGAATTCGACCTTGTATTAGTACTTATAGATTGAAGCACATGAATACGATCATATATTCTCATAATTGAAAATAGTTATTTATTCGTGACAAGTTTATCAAGATGATAGTTATACAAAAAAAAGCTGTGTTTTTCTTTATATTCAAACTCTATTAATGAAGTCTGCTCTCGTTGATGAGATTAGATCCATCCATTAAAATAATTGATGGTATTACTAAATCTTTTAGCTAGCATTCTTATCTTTCAATGGCAATAAAGAAAAAAAATCTTATTCGTTTAGTTTTTCTTTTCTGTTCTCTTGAAACAGTCTACCTATAAATCATGACCAACTGATTCTTCTTTTTCAGCGCCGAGCTGTTCTTGTTCTTTTCTATCAAGGCTAAAGTCCAATGGTAGATTGATCAAGTAATGGAAACTACTTATCGTTACTAACTAAATTACTTGATTTTACAAAAACAAAAATATTTTATTTTAATGTTTTAAAATCTATTGCGATATTCATGTAAATAGTTTTGTCATGATTAAATTAAAAATTTTATCAGTATGGGAATATAACCATTTGGTAAGGTCAAATTGAAATGTATAAGATCGATGGTGTTGCTTTTTAAAATATTGCTTTTCGAAAAAATAAAATAACTCAATAGAACGACAACAATGCATTCTATGGGAATAGTTTCTGCTATGTTATTTGTTGTTTTTGCAACAACAGCAACAAATGCTCTCATATGCAAGCCAGTTACATGCATGCTTGCATGCCCATATGGTTTTGCCACCGATGTAAATGGCTGTCCACATTGTTCATGTCGTCAAACAGAAAACGTTTGCAGTGAACCTATTATTGGTTATAATTGTGGTAGTGTTGATCACCGTGATTGTCCAAGTTCACACGAATGCCGACTCACTTTCTCTACTCTTCATGGTCAATGTTGTTTGAAACCTTTCAGTTCATCGACAGCTAGACCTTCTACACGTATAACCACTGCCTTTAAGACAACACCTCGACCAGTTACAGGTACAAGCACGGCGCGTACGACAACATCTCGACCTGTCACAGGTGCCACCACTGCTCGTATGACTACAGACGTAACTCGAACGCCAAGTCAACGTCCATTAAGTATGTTGTTGACATTTGCAACAGGATCAGCAACAACAGGTCGTGCTACTGACTCACCTGCATCAACTACACAAAGTTCGTTTACTACTGGCCGTGGAACTGGTTCACCTGCAACCACCTCACGTCGATTTTAATTTTGATCACACGCACTGAATTGGTGTTAGTGGTTAATAATTAATAGAAAAAATAAATCCAGAAAAATATACTGATTTTTGAACAGAGCGCTTAGAAATGTTTTCAATAAAAATCCGTTGTCTTAATAACATTACTAACTATCTACACTATAGTAGTAAAGCAAAACATAGTAGAAACAAAAATATTAACTTTTTCAAATTAATACAGTACCAACGAAGAGTAATGATACCAAGTAAAATTAAGGTAAACATCGAGCTTGGGAGTTGCATATTGTATCAAAATTAAAACTGAGAACTTTACTAATTATAATTATCTTATTACCTGCATCTTTTTGAAAATCATCGTATCTCTTTGATAAACATCTTGTGTCTCTATCTTAGGTTATTGTCGCTATACAGATCGGCAATGAAAAACATAACATAACAAACATACTAATGAGAAGCGCATCTATCGTACTTTTATGCTTCACGATTTACATCGACCAAAATCTGCATCGTTTGCTCGTAGCATCAGCGTACGATGCTTATGTCACTCAGTGAACAACGTTAATAACAGATGTAGCATGAAAAGTATAAGCTTGTATAACAATAACGCTAGAATTTATTTGAATTCAAAGGAAAATATCTTAGGTCCAAATATTAGAAGCTCATATATAGCGGTTAATATTGAACATGGAAATAGGGTCTTATAATAATTAGATTACGGCATGTATTCAGAAGTGAGATTCGTCTTAGTTTTTAGACCCTTAGATCCAATAGACACGAGCTATTTTACTTGAGAATCTAAAATTTCCTTCTATTATTGACAACTAAACTATCAGAGAAAGTGCTCAGCACAACCAACTGAACTCATTTTCATCATTTCTCACTACATTTGTACAATATAATATACTATTTGCTACTTCAATTTAAAATCAAGATTTATTATTGAGTTTTAGCAGACTATTGAGAGTCAATTCTTGAGAGACCCAAATTGAATTTCTATAATGAAATAGCATCTGTAATCGACTTCTCGATTAGTTTATTATATAAAATAAAAATCTACAATTAAAAAAAGTAATTTTATGGACTGAATAAATTATTGATTACATAAATGAAAATTCCCTCCAATTAGTGCCTATTTCGTTCTAATTTTGCACGTTCTTCTTCAAAAAATTTGAAGATAGCATCGAAAGCTGTATACGATGTCCATTCGTGTGCTAAATGACCTATTCAATAGAATAAAAGATATCTTTCTAATCGATATTTTTATTTTCAAACATTTTTGCCAACCTGCAGATCGTACTTCTCCATAGTCTCGATCGCATAAAAATTGATTTACTGGACGATTATCAGCTCCCCAATTGATTGTTTTCTAGGAAATAAAAATCTTCTCAAATATAACTTTCGTTTAGAATGCAAACTTTTTTGAGCGTTGCAACAACATTTTTATTAAAATGTTTTGTATAAGCTCTCATAGGCGAATCGGATAATGCTACAGCAAAAACGCGTTCATCGAAGTCTGGTGTAAATTTCGAAGCCTACAAAAAAAGATATCATCGTCTTTCAGATTCTAAATATGTTTCAAACCAATTCAAGGACGACAGCACCACCATAAGAATGTGCCATAATACATATACGACGAGCAGCACATTGTCGAACATAAAATTGCCATACATAGGCAGCATGTTCTTCAGGAGATCCACTACCCTAAAATAAATAATAAATGATTTTCTTTTTCTCAAACGCGCGAAATCATTTTAGTGGAAAAAAATTGATAGTCTATGTTTTTATTAGTAGATAATAATTTCCTTCTATTATTTCTTATTTCCATGATACACTCGAGTATATTAATCGAACAAAAATTGATTTCTATTGTGAATAATAAACGAACAAAATTTACTAACTATTTTTCATTATTGAATAGACACACTAGAATGTTTCCGGCTAATACAACATTGAAAAACTATATTGAATTGAACAATCATCTCAAACAGTTATTGTTACCTATAAAACTGCCAAGACAACGAAGGCAATCGAATTCTGAATTCAACAGTGAATCTCTCAAATATTTCCCTTGTGCTCAAGTAAGTAGATTTATTTTCAATTTTCTATTAACATACTGATACGGATGTTGACGTGTACATCTTTAAAGAAAATTGAATTTTTGTCAATACAACTCTAACGATGTGTTTTGCCCACTAATTTCAGGAAAAAAATTGGTCAAATTTTCATCATTGAAAATTATTTTTAGAATTCATCGAGAACTATTGATTATATACTATTGAATGATGAAGATATATTAATTGAATTTGATTTCTTCAGACACATAATACGAATGGCAATGAAATGACATCGGCATTTCTACCATGTATATTAATTCTAACAATCGGACTTATGCTACTGGAAAGTGTTCGTTTTCTACCATTATTATTACCGAAACGTAAAAACTATTTAGTTCTTCGTCAACGACCAATGCCAGGATCTATCTCGCTAAATGACTAACTGATATTACAATGAAATGCACTTGTTGAATATTTTTAAAACTTACGCGAATACGTTTTGTTGCATTGAGAACTGATTCAGAAGATTCATCAGTATGTAAGTTAGTGTTAGTAACAATAACAGCATAACCACATGCAATGGCCCGTTCAATATACTCAATTTGTGAACCAGCCTGTAAACTTTCATTCATAATTAATCTGACAACAAAGAATTTTAATCATAGAAAACAAATGAAATCAAAGTACTTTCGTGACCATTGACCGGCTCGTACAGCTCCTGTACCATGAATAATTATCATAAGATACTCGGCTTTGTCTAAATTATCACTGGCAAAAAAGAATCCAGTTGGCTCAGATCTTTTTGCATCGATCTTATATACGAAAATAGACAAATCCAATCGAATATGCATCACATTCAATTCATAAAAACTTTACATACAGGTATTGGAATACGTATTAAACCACATTCTTTCTCAAGAAGACCATATATATAATCAGTTATCAATCGGCCAATCGCATTATATCGCCTATGATTATCTTCTTTACTTGAATATACATCAAATTCAAAGGGCGCATCATCCTTGATCGAAACAAGTCGGCTATCTATTCAATAAAGATATAATTACTATATTAGTTTTCTCTCTTTCGTTTTTTGTTCTTCTGACAATGATATTTGCAAACGATCGTATAAACTTTAAATATCGAAAAATAGCAATTTACTTTTAAAGTAGAGTCCATATTCTTCCAATGAATTTCGGTCGATGTGACCTCTTTGCTCATGACGTTGATGATTTTTTCGTTGATCTGCTGATTCTAAATATGGACAACTTCATGCTGCACAGAAAATAGTCGATATCTATGTTATCTACTTGCACGATTAAGAGGTTGTCCTGCATTTCTTACTAAAAGGTCACAATAGAAATTATTGTGCGAAAGAAGAAAAAAAAACTCTCCCACTTTCATTTCGACCATTTCGTATCACTACGGTTTAAATATAAAAGCAAACGGACGATTATTTTAAATAGTTCCGGAACATCACAGACCCTTATGCGCTGGTTGATTTGCTCTACTCATTTTCGACGTTAGCTTTTTTAGTAATTCTAGAACAACAAATATGCACACATGTAGTCTTAAATCGTTTCTTTATTGTTTTCAACTAACTAATAGCAATAATAAAGATTATTTTTATTTACAGTATTATTAATAAGAAAGAAAGAAAAACGATCGCATTTATTGACTGCTGTGATACTAAGTAAACGAAGAAGAAAAAAAAAGCGAGGTTGTTTAGATATTATCATTTAAATGTACATCGGAAAGAAAATTGAAATGTTTATTTTTTATCACCAGCTAACATTTGATTAATTTGTGCTTCGAGTTCTTCAGCAGAAACATTGTCAAGTTCATCAGCTAATGCTTTGTCCCATTCATTGTCATCTAAATCTTCAAAAATGAATATACTGAGTGTTCTACAAGTCTGCTATGATAAGAAAAACTAAGATCAGCTTCTATAGAATGCTTATGAGATTCCTAGTTTTAGTTTTATGGATCGCTTTTTTCCTGTAGGATTCAATATGCGTAATAAATTCAAGTATTGAATCAATCACAATTTTGCTTTCAGATTTATGCAATTGCTTTTCATATAGTTCAATGTTGATTCATTATAAACACTTTTCACAACCAGTGAGAACAAAATGAAACTTGCGTAAATGGTTTAAAATACATAAGACTTATATCGAATTTTCTCTCATCATAGCAGACGTTTAGAACATATGTGAATTCATATTTATAGTTTACCTGAACTGTTAGCTTTATTTGGATTTGTTTTGGTTACAGTTAATTGTTCAATTTCACGTCGAATATCATCCATACTAACAGCTGATCCATCATAATCTTCACTAACAAATTCTTGATTGGCCTCATGAGTTTTATCTTGAGATTCAGATGTTGCACGATCTAAATTGAAATTTGTTATTCAGAAAAACTTGTCAAAAATAAATCACATGAGCTACTGTTGAGCACTTTTATGCGTCTTGATAGAAAACATTTTCCTCATGTAAATTTAATAGTTCTAAAAGTTTTGATGGACACGAATATATCCTTTTGTGGTAAACTACTGTTTTTGTGGAAAATCGTATTTGTTTTTAGAACAATTCAAAGGATCCAACGAAGAAATTCTCCGTTAGCAAAAATATATGGAGTTATTGATTTCGTGTTTTTGCTCGACTTACTGCGCGTATTTTTTGACCCATGAGTTTCATCCGTCGATTGAGGGTTGGCTATAAAAAGAAAAACGTTATATAAAACGAAAACAATGCATGAATCATATACTATTTTCATGTGCTAAAGCCGATAATTGCGTAGATTGTTTGATTAAACTCACTCGATAAAAATAATTACACCAAAATGTTTCTTCATTAATTCTAAATATTCACCGGTATTGTTTTAAAAACTGATTTTCAAATGTAAAACGATAAATCTTACTGTTTTGGCACGAGATCGAAACGCATTTGTTTTAAATTTTCGTCGACGTCTAATGTTGCTAACGCAACTGGATATACAGCAGCCATGTCAAAATGATAATTTGCTCCCGGCGGTGGATTTCGAAGAAAATTACGTTTTTCCTATAAGGAAAAGTTATTATTGTAATTTTCATACAGATCCAAAGAAATAAAAAAAAAACCTTTGAAAGTGCTAGAATTTGATTTTTCATATCATCTTCTTCATTATAACCAATCCATGGTGCAACGGCAGCTTCCTCGCGACGTTGTTGTGTACGTTTTTCAGTTAGAAATTTTTCATGTTCTTTAGTAAAACCACCAATGATTGATGTTTCTTCAACAACATGTTTTAATTGTTGAGCACCTTTTATCACAGTTGAACTAATATCATTAAAGATACCTAAATAAGTTTAACACAATTATTTCACCATTGATTTTTAATCGTAACAACATGAGCGTTTTCTCAAGAGACTTTGCAATCGAATGCAAAAAAAGAGATCAATTCTATTTCCTGAAAAATAAAAATTTTGCTATTGAAGTTCCTTCAAGTTTACAAGGCCAAACTCAAATATTCTGTGTATCTAATTGATTTTACAGCAAAGCTAAAAAATGACACTACTTAGAATATCTATAGATGGATTTTTATAGAAACTCAAATTTTTAAATAGGATTTTTGAGGTTTTGTTTTGTTTTTCTGTTAGTAGTTAGTAAAGAACTCACGAGACACATTTTCATGTCTGTTGTTGCTACGAGAACATACTAAATAAAGATTAACCTCCCGTACGAATGTATAGAGGGAGCTGGAAACCTGCAACATAAAACTCGCACTCACACTCATTGTAAGTTTCTTCGGTAAGAAAGACAAAGACGATATATATGACTATGTACTACTGATCATATCGAATGAATGAATGATTCCGAATATTAGTCACATACTAGTCAAATCTTTGTTGATTCCAGCAACAGCTGAATTTTCATCAGACACTTGCTGTTCATCTTCATTTTTAGTTGTCTCATCGTCATATTTTGTTGTTTGATCTGTTTGTTCATTTTCATTTGGTGATGAAGGTCGTTGTGGTAACGTTTTTTGAACGAGTGTATTAGCAGCTGCACTTACTTTCGAAGTCACTTGCATAAATGATGAACTTAGATTTGTTAGTTGATTCGTTAAATTTGGTGACAACCCAAAACTAGTAAACCATGATGATGCAGTTGCTGGTGCTTGTTGTTCTTCTTCAACAGCCGGAGCTTGATTGACAGTATTATCATCGGTTGTTGTTGATGTTGGTACAAGTGGAGGACTTTCTGTTTCCGGTGAAACATGAGATGGTGATTCCACTGTTGATTTTTCCTGTTCAGTAGTTGTACTCATTTTTTTTAAATCTAAAATTGACTCAATAAAGGTGCATTATCTTTATTTCTTTTTATATATATTTGTTATAAAGGATTGTTCGGTTTATTTTTATTCTAATGACAATGACGAACACCAAGAAAATAGTTTTTAAGAAGCGTCACATAACGAGAAAATACGCTTTAATCTAAATTAGTATTTTATTTTTATTTTGAGATATCTTTGAATGTAAAATTATCGCATCCGCGAACTTTAAAATTAGCTGGTGGATTTGAATAAATGTGAGAATATAATTCGTCGACTTGTAATTCAGGATCATTTTGAGCATGATTTTCAGCATCTTCAATGAGTTTTTTAACTTCATTATCAATTCCCTATGACCACGAAATTTAATAAAAAAAATTACAGTTTGCATATAATTCAACGTACTTTAAATTCGTCTTCTGTTGCTAATTTAGCTTGAAGAAGTTTTTCTCGAAATGAAGCTATTGGATCACGGCTTTTACGGACATCTTGAACTTCTTCACGTGTTCGATAACTAAAATAAAATAATTCTTTGGTTCTCTTTCTTCTTTGAAATTATCTCTTGTTTTGTGAAACACAAATCTACGCCACTGTGTGATCACATATAATGCATAACCTATTTTCTTATTACATTTTACAACGCAAAAGAGAAATGTTTTCCAAAAACTAATAGAATAAATTAATCTCGCTACGTTTAACAAGAGAAATTGCATCGTGTTTCATATTTTAGTTCCCAACGGACTCTGCTGACAGTTTTTTTCCCTCACTATATACCTAGTTCCTGGATCAGACATTGAATGTCCAAAGTAACGGTATGTAGCCATTTCCATAATGATAGGGCCCTTTCCTGATGTGCACCAGTTGCGTGCAAATCTTGTTGCTTCACGTACAGCGAGAACATCCATACCATCAACCCATAAACCAGGAATATATTCGCAGCGTCTATAAAAATTTGGATTTGCACTAGCGCGTGCTGTACTTGTACCCATGCCATAGCCATTGTTTTCGCATACGAATATACATGGTAGTAACCATAATTTTGCCATGTTAAATGCTTCAAATACTTGCCCTTGATTAGCAGCACCATCACCGTATAATGCTACACACACATTTTGTTCGCCACGATATTTATGTGCAAATGCTACCTGTTAAAATTAATTCATTTTTTTTATTTTCAACATATTTCGTTACATACTCCAGCACCGAGTGGAACTTGAGCTCCAACAATGCCATTTCCACCATAAAAATTTGGTCCATACATATGCATACTACCACCACGTCCTTCAGAACAACCGGTTTTTCTACCTGTTAATTCAGCTAATACACCAGTTACTGAAACTCCCATCATATAAGTCCAGCCATGAGCACGATAAGCAGTGATTAAAGAATCATTTTTATCCATGGCTGCTTTCATTCCGACACAAACAGCTTCCTATTAACAAAAGATATACACACACATATTTCATAGTCTAATTAACACAATCTAACCTGTCCGGAATATAAATGGCAAAAGCCTCGAATTAATTTGGCTTTATACATATTATTGGCAGATGCTTCCATACGACGAACAACTTGCATCTTTCGATAAAAATCTAAACCTTCTTCACGAGTACATGAAACATGATTATTTGGTCCTTCTTCAAGCATATGAAGTTTATACGCATTTGGTTCATCATATTCGAGAATTGGACCACTACTTGCTTGTCTTACAGCAGTCGCAAGCTATTTATCATCGAAAAATAAACAAACATAATTTTCCTTATATTTGAACAAAGTTTCTATTTTACTGAAGGTATCGAGGAATTGATTTTGTGTTGTTGCTGTTGAAGAAGAAGGCGCCAGCCATTTGCTGGTAATCGAACGATGAGTTTAGCATAAATATTCATATTAAATTTATCCTCGTGATGCAAAAGTGTCGATCACCTGTATAATATGACAAAAACAACAATGTTTCTCTGTTCTCTGATTGGTCACTGTACCGACGAATAGTATGCAAGTAACAAACATTTGCATATTTTTTCGATAAATTAGATATTTATTTTTAGGAAATTTTTATCAATTTACTAAAAATAATTAATCTTAGAAAAAAATGATTAATTTTTGAAGCCTAAAAAAATGAAATAAATAAACAACAATAATAATAATAACAGCACATCCGATCAAAAATATATATATATATATCAGTTATTCTAACTTTTGATTTCAAAACCACTGCAAATATGCATAAATTGTTTTTCATCTGTTTGATAGGTACTAAAATACTTCTTCACAATAATATCTAATATTAATTATTTGATTTAGTTTTAAACATTGTTATTTCATCAAATGCTAAATACTCGAGATCACCAGCTGACAACAAAGAATTTAAAGCAATCTTAAAGCATCCATTAGATTTAGAATGTAAATACAATGGTGCTGATCAGGATGGAGAATTTCTTGATTGGTATAAAGATGGTGTGCCTGTAAGTAGTGAAAAATCTGGACATTATGTTGTTCATAATTCAGAGAAAGAATCAAAACTCACCATCAAAATTTTTGGTTAGTATATCAGAGAGTAAATCAAAGAAATAAAAACTGTTTCTTGTTTTTTTTTTGTGATTCAAGTTCCATCGGATGGTCAGGTACAAAAATGGTCTGTTAAAACAAAGAAATCTGGTTTTGAAGAACCAATTGAATGTCAATTTAAAAGAATTACACGTAATGATAATTTTTAAAAGTTTCTTTCTGAGAGTACTTCTTTTTGATCGGCGATACCACAACAACTGTGCCCACATTCTCTCGTGATGATATACGTCTTCAATTAAATCTATTAGTTTGAAACGTGTCGTCGGTCCAAAGAATATGTGAAACATATTTCCGATAGTAGAACTCAAAGAGAAATCTTCTTGAATAAATCTAAGATAAATGTTATTTTCTCTTATGGCAATCAATAAAATTTCATAATGTTTAGATCATTATCTCCAAGAATATCCTATTCTATTTAAATACAAATACAAATTTTTTTTTTTTCTATCATATGTAGCAAAACGATCTCCACAACGTATTGACACCGATCGACCTGCTGAAAAATTAGAAGCTTCACATTCATCTATAAGACGTTATCGAGGTGAACCGGTTAGTTTTAAATGTATTATTGAACCAGAGCCAACGGACAAAACTTTCAATGCAATCAAATGGGAATTTAGTAAAGATGATACAAATTATTCTGTTTTAGCTGATGATATTACTTATGAAAGTAAAATTAATATAATAATTAATAGTATTGAAAAAAGTCATCGGGGATTCTATCGTTGTACACTTAATGGTGTTTCATTTACTGTTCTATTACGTGTTAAAGGTTTTATTTAATTATTTGAAGTTTTGGAAAAAAATGAACATTTTCTTTGTATTTTTTATCAGATCGATTAGCACCACTTTGGCCGTTTCTTGGTATTGTAGGCACTGTTTCCGTATTAGTTATTGTTATATTAATTTTTGAAAAACGTCAAAAGCCAGCAAGAAAAGCAGCAGGAACAGAAGATGAGGAGCATGATCATGCAAAAGATCCGTAAGAAGAAAATAAAAGTTAACCATTTAAATATCTCTATTTTTTATAATTTATTTTAGTCTTGTAAGAACACCAAACAAATCGGCAGATGATGAAAATAAAAAACGTGCTGTTAAAGCTTAACATATCATAACGTAGCGATTAGTTTTCGACAAGTTTTGCGACTATTTTTTTTTCTACATTCTTTAACCCGTGTTAATCACCTAAAAATTTTGTTTCATAGGATAACGAAAGCAAGCGAGTTGTTTTTTTTTAAATAATTTTTACTTATGATCGAACAGTTTTTTTGTCTTCCTCACAATATGTTGATATCTTCTCTCATATACATGTATCAATTGTAGTTTGAGTGAGTATGTGAATATATTTCGAGTGATTTCTCAGAGAGTACTTGATAAATAATTAAGCATCGAAAAAATTCTTAAGGTGACTAACAATTATCCCTATACTCATACGTGCAGTTTTTTTTCTTTGATACTTTTTTTTTCACTTGTGTGCCTCGAATTTCGGTCTTCTGTTTTTTCTTCCTTTTTTTTGATACAATAGAAAATTTAGAACAGCCAATAACATGCCAAATATTTTACATCCCTGAAATTGCATAAAAGATTATTTTAGAAACCATTCGAATGATTTTTTGATAATCAACAGAAAAAACAAGTTTTTTTTTCAAGCACTCTTGACGCTGTGTTAACTCAAAAATCAATTATATTAACAATAATTTTTCAAATTCATCATAGGACAATAGTGCAATCAAATATTTGTTTCAGTAATAAAACCATGTGTTGCTAATAACCGTATAGGCAAACGTCATCGAAAACATAATAAAAGAATAAATATCAAGACCCGATAAGAATGCTAAAATAAATACTGGGTCATCAATGTTTTTTACTAGAACATGAAAGAAAAAAGATTTGGATACATGGTTGTATTCTATCGGTTATATAATGCTGAAGTCAGTAAATGAGAGAGAAAGCTGTGGTGAGGACTGATGTATTCGGAATGTGTGGTGCTCGTGTATATTCTCAAACAGACACAGAGAGTCCAAATATTATTCTTTTTTTTTGGTAGCATAATATGACAATAAACATGAGTGTTGCTTCGTCACTGTAGATCAATAGAGCAGATGTTTTACCCATAAGTAAGCCCATTGGAGTTTGCCTTTGTACATTCCGCTTGCCATGTTATTACTGAAAAGATCGATTCAAAGACGTGAGATATTGAATATCGAAAAGCAATCTTAAATCATAAGGCAAGGTAAGAAATTTTAATATTTTCAATATTCAATGTAAGAAGAATAAAACGATTCATGAGATCTATCAACACGTCAAATTTTGCGGTTGAAAGTTCATCCTTGGCTTATTTTTTCATCGATAAAAAATGCAAATGATCTATTGCAGACATCTACTAGTCTTTTTAGGATCTACTTATATGCAAAATGCTAGTTTGATTGACGAATCTCAGTTGGGAATATTCGCTCGTGATTCAATGCAGTGAAACTCTACACCCTCAATCAACATTACTACTTTCTCTTGACTGAGCGGAATGTTGATGATGAAGAAATAATTTTGTTATTTTCACTCCAGTTTCCTGTTATATTCATGATTGTTAATAATAATAATAATAATAATAATAATAATTGAGAATTCTATTCTCCAGTGTCTATTATTTCGAATTCAACATGCCAGTCGTTTTTTGACTATTTGTTTTCATTGGCATCAATTCTATTTTAACAACAGAAAAAAAAATATTTTAAATTAATTATCAAGTTTCTTCTTAAGAAAACAAACAATATATACAGAGGCAAGTAGTCATAGTCGTAGAATCAGACAATCGATATTACATATAAATCATAGTAATTAATAATACTGGTTGAAATTGATGTGGACGACAAGAATCGTTTTTCCCAATAGTTTATAACGAATTTTATCTGTAATTTAATACATACTGAATCCAAGAGCTAGTCCAGTGGGAAACATTTATAGAATATTCTCAGCATTATCTTCTCATGTGGTATATCCTTATGATACGATATTCTATGTACGAGTTCTGAGTTAATGGGAAAGCTTTTTAATCAGATGAGATTACTATTGATTAATTTTGTCTTGTGTATTGAATAGCTTTTGCTATATCAATGATCAATAACTAAACATTGGATACTGAACAATGCCGTTGAAGAGTTTTGTATAAATTGTATTTATTATCATCAAGTATTTTCAATGAACTGATTTATATTTGATTATTGTTGCTTCAGTAGGCATTAAAGAAATGAAAAATAAAACTAATCTCGAACAATAATTCACATTTATGGCCAAATTAATGAAATAAACAAAATATTTGTCGAGTGCAATTATTTATCAGACATTTAATTTCTAAATAATAGAATGATAATAAGAAGGAGTGCTCCATCTACTTTTATTTTATTTTAATATGCGATTTCATCATTAAGTCGATAAACTATACGATTGATATTAAAAACAAATCACTTCAATTAAAAATATAGATGAAAAATCTATTACTCAAAGATGATTGTTGTTTGTCTAGGACAATTAATCTTGTTTGCAATAGTCATAGGCACCTGAACTGTTTTGACTATATGGCCTTCAATTTATTTTTGCATAGGTGAGAATAAGATCTATGTGAATCGTTAGTTTGTTTTCGGTGTTATTTCTCAATCAAAGCAATGCAGCGCACTTCGATCTTATTATTTGCCTACCATTGATTATGATGAATATCTAAGTCATATTTAATCAACATTGGTGTGCATAATCAAAAACAAAAAACAAATATATATATATATTTCTTTTTATTATTGACTGATTTCGCACAATACTGAAAATCTTACAAGATGTATTTTCGATGAATGGCTATTGACCCGTCCGATTAAAAAACAGCTCGTTGCTATTTCATGTAAACAATATAGATCACATAGTAGAAATTTAATACATATAACTCATTTTGATTAAGAGATCTTTTAATGAGTCATGAGTGAATTTCAATTATTTGGCTACAGTTTTAGTTGTAAGAAAAGGAGACAATTTTTTTGCTTTAGTTTTTTTTATTTCGAATGTTCACTTACATGAAGAATCTCATTTTTTTTCTTTCTCGGTTTTAAATCCAAATAAGACTTAACAGTTCCGTAGTATAGTAGAAGAAAAAATAAAATTATACAAAAATCAGAGAATACAATAACAACGACATTGAACGTTCATGAGGCTGGCGAATTTTTGCGATGGAAAATGCCTTTAATTCTATTTCCAAAAGCAGCTGGCATATCTTTAAGTGAACGTTTCTGGCCAAATTTCGAGTCATTATCTGATTGAAATAGACGAGTCGAACCTGAAATACATATAAATAAACGTATTTTATTGCAAGAATATTTCATGCAAATTTCTACATGCGTTAATAGGATTACCTGATGATGCAACAGCTTGTCTTGCATTATTATCAGTGGTTGCTCTTGCAGTAGACGATGCACCTTGTGCTGTTGTAACACGAGCACTTGCTTGTGCTGCTGGTGCATCTCGTCCTGTTTGTGGTGTAGCTCCTCTGGCAGCTTGTGGCGGTGCATCTCTGCCAGTCTGTGGTGTAGCTCCTCTGGCAGCTTGTGGCGGTACATCTATGCCAGTCTGTGGTGTAGCTCCTCTGGCAGCTTGTGGCGGTGCATCTCTGCCAGTCTGTGGTGTAGCTCCTCTGGCAGCTTGTGGCGGTACATCTATTCCAGTCTGTGGTGGTGCATCTCTACCCGTTTGCGGAGGAGCATTCCTGCCAGTTTGTGGCGGAGCATCCCTGGCAGCTTGTAGTGGAACATCTCTACCTGTCTGTGGCACAGGTGCGTTGCGTCCACCCGGTGTACTAATTGGATGTTGTTGAACATTATATGCACCTGCTGATGATGTTGGTATGTTATTCTCATTATCACTGTCACTCATTTGATCTGATCTAGAAGGATATGAAAGGCTTTCATCACTTGCAAGTGGCTTCAACGGATGTCGAGGATCTGTTGCTGAAGTTGCATTTAGTTCTGGTTTATGAATCGTTGGTGGCACTGAATGAATATCTTCGCTATGTATAACTTGTGGCTTTATTTTTAGTAACTCACCTGATTCTTGAATAGGCGCACGTGAAACCGATTTATCGATTGCTCCAACTGTGCTTGGTTGAGCGAATGAGGAATGTTTATGATCATGTTCATTGTATTTAGCTGGATAGTCATCCTCATCAATGGATAAGTCTTCTTCAGAGGAAGCCATTGAACTTCGATCTGGTGAAATACGTCTTGCAAATTTTGGCACAGTAGGATTTTTGGGCGTTGCTGATTCAATTTCATTTGTTGTCATTGGGTTTGTGGGAATCATTTTAGAAGTAGCAGGAGGATCTTTAAACAAAATCAAGATTCTTCATATACATATATAAGAAAAGTTGAGTTTTAGGAGATAAATATCTAGTAATCATTTACATGTGACTGATTTTTAATAGAGGAAATATAATATTCTTACTTTTTAATTGAAATTTTGTGTGTGGTTGCTTAAATTGTGCTAGAATAGAAATATTGAATAAAATAGTGATTAATAAATCTAATTAAATTTTGATTCTCTTACGAGGCGGTGATGTTCCTTGATCATGAAGATTTTTCTTTGGTTCATGATCTATTTCATCCTCATAATCACTATTATATGGTGATACGGATGTGAGAGAAGAAAATGGTTGTCTTGAATCAAGTTTCTCAAATGGAGGATATTTATTTGATTCGTGCAGGTTACCTACAAGATCTACATCATTGTGATTTTGATTACTAGCAGATTGTGATTTTTGAGCACGTCGGGAAAAACTACGCCGAAGAATATCATCAGCTTGCCCGGTAAAACCTTGTCGAACAGTAACAGGTGCGACAAAATCAATGTTCCCTACATTTTGACCAAATTCGCTATCTTTTTGAACGAATTTAGCACTTGATACAAATGGTTGAATTTCTCGAAGATAATCTTGTTGAACATTCTTTATTAAATTTGCAAGATCAAATGATTGCATGCCATTGTAGTTGCCATCTGTTGTTCTTAATGTTGGTTTTTGTGCATTTGTGTTTGATGTATTTGCAAACACGTTTGTAACATGTTCTTGAGGGGTTTCAAAATGATTCGAAGGTTGAAAAGTAGTTTGTGCAGAAGGCTTTGATTGTGAGAATGATGTTGCATTAGATGTATTTGAATATTGTCTATCGTAGAGTAGATGAAGTGGATCATCAGTTAATGTATACAGTCTACCGGGTACTACTTGTGCAACATTTCCATCTTTTGTTTTAACAGGAATGTGTGGTGGTGGTGGATTTTGTTCCGACTGTCGAATTGGAGCATTATGTTGAAAACTATCATAGTTATTTAATGGTCTTGACGACCGAGTCGGTATGTTGGTATATTTATTATTACCATAAGTATCATTAGTTACTGCGTTTCTTTGAGGTATTTGTCCAGTATTGGGTCGAATTACAGTTGAATAATTATTTGCTGTTGGTTGAAATGTAGAAAATAATGACGGATCATGTGCTGCTGTTGTAGCATTAGGGTTGGGTGGTGATGGTTGTCGTTGACTACTAGTAGATACATTGATCGTATCCTTTGGAATAGCACTAAATAAGACAAAATAAATTCATCGGTTATAGTCTATTCTTCAATAATAATAAAAACCATAATTCTTACTCTGGTGCATATTTTTCTAAAAGTTTGTCAACAGTAGAATTCAATTGTTTATCTTTATCATCTTGAGACGTACCATTCGATTTTGGTTGTTCTCTATTGAATGATAATACTTGATAATTATTCGGTTGCTGTTGATTATTGACGTGCGACGATGATATTTGTGAATTCGAAGGATTACTTAGAGTACTTGTTACTACTCTTTCCGATGCAAGTGGTATATCACTGAGAAGTTCTATTTCAGTTGCACTAATTCCTACTCGATTGTTTCGGCCAGTTGTTCTCTTGTCGATGTCATAAACAATGTTGCCAGTATTTCTCCGATTTTCAATATTATTACTAGTCATCGTTGTTTGCATTATAAAAGAAAACGTTAATGTTTCGAATAGAGCATAGCTTGTTGACGACGATGTATATTATATACAGAAGAAGAAGAAGAAGAAGGAAAAAAGAGCACGCAATGAGAAAAAAAATCAATCAAGCGGAACGTTTATACAGCCTTCAGTTTCAGTTAAGGGTATGCTCTCTAGCTGTATATCATGCTTTCTATGCTTGCCATATGCTTGAACAATGAATGGTTACTCTCATTGTGTGCATATAGAAAAAGAAAAGAGATGTGTATCAATACTTTTAAAAATCATTAATCAGTATTATTATTGTAGCTAACGAAGATAGCGAAAGAAAAATACAAAATATATAGAATATAGATTCATTTATGTATTAAATTGAATGTGCGAGTGAAACGAAGAGCCAAATCATAGATAATAAATTTTCTTTTCTATCGACTGTTCTGTTGTTACTCTCATGACAAAATAAAAGTATTTTCAGATGATTGTCACAATAACACGATATTGAATACGTGGTTTTATTTTTTTCCGATATACATTTTTCTTTTCATCTTACGTCAATCTACTAAAGAGAAAATGTTTATTTTTGTATATTATTGCGTTCATGAATATCTCAAACACGTAGTCATTTACGTCTAGCAAATTTTGAAAAATCTTCATTTTTTTTTCAGTAAAGAATTTCAGCTATTCAATTTTACTTATCAATCTTTCGGTTTAAGCGTTGGTTTTATTTAATTTCCGTATCTATACTTTATTATTCAATCGATATTATGATTCACTTGTTTGGATAATTAAAGTTGACATATTCGATGAATTTTCACAGCAGAGAAAGGCGATATTATACTCGCATCGATAATCTTTGATGAGAAGCCTTGTAATAATACCTTCATAAAATCTAGTCAATCTCAAATTATCCAAAAATTTAAAATTATGGATAGTCTATAAAAACTGCAGGTTTTGATGTTTTTGAAAAAAGTCAGAACTTGAAAATCTTATAGGAAAAATTAATTTTTGTGATACTCTAGATCTGCACAACATCAACAACTCTAAAAAAAAAGCTACATTCGACCTTCACAGATGTGTTTTCGTGTGTAACCATATACACATATTGTATTTTCTATTTTTTTTTCTCTGAAGTTTCGTAAGTCATTTTGACGAGTAAAATACCGTATTATATTTAATAGACGTTATGAAAGGTTCATTTATCTCTATACCAAAAAAAACTATGTTCTCCTAATTAAAAACAATTCAACGCATGTTTAACACTTATTTTATGTAATAAGATGAAATAAGACTAGAATACAATATTTGAAATTCTATCAAATAAACAATACACTTCGTTCTCAGCTCTATCGTGGTCATTTTGAAATGCATTTTTTTTTGGAGAATTGAACTGTGAACTTTTTGAAAGTGGCTCAGACGAAGTTAATAAAAAATATAAAGATTTTCATTCTCGATGAATGACTCACTACAAAAATAACATCTTAATTGAATTATTGTTTTTTTTTCTTTTTCGTAAAATCTTTAATTTTATAAATATCAGAAGATTTTAAACGCCCTAAGCAATATCGATTAGTATTCTTCTATTCAGCTATTATCCCGCCTATCGATCAATATAAACGTACTTTTTTTCACACCTTACTAAGTCCATAGTAGAATGAATGTCAGTTGCAAGAATACACAACAACAGCAACCATCATCACCACTACTGCACACTCGCTTGATTACATCACACTGTTATTCTCAAAGAAAATTGCCTACAAACACGAATCAAGTCTAAATTGAGATACATAACAACAAGCGTGATCTCTAAATTCATTGTAAAGTTAAAACGACGACCACCTAGAGTGGATTAAGCACATACACGCAATGCATTTCTCCTTCTTTTTTTACATGAAAAAATAAAAACTAAATTTTTCTCTATATGAAATATAAATCTGTGGATAACACCTATTCTTTCTATAAAAAGAATAATATTTATTACACTTGAACACATTTCGTTCTTTCTTTTCTCACGATTCCACCCTATTATACATTATAGACATTCATTCAGCCGATATAATCATCGATCAAGAGTAGCAGTCACCATCATACGGTATCAACACGACCACAGCATGTTATCATGAAAAACGAAACGAACATTCGCATGAATGGGAACGATGACAAACATAATTGGCCTTTATTGTCTTCGCTGTCATAAACAATTTCAATGTTCACCTGTCATCGATCGATCGATAGAGAGAGAGAGAGAGAGAGAGAAGAAAAAAAGTTCTGATAATGTAGTTTAAATCTTCTTTTAGAAATGAATCAAAGTTATTAATGCTATTCACGCACTAACACATACGCATTGATCATCGCTTACGGATGTTATATACACGTGTATGAAATAAAGATCAAACAGTCAAATGAAGAGTTCACTATAATAATCAGCTTATATCTCTATTCATCTGTAAAAATTAAATAAAGACGTAGATCTACTAAAGCATATTAAATGGAAAAAAAAAATAATCATTTCAAAGAGAAGAAAGTTGAGGCTTTTTTAGTGTATTCTTTTTTTGCGTGTGGGTGTGTGTCAGATCTAGCTAATTATGGAATCGTCTGCCGACTAATGGAAGGAGGAGATATGTCGAGCTGTAATTAGTATTCATGAAAAAGAACAACATCAACTATTACCACCGGAAATCATAGCTGAAAGTTTGCCATAAGAAATAACATTGTCTTCAATTGAGCAGATGTATTCAGATTCTCAAGTATACAGATTAACATCTCTCGATCAGATCAATACAGTATCGAAATAAGACGATAATTGTTCTTTCTCTCTTCATTTCATAATAATCATGCCGCAAGGCTTTTAACTGTATATCCATTTTTCAAGTGTGGTTAATACTATGTGGCTGTCAAAATTCCATCATATTCATATGCGAACTGATATCTACATAAATATATGTGTACTACTTTTCCTTTTGCTTTTTGTTTTATAGTTCATATAAATACACGTAGACAAAAAACATCGAAACATTTCACAACTTTTAACTAGTCACAAAAGGCGATAAAGACCAAAAATGATACGGATTAGCTCTTGTATATTCCACATGTGCATACGGAGATGATGACGAAACGGCGTCAGGATTGTATGAGTTTGATTCAATAGGAGGTGAAATCTTTGATGTTGATGACGATGATGATGATATTGGTGGTGGTAGTGGTGGTGTTGAATGTTTGTGTTGTTCTTGTTTTACTAAAAACATAGAATCATTATGCTTAACATGAATTATTCGAGGTGTACAATGGTGTGATGGGTTCGGGTTGGGGGATTGGGAAGACGACGAATGATGACTAACGTTTTTGACAATCTTTTTTTGTTTACTTCGTTTATTTTGAAACCAAATTTTCACCTTTAAACAAAAAGAAAACGAAAGCAGCTTGAATGAAAACCAATCAATCGATTTTTTTCGGTTTACTTGTGTTTGTGTCAGTCCAAGTGAAGCAGCTAATTCAGCTCGTTCGGGTAGAGCAAGATATTGTGTACGTTGAAAACGTTTATTAAGTACTTGTAATTGCATACTTGAATAGATAGTTCTTGGTTTACGAATTTTTTTACCTTTAGTAGTTAATTTCGGTGGAATATCACGTTCATCATAATGACATTTTTCTTCTAAACAGAAGGGAAAAGTTACAAAAAAAAGAATTTCTTTTTTTTTTCGAATGTGAACAACCTGAATCAATTCCTAATGATGGATACGGTAGCGGATATGGATATGGATACGATGAAAATGAATTTCGTGCTGCTGAATAAAATTGTTCATCAGACGTTGGATGATGATATGCACTATGTTCAATAAAATTAGAATATTGTTGTTGAGAATCAATGGGATCTATGGATTGTTGATGAAGATGGTGATGATGATGTGGAAAATCATGAAAACCATTTGATTTCGTTTCTTGTTCATATGGTAATGGTAATGGCGGTGGGAGAGTTTGTGTTGATGGTTCATTATGCATCATCTTTTTATAGATTCGGATTTTTTCTTTTTTCTTTTCTTGTTCCGGCTTCCTCTTTTCCTTTTTTGACTAATTTTATTTTATTGTATTGATTATATGTTTATTGAGTAATTTTGAGACAATTTCACCCTTGATAATAATATAGGCGAGATGATATAATATGCGACAATGAATGAAGAAATTAATGAAGTTAGACGAGCGTAAGCGTAGTTTCCCTTGAATAATTACGGCTGGCAATTCATTGATGAATAGAATATGTAAAAGAAAACGATCAATAATCGGGGAGCTAATTGTCTTCTTTTCTTCAAGCTTAAATTCAATGATAATGATGATGATGATCCGCAGTCTCTTTTTTTTCTACGACAAGTTGATAAAAAGCAATATGGTTTCAACGGCAATAATTAGTTAGCAAGAATAAGGTTAATTTGAGTAAAAGGGAGAGAACGAGAGAGAGAGAGAGAGAGAGAGAGAGAAAGAGAGAGAAAAAAATTTTCTTTTGTCTATGTGCTTTCCTATCCAATTGGTGAAGACGAAAAAGAGAGAGAAAGAAAAAAATTCTTTTTTATTGGTGTTTGCGGAAGAGAATTTCTTATTGGTTAGCAAGAAAAATAAACTGCCCTGATCTTACTCTCTGTTGAAATTGTAGCCTTGAGAAGATCAAGAACGGAGAAGTATGGTTCAAATAATTTATGCAGGTGATTTTGATCTTTTGTTCTTAAATTTTATCGAAGGATATTCATAATCGATACTAGGAAATAATCAACGTGAGAAAAGAATCATTCGTTTCACCCCCCCGAAAGATTGCTATGCAGCATTGAATGATTTGTAGGTAAAGAAAAATATTTTGTACCAATGGAAGGAGATTTAGAACAGGAGTGACAATTAGAGCTATGCTTGCACTTCCTACCGATACATTTTTCTTTTACAGAACAGTAAAAAGAGGCGTAGGAATACTTCAAATAAAATAAAATACAACAGCAGTTTTGCGTATCAGTGTAGTATCGCTCCTTTCAGAGTACACGGTCGTTTTTTCTTTGATTGGTTGTGTAATAAAATTGATTTAGTTGATTTTTTCTTTCATAGAGATTACAAATTGCAAGCATTTATTTTTGAAAAATTAAATCTATCTAGTAGTCTGAACAGTTGATTGAGCATATACCATTGTTTTTTGTTCATTTATCTTTGCATGTTTTGATTTTGAATAGACTTCATTCACATACTCTTTTGTATACAGTTGCGATTATTTCATCATGCAAAATCTTGTAATAGAACTCAATCTCTATACCATGTTCACATCATTCTATGCCCAAAGAGAAACTTTTTTCCCGTTTCATCTTCCTGTATATATGTGCACACTATAATTATGTCGAGAGCACAACGGATGTCATGTATGAGTTTGTCCATTGACGCAGAGCACTATAAGCAAATTATAGTCATTTGCGTTTTTTTTTTATGATATAAAAGAAAGCCAAAAAAAGCAGCTGAAATTTGTACTCATTTCTCGTTTTAACCTTATTGATATACAAAAATCGAAACAAGATTATTCATATGAGAAATATGAGATAATGTAATTTACCTGACGTTTACTACTTGAAATTCTATTGAAGAAGTATTTCAAGTGAGAAGTCAGGATATAGAGAAAGAAGAAGGAAAAAACAAGACGAAAATTTTTAGTTTTATTATTAATTCCGTTTGTTTCCTTTTTTTATTTTTCATTACAAAAAAAAACACATAACAATTACGGGCATCCATTGCCAAAATGAAAGAAAAGAGAAAAAAAAATGATAACAACCAAGAATATGTAAATGACAGCTGAATTTTTATTTTATATGTCATTTTTTAAACCACGAATGATTTATTCATGTTGCCACTCTTGAATCGTTTATTTGCACCACCACGACCACCAAAATCAGAATGGCGTTTATGAGGTAATGTGGATGCTTGATCTTGATTGAATTGGCCTTGTTCACTATTTTAAAAGAAAAAGAAATTTTAATATGAAATAATCAATCCATAGGCGGCATAAAAAAATAAAATACATACGTATTTTTCTGATATTTTTCAAATTTGGCTTGCATTTTGCCCGTACCGGATATACGTTTTGTCTGAAATAAAAATAGAACTAATAAAAATAAAAATTTCAAAATCGAAAGTTTTACCGCATTCTGTTCAAGTATAGCAAATTTTCGTTCAAGATCTGCACGTTGCTCTAGACCAAGTGTTGCTTGCGTATCTTCACCGAGTGCATCAACTCTTATGGCTAATGCAGCTTTAGCAGCTAGCATACGACTAACTTTACCTTTAAGTTTAGCTGATGTTTGACCAACTAATGACGCATGATAAATTAAACCATATTTCGGTGTGTCATGTTTAGTTTTCATTGCACGAAATAGAGCCTTTTCAGCGCCTAAGATTTGTACGGTTGATGATGGATGTTTAGCAAGATTCAATAATGATCCTAGATTAATTAGAATAAAAGAAATTGTTGCATTGAGTTTTCGATTGTCTCACTAATGAGTTATGGATATAATGAGTGGTATCCTAATACCAAACTGATGGTGTATATTAACAATATAAATGACATAGGATTGAGGATCTTTACACAATTAAGCCAACAGGAAAGACTGTTGCAGCAGGTAGACTTAGTTCGCTAAGGATATTCATCAGACAAATCACTACGACTACTTCCGTGTTACACTTTTGCTCAAAGATCTTAATGTACTTGAACGTCAAGTCACAATTAGATGGTTCACTGCTCTTCATATTAGATGACAATAAAATGCTTGCATCGAATACTCTAATCTACAATCAATACTAGTTACAGCTCAGAAAAGAAGGCCGGTTTGATGTGCTTCATACACACGAACTAGCCGTACTCTTGGTCAACATACTAGCAGGCAAGAATACGGTACTTAAGTTTGCACCCAACACATTATAATGAGTACTCTATTCAACGGGGAAAAACGGATTTTTGGGATTTTGAAAATCTCAAAATTGAAAAGCATTTCCTCTCCCTGTGAATGGCGTAGTTTCGACCTGAAATTCTTCCCATATATAGGTTTCATGGTTCATAGAAGATCCTAAAAATTTCAATTCGAACAAATGGTTCCTTCTTAAAATATTGAATTTTCAAAAAAACTGGATTCTCTGACCGCGCCGTGAAATGAGCATTTCTTGCGCATTCATTATCTTGAGAAGAAAGCATCCGTTTGAATTGAAAATATTAGAATATTCTAAGGATCATGAAACTTACACATGGAGAAATTCAGATGAAAATTCCATCATTCACGTTTTAGATTTTGGAAATCCCAAATCCGCGTTTTCCCCTTGACTCTATTCGTAGTTAAAATCATGCTAAATCTATAAACTACTGAAACTCAATATCAATCCTTTCCTACTTTAGCTTTCGTATTCAAAAAGCTAATTTGAAAATTTTTCAAACATTTATACAAATAATTTATTATCATAAAATATTTACCTGCATGTGCAATAAGCCGAGCACCGACGAGTTCACCGACTAATACTGTCAAATTTGGTGCCACAGCCATCATTCGATTTTTCAAATACTCAAATAATTGTGCTCGATAATCCGATATTTCAATAACCTATTAAAATGTAGATATAGAAATAAATCAAGAGGATCTGTTTATTTCCAACAAAAATTTAATCTGGCCAATAATCTCAGTATGGAGACCAATCTACATTCGTGATATTCAGACTGGGGCGGTAACTAACGTCATCATAGATTAATGGCCTTGTCAATTCTCGAGGACGGAATCGAACACAAAATTTATATCATTTACTAAATTCAACTAGGCTTACTTGAGCACATAAGTGACGAATATTAGTTATATCTTCTTCTGATATTTCTGTGCCCATAGATATTTCAGCAGCTTCTTTTACTTGAGTTTCAACATCACTAGGTAATATATCGGATAAATCAGATTCAGCTGCATTTGTTCGATAACCTATAAAGAGCGAATCTGCCAAAAACAAAAACTCTTTGAAATAATTTTAACAAACCAATTTTTTGTACGATCTTGCAAAAAGCAATATTATCTTGTACGATTTTAGCTAATTCAGGAAAATGCCAACCATACCATTCTTTACAACGCATTATGTAATTATTTGTTTCTTTATCAAGATCGTCCAATAGCGCTATCAATAAAATAAAATTTGGTTCATAGCGAAGACAACAAAAACAATACATACAGATAGCTTGAACGATCATGGTATCAACTTTATCGGGAGAAAATTTCAATTTATATCGAGATAAACTATAAATAAAAATAAATCATTTCATCGATGTACACATTAAGAAAGAATTTTCTTTATTCAAAATCCTATTTCAAGCAAGTCCTATCTATTTTCACTAAAATTTTCAGGTTCAAAAGGTTTTACCAGTAGATTTGTCGTCATCAAAATCGAATCTAATGAATGAAGTACAATTAAAAGCTAGACTACTACAATTATATAGAAAATAGATACTATTTCAAAATATCGTTCGATGACAGCTAACATTTACATGGGATCTTCTTTAATAGTGGTACCGAATTTCGTAGAGGTTTTACATAGAAAACCAAATCCCGACAATCTCTATCCGGTTTATCTTAAATGAATAATCGATTTAGAAGTTTTCACAATCGCTAATCCATTAATTGGTATTGACTCGAACTTAAAAATTCAATCAAAACAAACCAATATTTTTTTCGTACCTGTGTGCGAGGCCAATACGCATGGCTGCTAATTCTTTTTCATCGATTTGTAAAAGACTGTCGGCTTGTGAACGAATGACACGCATAAGATCTTGTACAGAACTATTAGCTATACAATCAAAACTGAACTTCTCCTAAAGTATAAAACTATATTGAAGAAAGTCCGGAAGAAAAAGACAAGAATTTAAACAAACTTTGATGGCTTTGCCAAGGGTTGAATCAGCAACAAGTAATTTTTCTTGAACATCTGGATCGACGAGACGTTTAAGTAATTTTTTTAATGGTTTGGAAATTTTTCCTTCGACAGTTGCAGTTGCTGCAGCAAGAGCTTGTGTTGTATCTTCAAATTTTTCAAAATGAACTAATTTTAAACTAAAATCGAAAGTTATCCATCAGTTACAATAATACGAACAAACGTATCATACACAGTAGCAGCTTTTTCAGGTGATTCAAAATCCGCATATAAATTTTTCGTTTCTTGTAATTTTTTTTCATCAAGTAACTGAAATTTTAACAAGAAATGAAAACTGTCAATAAACAAGACAAACACAAACTTTAAATACTGCATAGCCAGCAGATGTCTCAAATAAAACGAGCATGTTGTGATATGATAATGAATAAAGGAAAGATAAACTCAACCAACAATACCCAACCGTTCAAATCTTTTGTCTTTCTTTGAACTGAATTGAATTGTTTATTTCGCAATACGAACTGTGAGTTCACCAATCTTTGCCGAGTGACATATCGCCCACCAAATCATTATAGATGGCGTTACTCAATGTTTATTTTTATAGAAACAAAATCGCTTTCTATAAGCGTCTTTTGAATCAGTTCAATATAGAATAGCTACTATAATCTATAGCACATCGGAATATTAATTATTTTGATAGTTCGAAAAAAAAAATGATACAAAAAATTCATTTAACTCTAATATTTTTTATCATGATATCACTAACATAACGATTGCAAATTCTAAACAGTAGCTTTACTAAAGTATTATTTCCATTGATCGAAATCTCCCTTTAGATCTAAACAAATTATTAACTAGTCTAATAATCTGATTTATTGATCTTAAGATAAACATTGTGTAAAAAATTCAATACTCTAGAGATTTCCTACACAAATAAGATTTTGTATTCCAAACAGGATCGATAAATGATTTTATTAAAGCTACAGAAAATATCATGATCCGTCGATACAATAAATCTAATCTAATTTTTCACGGCCGTTAAATACGTTAAGCATCACCAGGATACCGATATTCTTGGTTACTATTTTTTCGAGTGTACCTACGATTATTCGCTTGTTTTGTAATCACATACACTCTGCTATTGTATTATATATTCCTTGTTTAGAATAATTTAACTCAACTAACATAATAATTGCTTAAATCAGTTTTGAGCAATAATCTAAACTTTTCCAATCTATCTTGTTCGTAAAAATAATATAATTCCTTAAGTGTATACTTGATGACTCATCAATATACACATCATGAATTAAAAAGAAAGCTCATCGCTAAGTTTATGATATTTAACAAAAAGTAATTTTGATTATGCGATGTAAATCTTTCGTACAATGAAACCTTCACTCCTTGTTTCGTTTCACATATAATGGCTGTACGATCAAATACATACAATCCGCCAACAATTACTAATACATTTACATTGAAATTATCTATTATTCTGTCGATTAGTATCGCATTGCTTTTAACAATTGGAAAATCGAAGTGTGATGATGATGCATCAAATTTTAATCATGCCGAACCATGCGATTGTGGTTGTCAAGCCATAAGTTCACAAATTACACCAAGAATTGTTAATGGTGAAGAAGCAATTCCTAATTCATGACCATGATAGTTACTTCTAGTTGTTTTCCATTTGAATGGTCAACCCTCTTTCTATTGGAGTGTTAGTCTTATTACTCCGCAACACGCTCTTACTGGTGCACATTGTATTTTAGGTTCACCATCTCGGTATGTTGGTGTTATTTCTGGTCTTCAAGTTTTCAATATCAGTACATGGCCACCAAGCACAGCACATATGGCTCAACGTATCTATGCATGTTCATGAATCATATGATGATGTTGCAGTTATTCGTTTGGATACAGCTGTTATTTTAGATGACAACGTTAGTCTTCTTTGTATTGTACCAGAAAATCGGGGTCAGCAAGAATTAAAAAAAGGGCAGTCACTTATACGCTTTACAATAAGTAAGATTACAATATGTATTACGAGAACATCCATCATGTGCGCTGATTTTCCTCCAACAGCAATATGTTTTGATGATAGTGGTGGCCCATTAGTTCAATTAACAGCTCATTCAAATAGAAAAACCTATTGACACTAAGCGGGCATCATGTCAGGAATACTTGATTGTGGTCATGCAAAGAATTGTTCTGATGTTTACGCTCGGGTTAATTTTTACTATCCTTGGATTCTTGATTAAGTTCGTATTTCATCGGAAGTGAATTTTTATTCCTTTTTTTTTTTGTTTTAAATTTTATTTAAAAACGAAAAAGAACAGGATTTATTATTTCTGAAATTGTATTAGTTTAAATCTTTTCATCCTTCAATCAATATAAGGATACAAAGACAGAAAAAAAAAGTTCGCCAATATATATTTATCAAGAAACAAAACAACAACAAAAAGAACGACAGAAAGAAAGAAGAAAAAAAATACTCCTAAGTTTCCAAAATCCCCCATTTGCCAGCGATTTTTTTAACTTTTTGACTTAACTGTTCTTTCATTAGATTAAAACACATTGCAATAAGTACAAGACCAAGTAAAATATACAATGAAGCACATATAAGTTTTTCTTTTGCAGCTAAAACAGTTATTGATGAACCAGGTACAAAATCTCCAAAGCCGATTGTTGTTAAAGTTGTAAAACAAAAATAAAATGAATTAAGAAAACCCCAACGTTCCCAAATATTAAATAATATAGCGCCGAGTGTTAAATATAGCGGGATGACAAAAACAGTAACAAGTAAAGGTACAGTCATTTGTTCATCTTCATAATATTCTTCGTCGTCGTCTTCCATATGAGTCATTTTCGGAAAATCATATGTTGCTTTTGCTGAATATAATTCATTGTCAGGTTTCCATGTTACTGCTGGCGATGGAATTATTTCCTGTGCAGTTGATTCTTCATAGTCAGGTGGAGAAGGAAAAAAACTTAAACGTTCATCGAAACTTTGTGATTTTCGTGCTAATTTTCGACTTGGATCATTGATAATTTTAGTTGAGACTTGTTCTAACGAGTCGTTTTGATTGATTTCATCGGTTGAATTCTTTTTAGTTTTGCATAGAAAAAATCGTCGACGACTCGATTTAGTCGTTTCATTATTATTTATCGTTGGTGATTCTTCAGCTTCATTGCTTATTTTGCTAGTTGATTTACGATTGTGTGTTGATTCAGATTTTGAACGTTTTAATTTTTGTTTTGTAGTTTTCGTTTTTGGAATTTCTTTTGCAATGAGACTATTCTCGGTATTGTCATGACTTGTTGTTGTTGTAGTTTCAGGTATAGTCGACTGAAAGAAAGCAAAATCTTCGGATATATATATATATATGTATTTCTGTTTTTGTTTTTGTAAGATTTTATCTTTAACACTTAAAATTGTATATCAATGGAAAACTGTCATAGTTGACTTTTTTGATGAACGTGTCTATTAATTGTATGACCTCTAGATTTCGTTCGACAATGAAGAATACGATTTGAATCAAAATCTTAACTCAACAGGCGCTAATGATTATGATCGTTGAAAGAATAAGCATTGATGTTTCAACATCTCTATGTGTTGATGAGTACTGCAATGTGTCGTCATCGGCGATGGTAATACTGTTTGACAAACAGTCTGCTAAATAACATTCTAACCTAGCTCATTAATATGCTTTCTATGGATCTAAATGTGTTTGTATACTATCTTTCTTCTCCTATGGATATTCTATTTCATTGTCTGATGGATATATTTCGAGACATTGTGATTTCTTACTGAATGAAAATAATTGTAGTCCTTTTTTGCGTAGTAGTCATCGAGAACGTACTCATTGTTTTTATGAAGACTATTTAACATTGAGAGCTAGAGCAAATGCTGATATTTCAATCTGTTAATTTCAAAATTGAAAACAGAACGAAAATTTCGGTAATCCCTCATTCAAGAAGTGTCTGTTGGAATACTTGCGCATAAACTTATCTTTTCCGTAACTAAATATTATTTTTAAAGAACGAAAATTATTTTACTTGTTTTATATTTGCATTATCTGACTTTTCTGGTTCCGGCTTTATAATAGATTCATCATCGAGCGAAGATTCTAAATTATTGGTTAATTTATTTGTTTCATTAATATAAAATTCTATTGAACTAATATTATGCAATTGATGTCGTCGATCTTGATTAGTTGATGTTAGTAAACGATCGTCATCATTACAAACTTCATTGTTGTCTGTATTATCAGTATCTAGGACGGAATTTTTTCGAATAAGTTCATTAATACGATCGAGTGCATCTTTTGATCGTTCCTCGACTGTATTTGTTGATGACGCTAATGAACGACATTTATTCATAGTCGTTGGAGCTCCGGTTAGCATATTTAGACGGATATCAGCTGGTAATCGTTTTGTATCTGATGTTGAAATTTCGTTAGTTTGAGAAGGTAAATTTGACGATGAATCTGTTTGTGCTGGTAAATAAAGTTTCAATGATCCATCAGTGGTAACTAAATATAGTAGATTGAAATAAACAAGATAAAGGGAAAAAAAACGGGAATTTTCTTTTACCTTTCTCTAATAGTTCTTGATCGGCTTTTGTTTGTTTTAGATTCGACTTTTTTGTAATTTGTTGTTCATCGATTTTGATTGTTGTTTCTTTATCGTCTTGTTGTGGAGTCTTTTTTAAACTGACTCGTTTATTTTTATTTCTCCATCGACAACAAAATATAATCTTTATACGGCTAAATACAAATGCAAATAATTTAGCCATTGTTGAACCAATATTTGCAACGAACAGCATCATTAATGGTACACCGAACGCACTATAAAGTACAGTAGCGATTTTCCCTGCTACTGTTTTTGTTGTTATATGGCCGTAACCTTTTTGTTTACAAAATAGAAACAATTTTTATTGTCAGATAAATTCAAAATTCTACCTATTGTTGATACAAGTGTAACAGCATAAAGAATAGCTCCAAAATAATTCCAATCGGGGTCTGCACCAGGTCGTGTTCGTCCGTCAAAACCTTGCTGCACTTGTTGAATAACGGTTGCTTCAAATTTTTCAAGTTCTTCTGTTGCGTACAATGTAAAATTTCCTCTTTTATCGTGATACGGATATGAATTTACGCGTAAGATTTCATCCCATAGTTTATAAAGTGTTGAATTAAGTTTTTCACTCATCGAACGACGCATATCTTGTTCATTGCGAGCTTCAAGACCTTGAAATAGCCAACCGCCTAACGCAACATAACCGATCATAACAAAAAATAGACCGACACGTGAAAACATGAATGCCGTAAATTTTTTGCAACAACTTAAACAGTTTTCTTTTGTACATATTCGCTGATCCTCGATTAAAGATGGATCTTTAGCTTTTCGACGGCGCATGCTAAGCGAAAAATAGACAAGAAAAAAGAAGTAGCAATTAATATCTTAAATTAGATATTTGAAAAGAAGAATGTTATAAGATAAATGAATAAATATGCATACTTGGACTTAGTCGATGAAAGCACTGTCGGTCGATAAATAACAAAAATCTTTCGAGAATTCATCTTTTTTTTCTTTTCTCGATATTTTAATATGATAAAATCAGGGTTTCGATCTTTTTCTTCTTCTTAGCCTCAAGAACAATGAGATCAATATGTAGATGGATACAATCAATCGGCCATAGAACATATAAGTACATAGATATAGGACGGGTGAAGAAAAAACGAACCAGATCAGTGTTTTGTATTCTAATCAACAATATAACATAGAAAGCATCATCAAATGCGGCGGGGAAAAGCGATAGAAGTAGACGCCAGTAATGCTTTGATTACTTATTTGATCAGTATTCAATGGTACACGTCCATGGCTTAGGATTATCGTCACCAAGCATATGCATGGGGGGTAACAACAAAATCGCAGCAAAAGAAATGTATTATCAAGTGAGGCATCAACCTATTGTTAACCGTTATTCTACCGGAAATTATCATTATCATCTGGTCTTGGGATTGCTATGCCCATTGAATCAAAAAAAAAATACTTACATAGAAAACAAAACAAAAAATTAATAAAATCGATGCACTCTATCGATTCTTATTTGTTCGATAAAAGTAATAATGCCAAGATTGACATATTTATCCTCATATATATATATATATATTTGCATATCGATCCAATAATTTCTCGTTATCTCATTGGTTTTTTTCAAAGAATTGACTAGATGCCATACAGTGAAAGTTGTACTCTAGGTTTGTTTGTAATTAACGGCATCATGTTAAAACGTCGAAGTCTTTCTTTGAATATCTTCTCATAGAAAGCAAACAGAAACATTTTCTTTTTCTACGCCTTTCGAACCTACTTGAACGGAGATTTTTGAGTTTTTTTTACCGTTAAAATCGGTCTAACAATAGTCAATGGTTGCTGAAGATTGTTTTCAGAATTTATTGAAGTTATCGGTCTCTCTTTGACATTACTATGTCGAACAATAACCACGCGAGCCGATGATGATGAATCTACACGATGCAAATATGCTGTTGTTTCCATCGTTTTCGTGTCAGACAACTTAGTGTTAAATCCAACATCGCAAAAGAGTGATGTTTAACATAACAGAGAGCTGTATTATCAGTTCATCATTACTTGTTTTTTTTTCTTTTCCGTATTCTTCGTGAGAATAAAAAGTGTTTCCTTAGCCCCATTAACGAGACCCGAGAGAAACATGCGTGTGATAATGTGAGAACAAATGCTCGAATACCCTATGGATCATCCGAGTTGAACGACCGACACGAATACAATAAAGAATAGTTCTATATCAAACTAATAAGTTTATATAATAATTAATCGATGAAAATAAAATGTTAAAGATCGAAGGAAAGCAACAAGTTATTGTTTTCCTGATGAAATTACTGATACGATAGATCAGTTGATCTTTGGAATTTACTTTTGTATTGTAGAGAAAAGACACAATGAAATGAATATGTTCAGATACATATCGTCTATTGAGAAATGATTTTGAAAGGAAACATAATTTATGATTATGAACGCAACAGCATATTTTTCTCGGTGTCAAAAAATAGTACAAAGTATGTAAGCAATCAATCAATCAATCAATTAATTGTGTTCATTCATCCGATCATATGGTTGCCATCACTAATTATAGAGTTTTTCTTCTCTCAAGTGGTATATATGCGCAGCTAGAGCTATCCTAGTGAATGCATTGGCCTGAAACGCCTTGGAGATGACACCACTTTATGTCTCATTTATTTTTTTTTCTATGTATACACAAGCAAAGCACTTGGCGTACAAGTAAAGAAACAAAATTGTACCCTACACTTACATAACGAGAGCGCAAAGTTAACAGTCAGACGCTAGCTCTAACGATAATCATTCTTACTGAAGATTTTTTTTTTGTTCCTAAGATATAAGTATACCTACATATTTTTGAAACGAATATAGAAAAGTGATTTCATTATAAACATTGTGACCAATGATAAAAATTAGATTTAGAACAGCTCTGCTTTGTATTCACGTACTAATAATGATTATGGAATCTGTTTATTTACGTATATTTATATAAATGAACTCATGATCAAATCTCAGCGGTCAAGTGCTTCTGTATTTCATCGTTGCCCCAGATTTATGTAGACAAAACAAAATCCAAATATAGAACACTGCATCTGGTTAATGAAAAAGCAACAGCTGAAATAATTATGAATATTATTGTTTCAATAAAACAATTATATTTCTTCCTACGCATTATACAAATAATTTATTCTACTATAGAAGACGAAAAAACAGAGGATTCTTGCTAATTACTTTGTTTAATAAAGGCAATGGAGTAAGATTGTTGATACTTACTTAGCTTGATTTGTCGTCAATCAATAGCTAAGTGTTCTTTTCCGTGAGCAAAAAGCAAATGTTCCATTTAATCGCCCGTCCATCTCTTTTCTTTATTCTCATAGTCGTTCCTCATTCAGAGGCTCGATTGGTTCGGTATGTTCATCGTCGACCTTATTGCATTGATCGATTGGAATTTCTTTCTTTTTTCTCGATCCCAAATGAGAATGCATACACGCAATGTACTCTGTTAAGATCACAAAGACTTCTTTTTTTGTTAGTAGGGTGTACATATCATTATTCATTATCAAGGCAAGTAGGGAAATTCTTATGACAAGAAAAAATTTCTTGAGAATACAAAAAAAATTAGTTAAATAAAACTCTTACCTATCATTATTTCTAGAATAACCATGTAATGGTAATAGAAGTACTCGACTGAGACGGCGAACAACTGCATATCGACTTGTACTCATTTTGTATTCGTTATAATCATTTGTTAAACTATTTATTGAATAAAGAAACAAGAGTATAGAAACGATAATACAAAATAAATTTTTCTTTGATCTTTTTCGACTTTTCACGACAGAGATTTTCTTCAAAGTACTTACACGGAGATGACGCTTTGTCTTTTGCTTTTCTTCGTTATCGGTTATACGAACTCGACACTCTCAATGCTCGTTCGCTTGTCATCGAGCTACGATCAAATTATGTCGTCCCTCGTATACTGCTATGGATATATATATGAGACTATTATTTGTGTAGGACTAAGAAGGTGCTTATAAGCGAACGAGAGAAAAATAGAAAGAATGCAAACCTAAACAAAACAAGACAGAATATAGATACAGACTATCCATTCTCACTAACGGTAAGAACACTTCTTTTCTCATCAGAAATAACAACTTGATTCTTGTTCATTGTTATTCGCTCTTTTTTATTAAAAAAAAATGATGAATATCTATGTGCTGATAGAACGTCATTATTATAATTATAGTAAGAACAAAAAAGAACAAGAAAAATACATTAGTAGATTTTCTTTTCTTTTGAGTTTGACATGCATGTAATATTATCTAGCAAACAAATGTATACAAAAGAATTTTGACAAGAAGAGGAATAAAAAAAAACAACCGGGAAAAAAATAAGATAAATATTTATGAAAGACATTTTGATTTACAAAGCTAATATATTTGTCTATGCAACTATATCATCTTCTTGTTGAATATTGGTTGGTGTATTGCTTCGATTTGATGATGTAAGATTACTAGAATAGAAGAAAGACATTTTGACAGTTCCTTTTTTTTTTATTATTATTAATATTGTATCGATTTTCAACAAGTCTCTTGTGAATTTCAATCAAATGATAAATTGATATCAATAGGGTTTTCTTACTCTCAATCATAAGAGGAACTCATACTTGTTAATTATTTGGATTGAAATTAACTTTCGATCTCTTTTCTTTACTATAGTGGTCATTTTACAGTCGATGTTGTGCGAAAACCTTCGGAATACACTGAAAAAATTCGATGATGCTCGTGTTTCTTACGGGTAGCCAACATTTGTTTTAGGAACTAAAGGATGAATTTTTGAAAGAAAGATAGTGAATATGAAATCATTTTATTCGTCATTCGATGCAAAGCCTCTTAAATAAAACAGTATAGACAAAATACACATATTTGTTTATCGTCAGAGAATAATATCCATGGGATCCAACTTATCAGCTCTGATTAAATTATCCATGTTAACGGTTTTTTTATAGACAGAAAAGATTAAAGATGTTTATCCTTGTCTTGTTGAGAAAAGAAAACAGCTCTGATATTTTGCTAATGACTCCTATATGGGATACTATAAGTGGCTTTGATGCAAAAAGAATACTATCTATCGGGGTCGGAGAACTTTCAGAAATAATATAATGTTATTCTTATTAATCATTTTTAGCTGATTATAGGGCACCGAAAAAAAAATATGAGATATGATCTTCTCTTACTTTCTACTTTTATTTCTTTGACATTTCGGGCAATGATATTTTTTGCTCTCGTGACATTGAAAATGAAAGCATGATTGACATACTAGAAAAAAGAAGCAAAATCATCATTGATTTTTATTTAAAATTTTTCAACAATCAAACCTTGGCAAACACTTGTGACGTCTAAATCAAAGGGAAAAATAATACTCTTTTCGTTCATACATATTTCACAGATAAATCCTTTCGCATAACATAATGCACAGTTTAATGCATGTTCACGTAAATTTAAGACGATTGGTTCAAGCACTTTTATTAAATCACCTGACTTTGCCTGTAGAGAAAAACATGTTTTTTTTGCCTCGTAACTTCCTTAGGTGAGAAAAAGCAACTTACTTTAAATAAATCTTGTATTGAGTAGCTATATGGATCTGCATACATGTAAGAAGGCAATTTTTGTAATATTTGCGGACAACTATAGAACGAAGAAAAACCCAAAACGAATGATTTTCTAGTCGTTGAAAGAAAGAGTATTTACTTTTTTTCTTCAGCAAAACGACAAGTTAAAATATAATGTCGTAGATAAAACAGTGACCAACGTAATTCATCTATGGCTCGTAATTGTTTATTTTTCTCAAATAATTTGGGATTAAGATCATTCACATTGAATGTTGGTTCACTATATATGCGATTCAAATAGTCAAATGCAAAATTCGATACACTATGTTTGCTTGAAAAATCCCATTTTGTTATTACGTATGATGGTAAAAAAGTCTTTTTATCAGAATGACAACTACGACAAAAATATTTGCCTAATAAAAGAATATATAAAAATAATTTTTCTGTTGTCCAATGGTTCAAAAGTATAACCTGTATATTCACAATATCTATAACGATATGCAAACCCTTTTTCAACATGACGTCCACAACCAGCACATAGGTAACCTTGCTTTTTTAGTTGGAAATCACGACTAAAGAGAAAATATTGGTCGTTGTCTAGGTTGAGTTTATGGTTTTGAAAACATACTTAGGAGGTTGGTGTATATGAAAGATCAATTGTTCACGTGGTGGTGCCCATTGACTATTACCACGACATAGAATCTTAATAAAGAAAGAAAAAATGTTAAATTTGAAAAACATTCATTTGCTTAAGAGTTTATAGCATGCTATTTTCTGACTGTATTCGAGAAAGAAGAGTGTCTAGCTTTTAGGGACATGGTAAAATAACCTACTCTTTGACCATCTTCATTCGAAAGATAATCTTCACTTGGATCGATAGATATTCCATCGGGAAGGGGTAGTAACTTGAAAAATAAATAACTATACTATTGAAACTAAAAATGAAATATTTTCTACCTCTTGTGGTAAATCCTCATCGTGCGGAATCATCCAGAAGAGTTCGGGTGCTGTGGGAACTTTGAAATTTTTCCATGTTTCCATTAGTGCTAATGCTAAAAGACAAAGAAAACGAAATAAAAATATCTTAGTATAGCTATATATACCTATTGCTTCAGCGGATGATTCTTGCAAGCTAAAATAATCGGTAAGAGCGGAACAATATAATCAATTAAATTACTTTAAACTTAATATTGAACTACGAATTGACCAATCAAAATTATTCGGCGGTTCACCTGAAATACAAGGCAAACATAATATTCGCGAAAAGGAATTTTTCTAGCTGATGGCTCAGTGCTAAATGGAATTACTATTTACTTGAATCTGTAGTTGATTCTGTCATTTCATCATGTTGTTGTGTAATTAAATTCTAAATAAATATATTTTTGTTAAAAAAAGCGACACTGACAAAAGCGAAAAAAAGTAAAATCTAACTTTTGTTTCAGTATTCGATAGTAATTTTGAATTACATGGAATATATTGTTGCGATGGCGGTGATGAACTACTAACGGATGATGATGTATGTGCTGTTTCACAGGGTGATATTATGTTAGCTATTGACGATGACCATGATTGACCAAAATATTTGTTACACTGTTGAGTAAATTTAATTTGTTCAATAGCTGATATAATCGCTTCACTGAAATAAAAGTGAGCATTCTCCTGAATTGAAAAATAAAATTATTTAAGTAGAAGAAAAATAAAAGGCTTTGGTGTTACTTTTTCAACATCCGTTTGAGTTTTCAAATCACATTCACGTATATAATTATCTAATGTTTGACCTTTTCGTGGCCAAAGTAATGAAGAATGAGGAAGTCGTGAGGCTAAAAAAAAGAAAAGTTTTCGTATTACAATAGAAAATGGTTGGGTAAAAAGAGACCGAGTCCTTTGTTGGAGTTGCTAGGAAATTAAATGCCTGGGATTATCTTTCACAATCGTCACACTGTTAGAAAAATCACGCAACTAACTAGAGCCGGAAGTATTGTTTTTCAAATGTAGACGTATGATCATTATGTTAGAGTAAAAAACAATTATGTTGCTGATTTGATTTAATTTTGTCACGTTCAGTCTCGAGCGACTTATTAATCTCAAAAACCTGGCATGAGATTTCATGTACCGTTACCTAATATACTTCCATAGTATTGCGTTGTGTACTACGATTATATATTCAACAGTTCATTTTCTCTTTCTCTCTGAGAAAGCTTTTAATAAGCATATCAAATGATCGCCTAATCGACTTCCCATAACCTTTTTAACAATGTTGCCGAAAGTACTCAACGTTATCGAAGCCAACCTGTTTTGTAAAGTGAATAGTTCTCCTGAGAATTTTTCACTATACTAACGAAGAAGATTTTTTGCTTAAAAAAAAATTCTTTCGATTCAAAACTATATCAAATGACTAGTTACTCTTACTAAGAAGGCAGTCTCTTTGCTGATTGATGTGGAGACACTGTATTTGTATGACGTCTAATATATCAATGTCATGGATGACTCAGGTACTTTAAGAAGAAACAGTTTCTAAGGTAAAAAAACCTCTTTTGGAGAACTTTTCAGAATTTGCCGCTATTCCTGTTCTGAAATAGAACTAAAATAATAGCAGACGTTTTATATCCTTAATATGAATTAATACATTTATAAGCTATTTGAGCATTCATAATCGTTTAGAATCAAAACGATTTCATCACTTCAGAAGATTTTCCCGCGCTCAATCTAAAAAGAACAATGGGACTTATATAGTACATCGCGTAGGATTATATCTACTGCAGAAACAAATATGATCGTAAAGATGAAGTTACAAAAATGTATGGAGAAAAATTTTCTTATTAACTTTTATTCGGCTTTAAAATAATTGATTGACTTATCAGTCTCAAAACAAATGGCTGAGCCGAAGCCTCGGATGGAAAAGAGCTTGAATTTCTAGTCCAAATTTTTCAAGACGATGTAAAAAAAACAATTAGTCGCCATCCATCCTTGGAACTTACTTGTTCTAGTCAGTTATATAGAATAATACTACATACTAATTATGTAAATGATGACAATTATAAAATTTTATAATCTTAACTAAATACTACTTTCATTCCATGACACTCAATCATGCTTATGGGATTATTAAATAAAGTCCTCATCAACAAAACTATGTGTTAGAACGAACAATTCACGTCGCTCAGCTAAGAAATAAATTATATGATGAATGAGACCAGAAGGCGAGATCAAAAAGTTACTTTAGGGCGGATTTTCAAACTAGTGGAAGAAAAGATCATGTCACCTTAGGCGGTAACATCCGTTGAATCTTTAGAATTAACTGAACCTATGACGTCTTCATTAATTAATAAGATCATACAGAGAACACTTTCTTTTGTCTTTTCTGAAGGTTATATTGAAACGCGACAAACTGATGGAATAAGTCGTTTTTTTTTTAAAAATTACTTCGCGCTGGATAATCGGTGGCAGACATCGTAATACTTCGATCCATCGGTGATGTAGAACCCACTGAAAGTATAGTTTCATCATTATTCATAATTGTCGATAATCGATTTGTATACAGAGCGTTAGTCGGCTCATCAATAATTGTAATTTCACTTGATATTGATTGTCTATTGGGACTTTTCGAGTTTGTTGCTTTTCCCAATGTTATTTTCGTTTGTTTATTCTGATCAAATATATCACCACGAGAACCATAACTGGATCCGTATGAGCCATATTCATCTGATTGAAAATAGGATATATTTGGAATGTTGTATTGTGGTTGTACTACACTTTCATCATATATCGGTTGATCCAATGGTGATGGTGATGCAACATGTGAACGATTCGCACTAATTGAATCTTTCGGAATAGAAAAAATAGGGTCACTATGTATCCGACGATGAAGAATACGTTGTTGACCGAGAGAACCTAAGAAATAATTGATTTTATTTATATACAAGGAAAGACAATAGAACACATTGTCTTACGAAGTTTTTGTTGGGTGTCATCTTTAGATTTTCCATTTGAGACGACGGTCGATGATGATGGTGATATATTTGATTGATTTGTAGCATCGTTTGCTGATGGTATAGGATAAAATCCAACAATCGACTAAAATAAAAAGATACTAGTCGAAATGTTTTTATTTTGGTTTGCTTTTACCAATTTAGGATCAATATTGACAAGTAATGATGGATCACTGTATTCAACCGTTCGTATACAAATAAGAAATGCGTGATAAAATGGTAGAATTCGCGTAAACGCATGAGCTAAATGGAAAAATACACCATTGTATTATATTTGACTCTCCCTAATTGATATAAATTGGATAGAAGGGCTTATCCGAGTGCATGACGTAGAAAAACGACAGTTACAATGTATGCCATTACGCTTTTTTTTCAGTTATGCAATAGAATTTGATTTTAATATCAAGGATGAGTACATGTGAAATCTTAACAGAAATTGTCATATCCACTTGAATCGTTTTAGATTTTGATAAAAATATCAATGAATGCGGTAGTCAAATTGGCTTAGGTATTTTGACACCAAAAGCCCTAAATGTCACTCAGTAAATGATGGATTTTCTATAATTAAATAAGCCACTATAAAAAAAAGGCGAAGAAAAAGTAACATTTTTCTTACTAATATTCTATAAATTTATTCATTCTCACAATTTTATGTTTAGAAATGGATTTAGCTTTTACTTTAATTCACCATGTTATATCATTGAGACCTTGGAGAAACAAATCATTCAGCGAAGGATTCCGTTTTTCTCTATGCTTTCAATCGACAATTGGTTATTGTAAGATCATTCGTTGGTTTTTTCTCTCGATATCATTAGAGAGATAAAATAAAAAGTTTCATTCTTGTTGAAACAATTAGTATGAAGATAAAGTCACAATTAATTAGATTATTATTATCGATTCAGTAGTTTGCATGTGATCAAATTAAATTATCAAGGCATTGATTTCTTTTTGTTTCCGATGCGATTCATCATTTCCGCTACTCCCACTCATTTAGATTTTTTTCTCTCCCCATTCAACATCCGGTAGTCGATAATGATTTTCTTTGCCTACTAACTACCTCTCATCATCTGTACTACGATTCTCTTCGTTCAATTCTTTAAATTCTAGTCCCACCGCCAATGTCATCAATTGTGTCATTAAACTCTGTCCCCTCGAATAATTACTCCAAAACACAAAAAGACTATTTTGCATTTTTATATTTATAATGAAAAAGTAATTATTTAGTTTTTTCCTAATATTCAGATACGACTACTTCTATTTTATAGTTTAATTGTTTCCGACTGATGTTTTGAGCAATTTTAAATAGGTCTTTTCTTAATTCTCTCCAACAAAACATCTTATTTTAAGGTACATTAATTTTTTATGGCCATCACTATAAGAGCTCGTCAGTATGCCTCGAGCGTATGATCGCGCTCGCCTTCTTTTCCGTTCTCCCTCTCTCTCTCTCTCTTATAAGTTTCTCTAGAGCAACTTTTAGATAAAGTCAATGTCAGTTGGCTTCGATTTCAAATCTATGTGCCTTCTATTTTTTTCCCCGACGATTCCACTTTTAGCACGAGAAATTTTTTGTTTTGTTTCAAACGTTCGACAAACTTTCCATTAGAATTGGCAAATCAATACGTCTGTCAACACGATTGCGTTTGAGTAACTTGACCCACTCTTAAATATTTGCATTGAGACTCCCACTCTTACACTGACTTTTATTCCCGTCTATTTTAAAATCTTCTTCATGTCGTTTACCATTAAAGATAATATTCTACTCCCACGAAAGCGATAAAAGAATAGGAAATTCATCTAAGTATAATAAGAATCGTGAAAAAAGATAACACGTCAAATCTATCATTTGTGATTTCTTTTTCCATCTATATATCTATTTCATTATATCATATTCTTTCTCTATTATGCTAGCATAGAATAAAAACACGAAGAACGCCCATCTTCATCTAGTCCAATAGCACATTAAAATAAATCAAGAGAAGAAGAAGAGTATTTCAACATCAATCAATGCTCTTCTTCTTCGATACTACGGCTAGCAAAGTTTGTTGGTCGCGGAATCGTGTCGTACCTTTCCTATCAGTATTTTTATTTATTTGCTGTATTTTACCATCTATATCAAATGCATATCCATTACATTCTTCATCTTTATCAATAACTAACGATAACAACAACAACGATGGCAACCACCATGTTCAAAATTCAGATTTAATTATGTTAAATGAAAACACTGCGGACAATGAAAATAAACATTTATATCTAGAACGTGATGAGCGCGGCACAGGTTTTTACATTATTCGCAATGGTGATTATCTTACGTTTGTTCCTGACACGAAACATAATTTTAAAAGTAACATGCGCATTTATATTGGGCGTCGCCGTTAGACGTATCTATGTGTGGTTACTTTTCAAGAAGATATCATGTTTAAAATGTTTTTTTTCAGACAGCAGATATTAAATAAAAAGACGAGAGAAAAAAAATCACTTACGATAATAATATTGTTCAAGTAAATCATGATCATGTTCAGCACAGGATAATTGTTGAGATAAGCATTGACTTATAACTGATTGATCAATCCATTGTTCAACCGATTGTCGAATATTTTCTTTATGATATATATCTTGTAACAAATGAATATATCGCTGAGAATTTGCATTTAAACGAACAATTAATTGCCATAATTGTTCATAGATATCTTGAGTATTCTATTTAAACAAAAAATACACACACTAATTAGAAAGTAAGAAAATGAATTTCTTTAGTACAATGCGGAGTTTGCAATTAGCAATAAGTCATGGTGTTTAGTTCGGTCATAATAATGATGTCGGATATACACGACACGTTTACTTCGTTAGTTTATTAATTGTTTCATCTATAGGATCTCGCTTAATAATTCTCCTTGCATTGATATAGATATGAATATTAAAATTTTTATATGTTAATGATTACAATAATTATCCATTAATATTCTAACAATTTGTTCCGGCTTCGAATAATAGTTCCGAACTATTAATGTTCGCTTAGCGTGGCTTAGATTCTTCTTTTCATATACAAGTTGAGTGTTTCAATGCCAATGACGCCTTCACGCGTATTTTAATACATGATTATCCTAGAATCGTTTTATTCATTAAAAAGAAATTAGCAATTTTGTAGACAGATCGGTCATTTCTCTCTTATCGAAGCATTAATTCATGTTGAGAAGTTTTTTTTTTCACTCAATTTTTATTAAAAGTTTCATTTTCTAATTCAATAAGCGTCAATACCAAGTGAAAAACAATATAATCATTTGATTAAAAAGTACACTCTAAATGAATTTGTTCACTTTTTACGAGATTTCATTATTACTTTTTTGGCACACAACGATAATGAGTAATAAAAGCACGCTCCGTTCCAATCAATTTAAAGTGATATGAACGCTTATTACGTTGTTCTCCAAGGCAAATGAAAACTGTAGGCTGTATACTGTGCATATAAAATTAATCATCAAAAATTTTTCTATTCATTTTTTTGTAATTCATCGAAGTGAATGTAGATCGTAACAAGCAGTGAGACTCCTGCTGGAAGTTATTCGATGAGTAACAAAAACAAAATAATCGACTTCATGGAATTTTGTCTACAAATTACTACTTATAAATAATGCATATATTTCCTGATGAGAATAAAGTCTGAATTGTAATATGTCGTCGTTTGTGTTCTGAATGCGAGAGAACGCTAAACATACTCAAATTATCTTTCACGCAATATCAAACAATTATACAAATACGTGTCGTGATTCATGAGCCAAACATCAGACTATCAAATGAGAACAGTCGTAGAAGTTACAAATTGCCTTCATAATCGATGCTATTGGTTAATATAATTAACAACGTTTCTCGGTAATTTGTTTAACATATAATTGATTGTAGCCTACGCATCTCTTGTCGAATTTATTATTATTTTCAAAAGCTCTCTTCAGTCATGCATGAAAGAAAGGGAAATAGCTCATCATAGATAATAGATTGTTTTTATATCAACTATTCTGATGTTTCCTCCGTTAAATTATCGTTTTTCTGAATCGACTGATATACAATCACAAACAGCGCATTATGTCAGATTATTGATGCTGTATGCTCAGAAAATTGAATTTTCTTTTCAAATCTCTTGATAATTTTGTTTTTCATTGAAAATCAGTTCGAGTCGACAATCAAGATTGAACATGCGTTCTATGATAATATTCGAAGTAAGGTTCACTCAAATATTTTCAACGTTTGAAAGCAGATCAATACACATACACTCACTCCCTGGCAGCGATAATGAAAAACTAGAAGTGTAAATCCTGAAGAATTAAGATGTAAAACAGAACGTAGTCAGTTAGAGCAATCGCTGAGAACGACCTTATCTTACTCTATCTATTTTCAGGCGTATTGCTTCAACATCGTTCTTACGTAAGAAGTAGATTTATATGGGAGCCGGAAAGTTGAGCACGAGGAAAGATGAGCACGGAAAGATAAGCATGGAAAGTTAAGCACTGGAATAATGAGCACCGATAAAATGAGCACAGGAAAGTTGAGCACGAAAAGAAAACTTATAAAGATACAGTATATTGACTGATGAATAAATTTTATTTATATTCTATAAAAAAAAACAATTATAATGTAATATTATTAGCGATTGAGTCGAGTTGAGTTAGAATATTTTGATGGGGATTTGAAATTAGATGTAATATAGTCGTTTTTCAAAACGTTCATTCTTCTTCTTGCTTTTTGGTACTTGTCCAGATCTTATATGAACTCTTTCAATTTTGACAATTTTTTGTTTGAATTTGAATTTTATAGGGACAATTAATTACATTCTCTCTATTCATGTAGTGTGAATAATTAGATTATTATACAAAATTTGTACTTCTTATATTCATGGAGTTGTGTTATATATGATCTAATCAACATAAATTGGTTTATACCTATTCATTATTTTCTCAATTTTTTTTTGTTTCGTGCTTATCTTTCCTGTGCTCATTTTATCGGTGCTTATTATTCCAGTGCTTAACTTTCCGTGCTTATCTTTCCGTGCTCATCTTTCCTCGTGCTCAACTTTCACCAATCCGATTTATATACTATCTGGTGTGCCAGAGTAAATTAGGCTGTTTGTAATTTTAACATTTCTCTATTTCACTAAATTTTATCTGGCTGATTTTTATGCCAAAATATTGTCTGTTCAATTCTCTACAAAAAATGCATTTTCAGTACTATTGCAGAATCCAAAGGTGAAACATATGATGATAAATTTTGAGAAGTACAAAATGACTAAGTATATCTTCGTTAGAGTATGTTCGAATTGTTTCAATATATTTTCAAATAAGCTCTATCTCCTAGCGCCGAGTACAAATATAAATGTCCGACATAAAGATTATCTTCATGCCAATCAAGCGAAAAATCACAGCAATTTTTATCTATTTTTGCGATGTTGAACAAAATAACATTTTTTGTTTTAAATTCGAGAGATCCAAGCAAAACGATTAAATATTGGTTTTCAAAATAAATGAAAAAAAAATCAGTCTGCATCAAATCTGACGAGACTTCGTTTGCTTTAATGGGAAGCGTCAATTATTGATGAAAAGAACATCAGTTTTTAAATTTTTAGTAAATAATCCTTAAGAAAGCTGTTGTTCAACTTGTGTAAGTTCAATTTTTGCGCCATTTTGATACCTCTTATGGCATGTCGCGCCTTTGAATTCTGCAATAAAGCGGTTAATATATTTTTTTTATATAGAGAATTGACTAGGAAATCTCTTATCAAAAAAGATCAGTTCGATCAAGTTTAATGAAATTGAGAAATTTTAAAACTACAAAGAGTATAATTGATTTTGGGACATCTCACATTTCATTTGTCAATAACGAAGCTCGGTCAATATTATACCTTGATGAAAATTTTAATACTAAACTACTGATTTGCGAAAGAGTAACATTATAAAACAATGACATACTTGTTTAAGACCATGAGATAAAATTGCTAAAATAGCCAATCGTAGTCTTTCAATTGCACCATATTTTGTGGTTAAGGAATCACCGCGAAATTGAATCAATAATTCAACAGTGGATTTTATGCTGGTTAGAAGACTATTGACAGATGGAGGTCTAAATTATTCCATAAATAAGATAATTAAATCAAAGATCTGATTTTAATATTAACAGACATGAACTCAATCAAATCAAACTTACGGATTATTCATTCTTTATATAAAAAAATTAAAAATAAATGAACCTCTATTAAATTAAATCATATTTCCAAATATTTGATCTACAAGAAAAAAATATGGCATAGTGTTTGTGATTGTTTTATTTTTCGATTGCATGATAGTGCTTTTCTTTGAAATGATATTTATTATTGGTTTGCACCTAAAAATAATTATTCGGAATACGATTCAATAAGATATTTGTTAAAAAACTGATTGCATCTCAATTACGAAAGCTTCAGATTTTACAGCCGAATATTTGAATAAATTTGATAATGCATATTGATTTAAACATACGATATCAGCAAATAAAGCTACAATGTCAAAGCAATGCTGATTTTAAGTTCTCTTTGTTCGCATATTATCCAAAATGAAAAACGCTGCGAATGATTGTTACGTTAACGAAGAATCAATTCATCCGTTATATGTGCTCTATTTTATATTCATATAAATCGTGTACTATCAGATTGGAATGCGAAAGTGTTCTCATAGAATATTCAATCATTCTTTGCACACTACAATTCAACTAATTAGATTCAGATGAAGCTAAAGGAATAAATTCAACATTTCCGCCTACGACAAGAGTAAACAACTTTCAGTAAACCTGACTAAGATGATCAAATATTGTCTGTCTGTTTCCAATAAAAATTTACTTGAAAAACTCTCATTTAAGATAAAACGGATATGTTACTCAACAAATCTAAGCCAATTAAATTCTTTCCTTTTTCTTGCTAAATTTGATTGGTGCCAGTCGAAATGTAATATTAATCGAAATGACCAGAACAATGCATGTCTCAGAAAACAGAAATTCCATCCTTCGAGCCGCTATCACATGTATTGACCTCATCAGTAGTCTTCGAAACTTGTATTCAATAAAGGCTAACTTTTCCCATTTATCTTTCTTTTTTTTAATATTAAATTAAGATTCTAACTTCCAAAAATCATATTATTCACTTCATAAAATTGTCTTTTTCTATTTCTTTTGCGGCCATTTAACAAAAACAGAATCTCTCTATTCAGATTTCTAAACATAACAAAAAATATATGCACTTATTAGACTTAAAAATTGCTTACAACATTCATAGATAGCAAAAACAAATATTCGCATAGCTGAAATACAGAAAAAAATAAACATCATGTGTGTCAATCCATAGTTTACCCATTGATAGATTGTTTTATCCAATCGGTATAGAGAGGAGCACGAACATAGGATTCAGTCTGTCAAAACATGATTATTCATTATTGTCATGTGTTGAAATTTTTTTCTGTTTTCTTTTCTTTTAATTTTGAAATTTGTTATTGCTTCATATGACTGTTTTTAGATGTAAAAGAACTTTCAATCAGTTCCCAAATCCTCTTTTTTTTCTTTTTTCTTCCATCCGTCCCTTACACAATTAAATATCATCATTAATAAAAATGTCACCAGATCAACATCAGCAAATACCAGCTAAGGTTTTAGATGACTTATGCAGGTAATTGCTTCTCCTATACGAATAAAAAACAGAAGAATAAATCGTTTTTATTTAGCCGTTTTATTATTAATATTCCTTCTGAACAGCGTGAAGATCTTGTTCGTGTATTATTTGCTGTCGAACTAGCCCATTGGTTCTTTATTGATTTCTATTGTGAAGATTATAATGATTTACATGTTTGCAGTATAAAAGAATTTGCCCTGCAAAGTAAATTTAAATTCCTATTGTTTTCGGATAGTTATATAGTTTTTGTGTAAAATAGTTTTTCAACATTGTCCTTTTCTACGCGATTATGTACATAATCTCGATACAATTCTATCACGTTGGCGTGGTTATAAATTAAGTGTGCCAACATATGGAGCAGTTTTATTAGATCCAACATACGAACATGTTTTACTTGTACGCGGCTTTTATAATAGAGAAAGTTGGGGCTTTCCAAAAGGAAAAGTACAAGAAAATGAAAGCCCATTGAAATGTGCTATACGAGAAGTAACAATCAGATTTTAGTTATTTTTTGCTTTTTATTATGAATAAATAAATTTATTTTTAGGTTATGGAAGAAGTTGGTTTCGATATGAAAGATCGTGCCTTTGACGATCAATATTTAGAACGTGATCTTAATGGACAACTTATTCGATTATATATCGTTAAACATGTGCCACTTGATACAAAATTTGCTGCTAAAACTAAGAATGAAATTAAAGTAATTTATTACAGATTTTTATTTAGAATCAAAATATTCTGCTTGAGTTACGAGAGTTCTATTGAGCTTTTACGTGTGAGCACCGAGGTGAATATTCATATCTTACAATATGTATTGATTCTGATAATTTAGACTTTCATGTTCATCTGACTGATGAGTGAGTTTTTAGATTTTAACCGCTGTCTTCCTCGAGAACATTCGAAAAGCTGCTTTTCGAATGGAAACTTCTCATAAAGATAAGCGATAAACAATATAATGGGACTGTGTAAATTACAACAATATTTGTCGTTTGTATTTACAGCTGTAGTTGAATATGTTTTTCTCATCGCTTACGTAAACTGTTATCTACAACGTTCTTAGATGAAAAGCTTCGGAAAACTTTACGATAAAACTATTGTGTCAATGTCAAACACATGAGTTCAATTTTAAAAAATATCATAAAAATAATGTTCTCTCGGAAGCAATACAATAAAAAAAAGAATAGAAAATCGTTGCATATTATTCATCACTCATTAGGGTCAAAATGATCGACATATTCTTGACTCAGAAGCAATTAATCAATTATAAAACTTACTTTCTCAGCTCTATTACAACGACTTCAACGCGAACTAATTAACGTATAGATCCGAGTTTGATCAAATCTCTTTATGAAATGCATTCACAGAAATCTTATTATTTTTCTCTAACTAATTGTTTTTGTTCTAGGAAATGCGTTGGTTCCGTATTGCTGATTTGCCATGTCATAGACGTGACAATACATCTCAAGTTACATTAGGACTTAATCCTAAAGCTTTCTTTATGGTTATACCATTTATCAAGTACATTTGAAATTTAGAATAAATTGAAAGATTTTCAAAAGCAAAATTCTTTTTCTTCTTCATAGAGATTTGCGTCGTTGGATAAATCAAGAGTGTGGAATTTATTCATCATCAAATGGTGATTCCGACAACGCAAATGAATATATAAAACGACGCGAACAAGCTCATTTACATCATCATCATTATCCTCAACAGCGACGTCGAACAACAACATATCATGGTGTAATAACACCAGCTAAAACACGACAAGCAACGATATTACAAAAACTATTCGGTGTTGACCATCAAACATCTCCATTCGGTAAGTCGAACAACAGAAAACAATGACCTTTATATTAAATATTGACGTTTTTTATTTTACTTGTTTATAGTTCGTGATAATAATACATCAATACGCGAACAACGAAAAAACTCAAGAAAAATCATCGCAAACCTTACAGCACATAGCGCCGATGAACAACAAATGCCATCATCACCCCCGTCGTCGGTAAATAAACTTCAAACACAATTAAGTGTACAGGACACCATACAACGGCATTTTTGTCAAATACTCAAAAATGATTCACTCACTGTTACTGATAATACATCGATTACAGAAACGCTACTCATGCGAGAAAATAGTTCATCAACTGGTGGTGCATTAAGTATGTAGAAATTTTATTCGCAAAAATGAAAGTTTTACACTAATGGAAGGTTTTGAAAGCCCTACTCATGTCATCAGTTGAATGCTCAATTCAACACCAAGTGGAAAATAAGAGCATGTGAGGGATATCGCAGAAAGGAAACATGTTTCCTTGGTGTAAAATAAGTTACTGAAATATGGTAGTTTATTTTTGTTGCTTTTCTTTCCTGAAAGAAAAAGAAACAAATATCGGATATCGATATTGCTTACAGATTGTTCCCCCTGAGAATTTTGTTATGAATTAAAAATCTCAATAATTGAAATTAAACTATTTTCATGCGAATTTTATGTAAAACAATTTTACTTCTATTTAGATTTAAGCCAATTAACACCTGCAAAATTGAACGACGATGAAAATAAACGTCCATCATCAAGTAGAAATCATTCGAATAAAAATGAATTATCATCAAATAAAAAAGAGAAAAAATCTTCAACACCAATAAAAAGTCAAGTTCAATATAGAATTTTACAACGGGGTCAACCTGATGAACCATCGCCTATACTAAAAAAGCCACAATTAAAAAATGAATTCGATACTTCTGAAAATAGTCCTACAACGAAATGTCAACGCAATCGACGTAAGTATTCCATTAAGAAATTGACATAGATAGAATTTCACTATTTTTCTATGTCTAGGACGTGTCGATCGACGTCTAAATAATGACACCAATCAAAAACAGCAAAGTCCCCAACAACCATTCTCAAATTTAACAAATAATAATACTACTAATGGTCTTAATTCTCATACATTTCGTTACGGTGGTCCACGCTGTTGGACACAATTTCGTCTTAATCGTTCCGAAGTTTCTCGTTGTCTTCGAGAGTGATTGAGAATGTTTTCGTGTTTCAGTCATTATGATCAAAAAAAAAGTTGTTTACGTTTTCGTTTCTTCATTATATGTTTATGTAAATAGGACAGTCAATCAACTCTTTCGTTGTGTTTTTGTGCTGTGCGCTTAGTTTTCTTTCATATATATTTGTGAGTGAGTGTGTGTGTGTATCGCGAATGATAGTGTTTGTATGCGCAACACGTTATATATCTATCTATGTATTTATCTGTATGTTTTTCTTCTTTATGGAATGATGAATTCATGGTTTTTCTTTTCGTTACATTCCCGTTTTCGTTTTTCCGACTAGTCTTGAAATTTCTCTCTCATTCTATATGTGCCAAACTTGATGGTGTCGCTCGAGTTTTCGTGCGTCCCTTTTCTCCCCTACTTTGCATTTAGTTTTGTGCTGTCTAAAAAGAAATCGATGGGAATTCTAAGCACAAGCAACAGTTTTGTTGTAGTGGTCTATTAATCTCTCTGCGTTGCTTTTTGTTTTTCATAGATGACCAAACCAATGTGATGAGTTTTTTTCCGTGTGTTGTCTTAGTAGATGATTATTTGTTTGTTCGATTTTTCTTTTTTGTTACGTGCGCACGTTCGATAATTGTATCTTAGTCTTGTGTGTGCGCGCGCGCAAATAAATGTGATATGCATACATTTTTTTAAATGTGTATGTGTGATCATCATTTTTTTTGTTTCTTGTCGTCATTTTTTTTCTCTTCTTGTCTGTGTTGCTGCAATCTAAAGACTTTTTGGGGCAACAATTAAAAAATGTGTGCATGCGTGTTTTTTCTTTGTCTTCCTAAGTGGCTATGTATATCTTCGTGCGTATTATATATCAGAAGGGAAATAAACGAAACATCGAGAGAATTGTCTGAAGATACGCTGTTTCATGTTATTTCAGGAAGACTACGATCAACTAGGGAATAAGGCAAATGCGAACTATATATATCAGGCAAGGCTTATATTGATGGTGTGTCAATTTTTTATTTTTTTATTTATTACGGTAACTATCGAATATGAAGAGAGAGAGAAAAAAAAGGAACTTCTTCCGTCGTTTCCTCATTTTTTTTCTTCATATTGCCTTACATATGGCTTGCTTTGTCGGTACCATGCTACAAACTAACCGTATAAGTAGTTATATTCGCTCATTTTTCCTAGTTTTTCTGCTATTCTTTACAAGAGAATGGAATGACATTTGAACACGAACGACGGCAGCGCTAAACAAGAATGCTAGCCATTGTATGTTCGGGAGAAGAATAGCACGCGAGAAAGCTTGAATCTCTCTCTCTCTCTCTCTCTCTCTGTTCTCGGCCTTAGAGGAAAAAAAATGTAAAGTCTAATGGCAACAGCAAAACTCATCATTCATTTGCCAAATGATTTTGGAATAAAAGAAAAACAGAGCTACAGAGAAAGTGCTTACTCAGTTTAGTAGAAACATCGCATAATGACACAACGGTCAAAAGCTAACGTAAAACAGCGTTTCAATCGTATGTTTGTTGAAAGTAGCGATTATGATTATCAGGAAAATGTAATTTCAAAGCAACCATCTAAAAAAAGCGGTAAGTATTGAAAAATTTTCGTTTCTATTCTATCTATAGTAGTAATTCGTCTATCAAGGGATTTTCACCATTGAATATTGGTTCTTCGTTGATCCGTTGTTTTCTTCTTCTTTTTTTTTATTTCATTTCCTATCTATTTCTGATGAGAGTAATCCTATTTATCTATTATCATTATTATTATTATTAGGTGATCCATTTCCATTCGAGATACTTTTGACAATCATTTTATCTGTTGTGTTTGCTCTTTTTGTCGTTGGATTTGTTGCTACTCGATTTTTGATTAATACCAATCGACGAAGAAAAGATTCCAAAGATTCAAATTATAGTCTATCAAGATATTGGCGTCGTCAATTGGTATCAGTTTCATTCGATAGTATTAATCCGTCGACATCAACAAATATTAATACAGTTCTGACTCATCATGATACAAACGAAATGTCTCGAATCATGAAAAGTTCATTTTCATGGCCTGAAGCAACACTACTTCATCAGCAAAAACAACAACATGATAAAGAAGAATTCTCATCAATATTATCATCTTCATCATTGTCGAATTCTTCAACAATGGAGCATATTTATGAACAAGCTTCATTAGTATTCGGTCTTCGTTGGGACGAAACTATAGGCTCACTATTTGTTCGAGTTATCAGTGCACAGAATCTGTTTGTTCGTCGGCATCATCGAAATCCAACACTGATCGATTCCTATGTACGTATAGAATTAATATCAACGGAAAATGATAGTGTACAAGGTATGTATTTCATTAAATCAATGGAAAAAAAAGTATTATTTTCTTTGTTTTCAAGAGTCATATCAATCAATGCGTACGCATATTGTTAAGAAAGATACTCATCCAATTTTTGACGAACTATTTGAATTTTCTAACATTCGTCAAATTAATAATTCTAATAAATTATCATTTCTTTTTACTGTATTAACGTATGATACATTTACGCGAGATGAAATTCTTGGTGAAGTTATATTTTCTATTATTTTACCTGATGGAATTACACAAAATGCTCTAGGATCAAATGAAATAATATTTACGCAAGGCATAACACCTCGACATAGACAGGTAAATCATAATAATAAACATTTCGTATTATTACCATGATGATTATTTAGTTATCTAATCAACAACTTGGCCAAATGCTTATATCATTGTGTTATCAACCAATAGACAGTACCATAACATTAATTGTGTTAAAAGCATCAAATTTGCCTCGTATAGGCGCTACACGATTAATAAGTTAGTGATGAATCTCTTTGTTTAACTATGATATCTATTCATTTGACTTTCTATTTATTTAGATCCTTATTTTAAAATTTATATGTTCTATAAAGGACAACGCATAATTAAAAAGCGAAGCACGATTCAACGATCAACACAATGTCCTGTTTACAATGAATGCTTTACATTTCATATACCTGATAATGATTTAAAAAATACTCATTTTGATATAGTAATATTAGATTATGATCATCATATGAAGCATGAACCGATTGGCACGTTTTCCATTGGGAATAATACTAATGCAACTAATCAGCACTGGGATGATGCATGCCATCGGCAAATAGCGAAACAAATAGCTCAATGGTATCAGCTAAAACCATTCAATACGTTCAATTCTTGATTTGAAGAAAAAAAAGCAATGTCTAGAAAAAGAAAATCAGTACATTTATTTTTTATGTATGTCACATAGAAGAAAAAAGTTGTTAAATATGAATCATTTTATAGTCGATTTGTATCGATTTATTGTTGTCAGTATCGTCGAATTATTTACTAAATCAAGACTTAATAATAAATTCGCTGTTGTTTTTTCTTCTTCTTTATTTTTTTGAAAAGAATATTTCCGTTGAAAAAGCGTTAATTACAAGATAGCTGTAAACTAGAAATGAAGCTGTGTGTGTGTGTGTGTTTTTTATGTCCGTGATTAATATGTTTCTTGCGTGATAATATAAAATGATAGAATTTTTGAAAGGTACCAATTCCCAACTTGCTAAACCGGAAGTTTCCCCGCTTAATTTCCGGACTAACAGATAATCGTCAATATTCCAATATTTTCATGGCCTATAGAGTACATCTTTAGGAATATGAAAAGCAATTAGTAGATATATTTTTTGTTCTACTATCTGTAATAATTTTTATGGATTGATAAAAATAGTTGCGTGTTTTAGCTTAGAGAAAAACATTTCCTATGTCTTAATGCGTATATATTTATACTATATTACAAATTCTGGACGCGCATGATCCGATTACTGTGACTATTGTGATTTAATTGCAGAGAGTAAAATTATATAATAAAGAGAAATTTATTTTCACATTCATATGTAAACAATCTCAACTTTTTGTATTAGAATAGAAAATTTAAAATATCGTCTAATTTACTCTTTGTTCATGATTTAATATCAATCAGCGCTTACTTAAAGTTTTATCGCATTAGATTTAAAGAATTACGTTTTCTACTGATCTTTAATATATTAATTTATGTATTAGACGACTATAATGTTTCTTCAGAATGAAATAACTAAATGCTTTTATGTGCTTATTCGACTAGATGCAATAAGGATCAATGCCTTCCACTTGAGTCTTTCTGTTGATCAAACATTTCTAAACATCAATGGGTTCAAATGTTCAATGAATACAAAATTGACCATTGTTATTCTAATCTTTGGCAGATGCAATATCTTCCAAGTTACTTGATTGAAAATGAATACTAATGAAAAACTCAATTTCAATTGCTTTTGCAGAACAAGAAAATTTAACTGAATAAATTAGTTTTTGTTTCAATAAGTTTATAGGAGAATATACAGGTCCAGGGTATTGTTTTCTATTGTCATATATTTATATAAATAGAATAATGTTGCGTAAAGAATTAGTTATTACGATTTCTCTATATTAATCAGCAGTGCCCAAGAAGTAAGAAATAGGAATTCCTAATGTGCCGAGAAATTGCCCGTGTTGCTGTGATAATTCCTAGAGGAAATGGGAATCAACTATCGGTTCCCTCACAGTTCCATCATTCACGAAAGTTGCGATAGTGCTGTTTTAAAAATAATTTTTGCATGAAATTATTGATTCTCACAATTTTGCAAGTGAAAATGAGTGTAAAACAAAAATTATCGCGAATATTCCATATTTTTACCTTTAGTATGCAAAGAACTTTAGGGGAGCTGATGAGGAATTCCTAATCCTCAATTCTTAGACACCTCTCATATTAATATCAAATGATTTCAAGTTTTAAAGAGCTTAAGCTTAGATGATCATGAAATATTCATGTCCTGACATTTTATTTGTCATTTAAAGCTAAAGCATTGTGATAAAGCTGATACCTGTCAAACAGAGCTGAGTATGTGATGTCAGCCAGGGGCGGCGGAGCGTCATTAAGCTAGGTGAGGCTCATAATATGTTTTTTCTACCGTGGAATTTTATGAACGCATTAAGCAGAAAATAACCCTTCTTTTTATTGAACTGCAGTAAAAATAAAAATGGTCAGTATAAAAAAGATGATTGAAAAATACCAAGAAAGACTTCTTTTGCTGCTGCTTTGATACAAGAATTAAAAATAACAATATTCAGTACAAAAGTAAGTGAGGCTGAGCCTCATCTTATGAAATCTAGGTGAGGCTCAAGTCTCATGGGTCTCAGTGGCTCCGCCGCCACTGATGTCAGCGACTGAAACTTATTCAAATGTCGGTACCTTTTTAGTAAATTATCATTTATGTAAACGCATAAAGATTAAGAGAAGATAATTGTTTTTAAGTATCATTTCACATGTTTTTGTTGGAAAACAACAATATTGAATTTTTTCCGGATAAACTTGATTTTAATTCCAATCTGACTAATTTGAAAGACGCATGATATAATGCAAAGTTTGAAAATAAATAAGAAAAGTACTGATGGATCGTGTTTGAGACGGGATAGTTTCTCATAGATTACATGTTTTCTTATCGACGATCTAATTTGTGTACTCAAAAAGTTAGTACACTCTAGATGCGGCCGGTGTGTCCGATCGGGCTTTAACACGATAGCTCTTGAAAGCCTCATCCAATGGTCTTGAAATTTTGTGCACAGAATGACCTCATCAATATCTCAGTCGAGTTCGAAGATGAGAAGGATCTGCCAAGAAATGGCTGAGTTATCGAAAACAACGTCATTATTGGCCAGACCATCCCTGAGGGGTAATACAGGGATTTTTTCAAAAAAACAAAATTTTTCTCAGAATTATTCAAAACATATATAAATCAACTCATTTCTTGCAGTACACATAACAATCGGATGCGAATCCGATGCTTCCTCATTTATTTAATAATAAGTTCCCACTTCATTGACCATATTAATATTTTTCACTGACAAAATATGAAGAATGTACCAGGCATCTCTGTAACAATTGAACACAAAATAATTAGTGATATCCGGTCGGATGTAGGCATTACTTGATACAATTGATGTAAGTTTATCAAAATAAAAAGTGGTTTAAGAGAAAGCTCACTTCCGCGTGATATTTCATGAAATGTCATAAAATGATTTTTTTTTCTACTTATAAAATCATGAAATAGTCATTGTAGTACAAAACACTGTTCACTCGATCAATCATCTCCTTCTTTTTTTTTGTTCGTTCTACATTTTGTCATTCAAGAGCGCCACAATCACTCAACAAAACAAATATATTCGCCTTTTTCTTTTTTTAGGCAAGTGCATATATGTCCATTCGTCTTGTTCTTCTTAGTGAATATATACATACCGATAGAAATCAAATTAAAATTTCAGATTCTTTTTACAATGATGCAATTCTCTTGCGAATAAACTACATTATACTGGCATAAACAAAACACGAAAGGTTAAGTATAAAATACGTATATTCATATTGAGAATCTTTTTCTTCGTCTTTTTCATAGAATTTTGTTTGGTGTTTGTTGTCAGCAATAGAAAGCTTACTACTTATTGTTGTTGTTATTTTCTTTATTATTATTAGAATTTCTTCGTACGAAACTACTTGAAACAGCTTCTTCGTCTCTTTTTTTCTTGAATTATTAATATATACAATGAATACTCGTAAGATTGATCTAATTTGAGAAAAATGGATCTATGCCCTTGACCTCGACCTTTTCTCTGATCATTATAACCTTTTTCTAATAAAAGAAAGAAAGGAACGACTTAATCTATGAGCAACAGAAATGACCATCAACACCTGCTTGTGGTGAATTTTCTTTCGCACAAAAAGTACTAAATAACATAATAGCTGAAAACATACTGGCTTGTTTTGTTGGTTTTTTTTCTTATGAAAGAAAGACAGACAAATCAAACAATTCTAATTCAAATTTATTTTATGTTGAAGTGAGAATAACACGATGATTGTAGTCGCTTCAGGTCATTCCTTGTTCTAGTTTTTGTGTTGTTTTGAAACTGAAATGTTTGTCAAAACGGTCAGTAAACATTCATCTGCCGTTTCATGGCTCCATATTGTTGTATTCGTAATTCTGTTATTGTGCATTCTACTCTTTTTCTCAATCTACGCTTTCTGTCCTTCAAATCAGCTTTAGATTTTCACAATATTTTTTCCTCGTCTCTTTACACGATTTTCATGTGTGCAAACGACGCACGGAGACAGAGCGAGAGAGATTGTGTATGTATGTCTAGTGTCGTTTATTTGCACAGTAGTGCTTGCTCGTTCTTATGCGCTATGTGTTCATATTCGTTTTATCGTTGAAAAAATGAGAAAGAGAGAAAAAAGGAAAAAAGACATAATATTTGTTGATTTTTATTTCTTTGTTCTTTTTCTTTTTAATATCCTTCTTTGTACTCGTTTTTTTCATAGCAGAAAGAAAAGCACAGAAACATACACTGATACAAAAAGAGTCGATATGATATCGATATTAGTCCATCACTTTAGTTAGCTGTAAGGATCCAGCATAGTAAAGTGAAAGATGACGATTTATTTATGTGTTTACGAATGGAGCGCTACAAACGCCTACACTTAATGACATTCTACAAAAAAACCTACGAAGGAGAATAGGGGAGAGATGAAAAATAGAATATGCTTGACTCGCCGCCATAGTGTGTGCGTTGTTCGGGGAAGGTTAGTTAAAGCACAAATGTATAGTTCTTTCTCTATCGTTGTGTGTGTCGACGTCTCTTTTTCCTTCTTTTTTTCTTTATTGCGAGCGTCCATGTTTGTCTTCACTGCTTGAATGGATGACGGTTGAATTCGTTGTTCGCATTATCAACATCTCATATATATGTATATATATTATACATCTTCAACTATGCTAGACAAAATCTGAACATTGAACTATTTTCTTTTCTTTTTCTCTTCTTCTGTCTTGTTCTTTCCTCAGATTTGTTCATGTTTGTTACTATCATATATTCACATAAGCAATAATAATATCAGATATTCTGTTGAACGACATATCATGAATGATATGATATGTTGAAAATATCATTTATTTCAGTGATTTAGTCTTAATTGATATATATGTGATTGAATATCATAAAATGCTTGAAACATGTGTAGCTGCATTATTATTTTACTAAACGAAGATTCTATAATACACTGAAAGACGATGATGACGATAAAACAGCAACCCTTTTCTACGAACAAAAAAAAATAAGGAGAATGGAAAAAAACGGAATACAGGGTAAGTCATGTTCGTCGACTAAAAAGAGAGAGCAGGCACATGATAGCGATGAAACCCTTTTCCGCTACGTCCAACACTGCCGGTAAACAAAACACATCAACAAGCACAGGATGGAATTGCACGGGAGACGAGAAGGTTCTGTTCCTCACCTGTCTCTTCGTCATTTACACTGTGTTATTATTATTATTGTTGTCGTTTTTGTTGTTGTTGTTGTTGTTGTTGTTGTTCTTTTCTTTTTCTTCGTCTTTTCTTTCTTAAGCTATTCGATGAGTTGAATGTAGATTCATGTGTGCATGCGCTAGTAATTTTTACATGGTTTCTTCCCTATAGAGACCACCTGTTCAGTTAAAGTTTTTTTCTTTCTTTCTCACTGAAACAACAAAATAAAAAATACTATTTTTCTTTCAGATTTCTTTCAGATTCATTTTCTGATTTTGTCAATTTCAATAACAAATTCTATTATGATACCAAATATTGCACTTAAACGTAAATCACCGTTAGATAACAGTAACGTACCAATAGCAACAACTGCCAATCATAATTCAATATCAACGTTAACAAAGAAATTTCGTGGTACTAATTATGATGAGTAAGTCGAATTTAAAAAAAAACAAAGCAAAATACAAATGAAAGCTTAGGGCGTGTGGTGTTACCCCCTGCTTGCCCGCTGCCTTATTCGTTCGTTCAGTCATCCTTTATTTCTTTTCTTTTTTTTTCTATGCGAATATGATGATTGTCGTGGTAACGTTCAATTGGCCGTCCTCGTCGACGACGTTAGTAGTGGCGTTCCACCATCACCAGCAGATAGATATTTTCATCCCCTTCTTTTTTTTTCTTCTTTTCTCTCGTTGTTTCTCGTCCCACCTTCCGCCATTCAACGCTTCCAAACATTAAATCGAACCTCGACACCGTTGTTACTTACTCGTCATATACATCTTGTTTCGTTCTGTTTTCTTTTCTTTATTCTGAACGAACAACAACTATCCCCATCTTTTTCTCTTCCTTCAAAACAAAAAAGTACACAAAAAAAGTAAACAAAACAACTTTCATGATATCGTTTTAGAAAAGTCAATCAGAATGAACGTCGAATGTCTTTGTTATCATCAACAACTCACAAAACTAAACCAGAACCGAAAAAGATGACAATCCTAAACGGTGAACAAAATCATACATCATATAAGCGATTAGACGAAGATGAAATGACACCAGTCGTGCTTGCTGAATATCGTCGTCTTCAACACGAACTACAATGTCAAGAGGCATTGCTTGTTCTTATGCAAAAATTAAAAACAAATCAAAGACTTGTATCACAAACAAATAATAACACTACTAATAACTCTCTTAAACAACGAACGACGACAGGAACACCAACGCCAACAACAGCAACAAAACTAAGCCAACAATCATCAGTGATCGATGGTAAAAATCCAATATTAGCCACAAAACAGCATCAACAAGTAAGAATGAGCTTTTTTGATCGTTCAAAAATGAAATATTTTCTTTGTTTTCTTTCTCCTAATAGAATAATGCGAATAGACCAATACCAACAAAACCACCACATCCAAATCAATATACTGTTAATCGTTCAAATAATAATAGTAGCCAAATAGCACAACAACAATCATCGAAAAACTCTCAATCAATCCCTCAGGCTATTCGTCAATCTAATAATACTAATAGCAGCAGTATACCACCAGCAACAGCTACACGAATATCATCGTCAGTACCGAACGCGGCAACAAAACATTCGTCAAATACATCAACTACAAACAATACATCAAAAAGTATATTTGAAAAGAATAAATTTGTTAGACAAATTTTTTGATAGTTTCTATATCCTAAAATTAATACCCTTTACATTTCTAAAACAATCAAAATTCAAAATTTCCCTTTCAATCCTCTCCGATGTTGCCTAAGTAAATACGCAAAAGTAAAGTCTCGATTCTAATGTGAATTTATGAATCCTTCTATTATTTACTTCGGCAAAATCCTGCTTTTTATCCGTTTTCTCGTAGGTAGAACATGTAAGACGGACAATTTTCTAGTCGACCGTACTTCTATACTCTCAAAGAAATTTTCCAATAGAAATCGATTAATTTTCTGAAAGATATGAGACAGCTTTTCTTACTCCCTTAGGATTTTGTACTGCATTTGTTCATGAAAAAAACTCCTTTTTTTCTAAGGCTTTATCAATGAAAAGAACATTCTAGTAATTAATTCTAATGATATTTTTAGGTAATGGTGTCGCTGCTGAACAACATTTATTAAATGCTAAATTAGCATTACGTAAACAATTAGAACAAACCTTATTACAAATTCCAACACCTAAACCGTCCACATGTGATTTAACATTCATTCCTGGCGTTAATGGTTGGTCTGAATTTTTAGCTTTTCTCGGTCTTGAACAAGCGATGAATACATACAGCGATATTGCTAATCGCCGTTCACACGAAATTTCAATGAATTTGCCACATGTATGTGTTCAATGCGGCACTGATTGGTCGGTGACATGGCATGAAATGTCATCAAATAGTGATACGAATTCTGATGATAAAATTCTTTGTGATCGTTGTACAAAAACATCACAGAAAAAGTTACTTAAACAAGATCATTCGAATCGCTTACGTCAGGCATTTATTAAAGCTTTACAACAAGAAAAAGAACTTGATGCTAAATTTCAACAACAATCAACATTAACAACAACAACACCAACAAGTACAGTTAAACAATCATCATCTACTCAACCGCCACCACAACAACAACAACAGCAACAACAACAACAACAACAACAACACCAAAGTAAACATATGCATCAAACAAATAAACATTCGAATAAACCACTATCAACAAAAACAAGTTCAAATCATCATCATCATCACCATAATAATAATAATAGTACAAATAATAATAATAATAATAATAATCATCATTCTCATCATCATCATTCAGGAAAGAGTAGTAGTTCATCGAAGCATCACAATACAAATTCCTCAGCAATGTCAGCATTAACTCCATCATCAGCTGAAACTCTAGCATCAACATTAGCTGCTTTACAAACTAATGAACAAATGGAATTCTTTCAAAAACATTTTCTATCAAATATGCTTCCATTTGCTGTTGCTAATCAAGCAGCTGCAGCACTTGCAGCAAAATCAAGTCAACAGCAGCAACAACAACAGGCAGCATTAGCTGCATTACCAGCTATGGCCGCATCACTTATGCGTCAACCTAATCCAGCTCAATATTTACTTGATATGATACCCCAAGCAGCTAAACAGCAACATCATCATTCGAAATGAAGCTTTTTTTCTTTTTGTACAGTTTTTTCACTGTTGTCTCCTAAAGTCATATTTGTGTGTCTATATGAAAGAAGTCATAAGATGATGACACAAGATCTTCTCTGTGTTTCTTCTCTTGGTTTATGTTTCTCATTTTGTTCTATGTGAGTATATATAAATATACATATGTGTGTTTGTGTAGACTGCAATACGATTTTATCTTCTTTTCTTTTGTTCGTCGCGACATAAGTTCGAAAGATCAACATTTTCTATCAGGAAAGAATTCTGTTTTTTTTTGATAACTATTGAATATTTTTCTTTTCAAAATGATGAAAAAAGATTCAATTAGAGATATACACACTCTCATTTTCTCTTTTTTCCTTTTGTGCTTTGTTTTTTTTTTGATCTTCAAAATATTTCAATTTGATCTCAATCGTGGCAGTGCCATGAGAATAGATTCTGTTTTTTCTGAAAACAATTGCTTCTTTGTGTTGTTTTTTCTCCCTCATTTTTGAAATGGAATCTATGAAAAGAAATAAATAACTATAAGAGAAAAATGTAATATTATCTAAATATATATCTTTATTTCGTATTGGCCGATATGTTCTCTAAGGATGACTGACTGAGTCTCTTTGGCGTACTCAAGCTATTTATCTCGAGGAGAAAATTTTAGGCAAGTTAATAAAAATAAAGTGGCGAAAGCTAAAACGGATCAAGGTTTCAGTGTTCTCGACATTTTCCAAGAAATTGTTTTCCATATTGCTCAGTTAATAAATGATATGGTCATATTGATTCTGCCAAAATTAAGTTTCATTAGCGATATCATAGCACAGCAATTTTATTTTGGTTATCGGTATTCGCCAGTAGTTTCCAAGAACTGCGAAATAGATATTCCTAATCTGTCGATGAACTGGCAGTGCGTCTCTGCAATGTACTTTACTACTAATCGAGGTTCGTTCAATTTGACGGGTTCAGAAAACACATTTTGACTAATTATTCCTAGTTGAAAATTTTGATAATTTATGTTTTTGAATCTGTAGCTTGTTCAATCATGATAAAATTCCTATGCTCTGATGTCAATTATTAATTTACAAATGTCGAGATTTTCCTGATCGCCGGCGAAGGCCATAAGACATTAGTTTTAAGTGTTTTATTATTATATAAAATAGTCGATTTCTTTCATAGCAGCCCGATGAATTCATTCTAGCATAGATTGAAAATACTGAAATCTTGATTTAACTCAATTGTTTTAAGTTTCGCAATAAAGTTTTTCTTGGCTAAGTCGAAAATGACATACGTATTTCTTCTAGAATAGATGTTACCGAGCGAAACTTGTGTGTTTTCTTTTTCTATTATGGGTAAACGATTTTTGTAGAAATGTAGATGGCGAGTTCCGGTTTACTTAATCGATGTGTGCAGATGTTTTCTGTTATTCTACTTTTAAAATATTTTCCATTTTCGCATGTTCTGCGGGGGGGGGGGGGGGGGGGGGGGGGGGGGGGGGGGGGGGGGGGGGGGGGGGGGGGGGGGGGGGGGGGGGGGGGGGGGGGGGGGGGGGGGTGGGGTGGGGGGGGGGGGGGGGGGGGGGGGGGGGGGGNCCCCCCCCCCCCTCAATCATTTACATTCGTTAATTGTGTCGCAGTAACACTGAACATGTGTTTCTGTTTATTGTCTTTGATATTGCTTTTTTTTTATTGAGTCTCAGCCATGTTTCTATCACAAGTCAATTAGCACTAAGTCTTCATAAGTGACGCGAACAAATACCTTGTAGTAAACATTGTTGAAGTTGAAGCGAGAAAAAGAATATCATGACTTTATCGTCGACTATATCGAAGAAAGAAAAACAAACCATTAGTAAAAGTAGATCCGTATGAAAAAGCAAGATGATTAGTGAGTACAATAGGATATTCACAGATGTTTTCATTTAACATCTTATTGTCTCTACCGCTTAATTTATCGGAATATGTTATCTCTAAAAATTCTCCTATACGAAGAGATGAACCGAACGGAGCATTATTGTTTTAGTCCATACAAACATCTCAATTAGGCAAGTAGAAAACTAAAAGCGTTTATGTTCATGATTTTTTTACTGAATTTATGGATCTAGTTTTAGGCACATAACAATTATTCAATAAAATATTGTGAAAGTTTCAGAATCAAATCGGTAGACTCTTCTAAACAAGATGCAGTATCAGCTTAAATGATGAATACTGTTTGAGGTGGTGCCATTATAAGCATTTGAAAGCTCATATAAAGGCAGCTAAGATATAAAAACTGTTCTATAGCTGAATCTGTCTCAATGGAGAAGCGCTATAAAGGTTTACAATTCCTTGTGAAATTGAACATAAGTATAAAATACTGGTTTTTCCTTTGCTTTATATTGCCGTTCACAGACGTCATCTGCTTCGATTTGTCATACATAGATGGAGTAATGTGAAGGAACGTATTTCTAAATGGTTACCAATCTTTACCATAAAAAACGTGTTTTTATTGAAATCTGTTCTTCTCTTTCTTTTTCATATGATCTATTGAAATGTTTTACACAATAATTAATTGTAATCAAGAAGTTAATATTTGAATAACTACTCAAAAATTTCTCGTTACTCAAAAACAAAAAATGAAATAAATTGCCATGATAGTAAATCGTGGAGAGAAATCATGTTATTTTCTTGTTTTATTTCTAGATAAAGATCTATTTAAAAATGTCGTTTATTGAAGGCATTGGTGATGATTTTCTGTATGCTCTTGGTTTTTTTCTATTTATTGGTATTGTTTCGCTTGCTTGGTTTTCAACTCATGTTAATTATATTCATTTTCCTCCCACATTATTTATTATTGAACGACGAACACGTAGAAATAACGGTAATGATCCATTCTTATTTAGTTTTTGTTGCAAATTATTTAATTCTAGAAGACGAATCAGAAAGAACAAGTTCAGTTTCACCGTCAAGATTAACTCCACCGACTGAACAATTTCCAATTCCATCGTCTGAGAATGAAACACAAGCAGAACATGATTCTGATAATGAGTAAAATCAATTTACGGAATATTCTTTTTCTTCAATTTCCTTTTACGATTTAGATCCAGTGAAAATGATGAATTTAATGCTGAACAAATACCATTGGTTCCAGAATCCACTAGTATTCAAACAGAACAATCACAATGTATTCAACCAGATTCTGTAGAAACAATCATCGATGAATCAACAGCGGTTGAGGAAAATGAAAGCCCATCGCTAAGAATTATTATTAAATTTCTTAATGATACCAAAAAAGAAATATTAGCGAATCCAAATGATACGATATCAAAACTGAAACAGTAAGAATTTTTATTGAATGAGCCTACTCACGTCTTATTAGAAGTGAATTCAAGATAGTTTTAGGCAGCGCTATTTTGATTACAGTTAAATAGTCTTTCGGATGAAGAATAGTCGCAATCGACTTTCTCCTACAGCACCCTACCGCTATGATATGTAGTGATTAGATACATATAACACCGCATCGATGCCATTTACAAAGGTCAATTGCTCCTTATTTTGTAGTTCAAACTAGACCCTAAGGGCGACGAATAGGAATATCGAAGGATCATTTTTTAAATGAAATTCAATTTCTGATAGCTAAAAAACTCATCGCCATGAAAATAGATAGAGTTCACCTGCCAACATCGTAGCTAAAAATTCGACATGCATATTCATAGTTATTTTTATTGGAAACTGATTTTCGATTGAATTTCTTTAGATTGCATTTTGCTGGTGAATTAGCAACAAATAAAATAATTCGATTTATATATCAAGGTCGGGAATTACAAGATCGAGAGACTCTACAAATCTGTAATATCCGTGATCAAACAACAATACATTGCCAAATCACTGCACGACGTCATGAACCAACAAACCAAAGAAACGATGATATGCCATCAGGTACACATATGAATCGTAATGACTTTGATACGTCAACATTAATTGATTCGTCACCTGTTAATGTTTCGTCACATTTTCTACTCCTATTAACATTGATGCTTGGATTTGTATGGTATCTACGTATTAAGTATCGTGTGCTATTTTCGCCCATATCAACAGTTGTGCTCGTATTGATAACGATTATATTTTTAATATTCACCTGCGGTTCTTTCCTAGCAACACGTCGAACATTATTCCACAGGAGACAACCAGTCACAACAATTGCCATAACACCAATACAACATGTTCACCTCGATTGAATATTTGTTTTTTTTTGTGCGCTTTTTCTGGTAACACCTTATACATAAATATATTTTTTTTTGTATGTATGTATTCTAGAAGAGTTATAAACGAAGCCGCTCTTGGTTTAACTTTTTTCTCTTTCGAATTATTTAAATAAATAACGATCTGTCAATCTTATTCTATTGCTTTTGTCTTTTTTTCAAGTGAAACGTAATCTATTTTATTTTTATTGAATTTATAATCCTGTTTAAAATTGTACGATGATATTTTCCTTAGATTGCATTGGGTAATGAGTTGATAGGTGTTTATCATTCTTGTGTATATGGCGGTTGTGTATCATCTTTCTAAGATTTTATACTACAGCGAAATGTGAAACTATATGAAAAAAAATAAGTCTTCAATGAAATTTATGTTTCACATTTTTATTATTTAGATGACTTTCTATTCACATACAGATCCATGTGTGGAACTTCGCAATATTCTTCATCGTTCGCTGGTTTCACTTGGTTGTCCACATGTACCAAGTTTACCAACATCAACATTTTTAATGACAACAAATACAAATCTAAAAGTTGTTGCCTGGCTACTTGGCGAACTTGACTCAGATTTTGCACAGCGTCTTCATGCATCGCGCTCATCAAATTCCATTGCTTTTATAAAAGATTTTTTCCTCGAAACAGCCATGTTTCCACGTTCATTCATTTTACGTCTCGATGATATATTTAATTCATCATCACTTGGCGATCTTCATCAATTATCAAATATGTTATCCTATTATATACATAAGCCAATTGTTGGTCAAAATGTTCAATTAGGTCTTATTGAATATCTTAGTGAATTAGTCGTTTGCTTACGTAATCCGCCAATGACAATTCATCAAGATATGTGGACTAATCGTAATGTTCTCAATATGTTCGAACAGTTACCTATCGATGAATCCAATCTTTGCATTGATTCACGTATACTTGAATATGCTGATAATGAACAACAGCAGTCGGGTGATGATGAAGAAACAAGTGCAGATTTAAAAGATGTTTTCGGACAAGTACGAACTGAGCTGCTTGCACAAAAATCCAATGATATGAATGAAACTGAATTTGAAACAATATTTACCAACGAACAAATTATTGAAATTGATAAACAACTTCAAAATGCTTTAGTTGATACTCATCAGTTTTTCAAACGTCTCGAAACAGGTTCGTATAGATAACAGTAGAAAAGAGAATAAGTAATTGAATAGTCGATCTCGGTATTGCAGTGTAATATGCTGCCGAATCTTATTAAGAATAATTTTCTCTTCGAGACTGATGAAATCAATCGAAAAATCTTCTTTTTCTTTTTGATTAGTCCATAGACGATTCTTTACAGGATTATCTTAATTGAATCAAACATCGAGATCACTCAAAAAGTCGGAAGGAATTCTTCGTTACTCAAGAATTACTTAGACGTTTTCGAAATCTTTACTTGTTCCTATCAGTCATTTCCATGTGTCTCCCTTGTACAATCTCTCTGTCGAGAAGCATTATATTTAATCATCGAATAATTCGATTTCATTATACATGTATATATATAGATAGATAGATAGATTAAATCTATTTCTTAAAATATTCCATCAAATCTTGTCACAATTATAAAAATTAAGATTAATGCATAGAAGCATATGCATATATGTCGAGGCCTGCTATTTCATAAATGATATGATTTTCTATTCGGCACGTTCGTGTTTTCTTTTGCCCTGGTTTTAACTGATTCATACCATCATCGTAATGGTATTGTCTTTAAGAGCGAGCAAATCTAGGTTATGATCTTTATCTTACATTAAATTGCATATCGGTTATAAGAAAAATGATTGCAATATATTTAGGTGTACCAAATCATCAATCAACAACTAATGATCAACAATCAGGATTTTTATTATCAAATGAAACAATACAAAAATTAAATTCAATAACCCATTTAAATGAAGTCTATGAACAAGTTCGATCGAATGATAAAATTTTTACAGATAAAATCCAATATTTACTGAATGATATCGATAAAGAAAATGATACTAATTCTAAACAATCGAATACTGCTGCGCTTACACTTCAAGCTCAAGTCATGTTAGCTCGCAATCTTGCGCATACATTAAGTAATTCGGATCAGATAAAAATAAAATAAAAGTTGTATATTTTTGTTATTACATAGATTTAAACAAACGCTTGAATATTTTCAAATAAAATTCAGTCAGATAGTTTCATTTTATTTCTATTTTTTTTATTTGTGCTTTAATACGAACAACAATAAGATACGCGTGCATTTTTTCTCTTGTTATTGTCGAAATTTAAATTATTTATAGGTTCATTGGTAGATTTTGATTGACGTCTGCTTGGCTTAGAAAAGTCTTGACTTTGCTCTAAACGATCCATAACTAGATCGAGTAGTAATTTAACTGATTCTTCTACATGAATATTTTTTAATGCACTTGTTTCAATATATTTAATTTTATGTTGTTGGGCAAATTCTTCGGCACATAATTTTGATATCACACGACTAGATTCTAAATCACATTTATTACCAACAAGTATTATATCGACATTTTCTGAATAAGCATTCGTTCCTATTTCCGTTATCCAATTACGTACATTAATAAATGATGTTTCATTTGTTAAATCAAATACAAGTAAAAAACCATAAGCATCACGAAAAAATGATGATGTAAGAGAACGAAAACGTTCTTGTCCGGCAGTATCCCTGGAATAAACGAAACGATTAAAATAAATTTTATTTTTTCTTCTCGTCAAACTAATAGAAGGCTTAGAAATAATGTTCTTGATTAGATTAAAACGAAATGTTTGACAACAGCTAACAAATATTCAACAAGTTCCGAGAACGACTCATTGAGTGTTTTTGCTCTTCTATATTTTAGACTTTTTTCTTTTTTTTTGCAACGATAGACAACAATTACATCGGATAGAAATTTCAAAACATCATACTCTTAAACACTGCTGCTTTGGTTCCTTAATGCTCTCCATCTCCCGCAGCTCGAATAAGAGCAGCGGGATTTTGAGAGTATTCTCACATCTAACATATACGTATGTATATTGAAAACTTAAAAGCACGTGCTGACACATCATATTAAGTGAAAAACAAGAATGTGAAAGAAAATTTTTCGATAAAAATATAGCTTTTATTTTATTCATCCATTCACGACGCCTTGCACCCTACTCATTTCTGCAATTAGTTTAATTAACGAATATCGATCCTAGTAATTTTTACGCTTAAAAGCAAAGATTCTATATTCAATTCACGTTTTTCTTTTTCGTTTTAAAAACTGAAAATATCGTCAACAGCCGAAATGGACTTTCTTTTCCTTTTTGTTTTAGAATAATTACCATAATTGTAAATGAATTTTAAACAAACTATTTGATCGATGTGATTCATAGTCAATATTTTTATCTCGAATATCAATACCAACAGTTGGAGCTAATTTTTCATTGTAATTACCGTCAACATATTGGTTGAGTAAACATGTCTAGATATGAACATAAAATCTACGATTTTAAAAACAAAGATAAAACATCAAATCAAACTACTTTTCCTACACCGGAATCTCCAATAGCCAAAAACTTTAAATCTAGATCATTATCCATTATACACAATAGTTATTGATGTCGTTACAAATAGCCTTTATGGTTATAAAATAATGTCTTGTGTTTTCACCATGCAATCATGTACACTAATACCAACGACAAGCGTGCACAAAGAAAAACGTAACTTGTCGTCGCTACTCGACAAAAAGCAATTGCACATTTTATTTTGCTTTTCTTTCCTCGCGTTATTATTCATATGATAAGGCATATTTATTCACAAATACTCTCATTTTCGGTCAGTTTCGATGTTGATTTTTACTATATTTATAAGCTATAAAAATAGAAATCAGAACCGTGACTACCTATGAGAAAGTAGAATGTATAAATAAAATAGTCAATGTACTATAAAAAAACATAAGTTGCAATACAACAAACATGATCAACTAGTTCATAAGTAAATCTAACATCGTAAACAACGAAATAATTCCCTTTAGAGAGTATTGAATGGAAAGAAAATATGTTTTTTTCTAAATATTTACATCTGGATAGTAGAGCTGTCGGTTTGGTGTACAAAAAAGATAAGATTTCATTGAAAAAGATTATGACGTTGATCTTAGAATAATACCTTCCGCTATCAGATTTTCATTCAAACATGAGTATTATTATTGATTATGTTGTAGACAAAAAATATTCAAGAATTTCCAAGTATTGCTAATAATTTTTCAACTAGAAATAATAGCAAAATGTGCAAATGATTGTTTATTTATATTACTTTCTAATGTGTCTCGTTGGTTATCGTTTGATGAATATAACAAGGATAATGAAAGGTCTGATGGAAGAAAAAAGTGTTTAATTCAGTTCGTGTTCAATTCTGTGCTCGAACCTCGTATTTACATCAATATTTCGCGCTTCCAAAACAATCTCATTTAAAGAAACATGCTCTTTCATTGTCAAATAAATGCTAGATGAAATGTATTAAAATTTTGAAGAAAAAGAACAAAACTCTATGAGTAAATACCTTTAGTTCTTTTCTAAGCCATAAAATCATACTAGTAGGAATGTATGAATCATTATCATTAATAAATACACCACCCGAGTCATAGCATTTTTTGCAAGCGCATGCAATTCTTGAGTTTCTTGAGCAAGAAGTCAAGAACTATGGACACGTCTTGAGGCAAGACATGAGGCCTTTCGATGAGCTCAAGTTCTTAAACTTCTTGCTCATGCCGCTGGATATTTTTGCTCATGCGCTTGAATTTTTATCTAAGCGTTTCTGTTATTAAAGAAATTTTTCAATTTTTTTTCAATTTTACATTCAACATAACTCAACTTATTATAAAAATTTATAGTTGCATTCTTTTTGTAACTCATGCAAACATTCAAGCGGTTGTCTTGAGCAAGAAAGTCAAGAACTACGGACACATCTTGAGCTCAAGTCTTGCAAGCGCATGAATAAAAATGTTTGACTAGGGCACATATCACACATGTAAGACGCGTACATTTTTTATATTGTTTTCACATACGCAATATTCAATCCCAATGCATAACAAATGTTTTTATCGATCAAATCTATTCCATACAAAAATTTCTCGAAAACAAAACCAAAGTCGCTCATGCTGAGATTCTCCAAGACTTTATAATGAATAGAACGATGCCAAACTGGATTCGATATAATTTTTTATTCACTAGTTTATGATTCTACAATAAACTTTGGCTTTATCAAGATTTCCTTTTCCTAAGGGTGTGATGTCCTTAAATATCATACTCTTAATAATCACTCCCACGGCTCCTTCTACTGCAAAACTACTCGTGCATAAAAGTGAATATGAATAAAAGTAGAAATAATTTTGCAAAAACTTGTTATTACTAAACAATTTTACTGTGTTCACGATAGTTACAGTACTGTGTAGTGAAGATTTTTCTAATAATCTGTTTCTGAAAAAATAGCTCATCAAAGCTTAATTTTCACAAAGAATCTTAATCGGTAAGAATAGTATTACTAATGATTAAGATAAAACGTAATTTTTTATAAGCTCATCTCCTGTTTTGTTGAAAATCCTTGACAAAGACGTTTTATTTTCTTTTTATTAAAAGTAATTAACTGTAATCTATTGGAATGGATTGATTTATTAAAAAGGATAAAAACTTTTCTCTTAAATTAAATAGGCCGAATGCTTTATTCATTGCAATATTCAATTTGAAGCATATTCACAGCAGAGAGGAAACAATACATTAACACATTTGTTTCCGTACATCCGGAATACATAACGGAAGAAATGTATGGTCGTTTTTATATTAAGTAATGATATTGTGTCAAGACATGGCATCAAGAGAAAAAAAACAATCTCTTACATGAACTGATCATAAGCATTCATAAGATGTCTTTGATTGATAAAAGACAATAAAAAAAAACATATGACGGTCAATCATCACCATTTGCATAAAAAAAGAAATCTAGATGATTTATACAAGTTTTTGTAATAATGCATATGTTTTTCAAACATCATCATCAACTGAGTAAGATATTATTATTGTTTGCATTTGATAGATAGTGCTTCACCATTCGTAATAAAATAAACAAATCACGACATGTGTAGAGATGTAAACATTTTATATCGAACAAACGCCTATGATAATAAGAAAAAGTGATGGATATTTTTCTACCACATGCGCCAATAATCATTTTAATTGGGTAAACATAACCAAAAACACGAGGCAAGTATAAACTGTTATATTTGTTCTAAATTCTTGATACATATATATATATATATATTCGTCAAAACTATTCTCATGAATATTTAATTGAATAATTATTATTTGACTTATGTGTTAACACTCGACATATTAAAACAAAACATGTCCTAGTTCGGCGTTATATCGCGTTCATTCAATCTAGATAAACTAATTTATTCACTTCAGATACAGAATAGAAATTAGCACTATATTTGATTATAAAATATACTATTCATTTGTCTAGAATCATCATTTCTCTCTGTGTAGGTATTTCTATAATGTGTAGCTACGTGCGCATGTATTGTGCTTTTCCAAAAAATAATGACGAGCACTTCAAATGAAATATGAGAAAATTGTCACCCTTGACTTAACGATGAGCTATCTAAGAAGTATTAGAATGGCTGTTTTGTGTTTTATACTGGCACACAAACATATATATAAACAGGCGATAATCATGCACTTTCAATCAATGTATGCACACGAGTAGCGGATTCTGGCATGCGCATGGAAATGATGAATTAGAAGCGATCTATCTAGCAGTTGCTGTTTCTTTTTATCCTTCCAACAAACTGCTTTACACGATCAAGAAATGAAAGATCGAGAGGAAGCAACATAGAGCCATGAAGAGAAAGCAGTTGTCGCCATTTTCTCATAGACAACTATTCATTTTTCTCTCTTTCAGTTCTGATTCTCCTTTTCATTCTAACAATCTCTTTCACTCTTCATCTCAATTGAGTCTTCTCCTTCTTCTTCTTCTTCTTCTTCTTCTTCGTCGTCGTCTTCTTCTTGTATTGCTCCTTCTCAATATTTTTGATTAGCAGTCGAGTGTTGTTGTTACTAACATACCATTGCTGTACTAATATGAGTCTGAATATTTAACTTAAATCTTATCATCATGTTATATCAATTATCAACATCAATTAAGCAATATTTTATATTAAAAATGAATATCTAACATTGAAAATCGCTACAGAAAATTCTGCAATATGCATCGAACAGAATCGTCTTTTCGACGTCATCCCGGCAGTGGTAGTTTACGTCGATTTAGTTTTCGCCGTAGACCTACACGAGAATCGATATCTGAACCAACATCGACTTGGTCATTTAATAATGTTGCCCATGAATGGCAATTACTTCGAGGTAAAATTAGTTTCTACTTTCACATTATAATTAAGGATAAAAAAATATATGTATGTATATACATTAATATTATCATTTTTGCGCTCTTTTACCTATCCATTCTTCTATGGTTCATATTATTTTGTTTTTGTACATATGCAATTTAATTATTTAAACAAGTTTCCGGAACATTATAGTCTAATGTAGATCTGTTAATTCCGATCGAGATGACATATCAAACTAGAAACATGGACAGAAAATATTATTTTCATCATGATTTAACAAACAAAAAGTAGATTACTTAAAGTGTAGGACGTTGAAATGAAACCATGCACAACCGGTTTTTTCTCATTAAAGCAAAAATGATGAAAAGTCAATGTCGGTTTCTTTTCTCTATAATGAAGCCGGATTATGAAATGCTTATTATCAAAAAAGAAAGAAGAAAACTGCGATATTTATTCGTCAATTTAATCTTCGTCGATTTCCTGAGAAAACATCTAGATAGATATAAAATGAGTAAATAGATTCGTTTCTGTTCATTTATTCAATGATGAAAGAAGAAGATGGCAGCTCAATTGCTTCTCCAAATTTTTTTATCAATGATAACAATGAATTATTATCACTAACAAATAAGGATCGTAGAAAAAACAATTAGCTAATTACTCAATCAATACGTAAAAATTCTATTTTCTTGACTTTTTTTCTTTGTTGCCAATATTTTGTTAACTAAAAAACAAGAATCGATAAATGACAATATAATATGAAAGACGAAAGCGACTACATTAGCGACAAGTAAAAGAAAGTGACTCGTTAGTATTACTGGTTTCTTGTAGAATGTCGTTTGGGAGAAATCATTTTCCATCATTATTTCGTGCGACTCATCTAGAAAGATTTTCCCCTAGAAGAGAACTAAAAATGGATTGTAATATAATTCGAAAAAGAAGACGCTGAATATATGTGTGTGTCTCGGGTTTGCAGCTTTCATTGGAAATTTAATTAATTAACTTGCTTATGGTAATGATAATGATGATGATGATGATGATGCTAGTTGTTGTCATCGTAAACTCTAAAGCAATGCAAAGCTCGAAAATATAATGAATGTAGATTGGGTTATTGTTTCCTTTAATAATATTTTTGAATAAATAATTTCTCGGGAAAGCAATTAAATTCCTGTGTTTTGTTTTGTTTTGTTTTACAGAGGATGGTGCTCAAATTCAACTTGTCTACAATAAATCTGAAGTACGAATTCGATAAAATAATAAAGATAAAAAAGAGAAAATTGTATTTGCTTTTAGCATATCCCTTTGAAAGATTTTGCCTCTGAAATTCGTGGCGGAAAAGATATTAAAGAATTTATCCTCAGTGCACTTGTTCTTCTGGATGTACAAGATACATCCGTATGGGATTTGTTAGAGATAATTCTTCGACGAATCAAACATACAAGTATACGTAATAATGAAAGTTCATCGGGATTATCATCGCCTGTATCGAATGCAGCTACAACAATGATAAATAATACAGTTAGTACCGGTGGTGGTGGACACAGAGAAAATTTAAATATTGAAGATATTAAAAAAGTAGTATTTGTTAATGATCGAGGTATTTGCTTTTGAAAGATATTTTGCGTCTTTTTATATTTAATAATTTTCGTATATTTTAAGTTCGAATATTAACTAAAACACTGCAAGCAACTACAACCACGGAATCGAATTGGACCTATGATCAATCTTGGCTAGCGATTATGTGTACATCACCATCGATTCTTAAGCGGCATGTTGCTATAGCTCGTTTGAAAAATCCTTGCAATTTAGGACGGAATTGTCAAGAAGCTCGTTTTATCGTTTTTATATTATCACCAATGAAAGAGAAGGGTACAAAAAATTTTCTTGAAACTGGTCGTACATTTGCTACCATATTTGCTGATATTGAATTACGTGCAAAATTATTAAAAGCAACAACTCAAGAAGAATTTATTTCAATTATCGACGTATGATTACTTTTGTCTTTAGTAGATGTGTATTTTAAACACATCTGTTTTCTTCTTTTCGTTTTATTATAGAAACATACAGATAATTTAATGGAACAACAAAGAACACATACACGAAATTCTTTACCAGATGCATTTGATGATATAAATTCTAATCCTGAAGTGAGAAAATTCTTGATTCTTGTCAAAACTTTCAACTATTTCTCTTTGAAAGATATTAAAAGTTAAAACATATTATTGTCCAATACTTTATGATATGTATATGGATTTAACACGTCGTCTACCTCATTATCTTTCAGATTTTTATGATAGTAAATTGAACTTTTCATCATGTATTTCATCGTACTCTTTTTTCTTAAAATTGCTTTAATTAGTTTTCAATACTCATCGTGGTTCACAAAAAGTTCTATCAACTGCTGTATTTCTTTATTTTGCTTGTCTATTACCAAGTATAGCTTTCGGTGTATTAAATTCTCAAGTAACAAATGATCAAATAAGCGTACCAAAAGCTGTTGCATCACAATGTCTTGGTGGACTATTTTTTTCAATATTTTCTGGGCAACCATTGATTGTTGTTATGACAACAGCACCGCTGACTATCTATGTCAAAGGTAAGGCTTAAAATAGCAAAATCCGCTACTTCCGGTTAATGAACGATTTTTATTAAATAGTTATTTTTGTATTGTGCACTTGGTATCGTTTGGATTTCCGAGATACATATGCATTAGTTGGCTTATGGAATTCATTTTTTCTTATTTTATTTTCGTTTTTTGGTGTTTCAAAAATAATGAAATGGTCAACAAGGTAACTTGAATAAACGACATTCGAATAACAAAAATTTTGCTTTTTTTCCCGTTTTATTATAACAAAACAGATCGACTGAAGAAATATTTGCATTGTTTGTTTCTATTGCATTTTTGGTTGATGCTAGCATGCATGTTTATAAAAGTAAATATAGTTATATATATATATATAAGTCTGCTGAATGAGAATTTTGTCTATTAGATTTTATACGTAATTATTCAACTCCGGCTTGTAAACAATATGATGAATATTGGAAATTACGCCGAACGAATAAAAATGTAACGTTCAATTTTACAGACGACGCTTTAGAAGAACCCTGTGCACGTGATTCAAGTCTACTCTATATTTTATTAACACTTGGAACAGTATGGCTAGGAACATTTTTATATAAATTTAAACAAACACCCTATTTGACATCTGCTAAACGAGAACTATTAACAGATTATGCATTACCTGTGTCGGTTATTATAATGTCATTGATTGGTAGTGTTGTGTTTAGTCAAGTAAATCGTAAGTAGATAAGTATTTCAAAAAATAAAAATAAAATATTGAAAAATAATATCTTGTATTTAGTTCAATCATTTTCTGTTGATCATGGACATTTATTTGTAATGGTTCGACTTAAATCTGTCACATTTAAACAAATAATTGGAACAGGATTTCTTGGCTTTTCCTTATCTTTACTGATGTTTCTTGTATGTTATTATACCGAAAAAGAAAAAGATTCTTTCTTTTACTAATCTACAATTAATTATGATTTCCTTAGGATCAAAACATAGCCGGCGCGATTGTTAATTCTCCGGCAAATAAGTATGACTAAAATGTAGATTTGAATTTTATCAGGTGAAATATGTTTTTTTTATCAAATAGATTGAAAAAAGGCAAAGCTTTTCATATCGATCTTTTTGTCATTGCTATACTTAATGGTTGGCTTTCTTTGTTTGGATTGACATGGATGCACGGTTAGTTTGATTATATCTTTGTGATTAATCGTATTTCTTTTCTTAGGAGCACTACCCTTATCACCCTTACATGTTAAAGCACTTGCTGACACAGAAGATCGTGTTGAACAAGGTCACATACAATCAGTGTAAGAAAATGAATTATTTTTACCAAAAGAAAAACAGAAAGATAAATCAAAACTCTATCATAATTACAGAATCGTTAAAGTACGAGAAACTCGTTTAACAGTACTTCTATCACATATTTTTATTGGTATGTCATTATTCATGCGTGATATTCTTAAACAAATCCCAATGCCAGTGTTAGATGGTTTATTTCTTTATTTGGCATTGACATCACTTGATGGCAATCAATTCTTTGAGCGAGTTACATTATTTTTTACTGAACAAGTATGTTAATTCGAAGAAACAAAAAACAAACTTTGAATTTCATATTATATATTTTTCCTCTTAAGGCTGCTTATCCACCGAATCATTATATACGTCAAGTTCCACAACGTAAAATACATCTTTTTACTTTGTTACAGCTTCTTCAATTAATAATCCTATGTTTTTTGGGGTTTTCACCGATACTTTATTGTAAACTAGTTTTACCAATATGGCTAGTAGCTATGGTTGCTTTTCGTTATGGAATATTACCAAAAATTATTGCTAAAAAATATCTGCGAGCGTTAGATCAACGATTATAAACTTTGCCTATCGATGAATACATATTTTTGTCTAACAAAATAACAAAAGAAATTAAATAAAAAAAATATAGTATCATTCTTTTTTTAAATCTTAAATATATTTTTCTCAGTTCTAAGAGTAGTAGGACTATTTGACACTATAAGAATCGAAATGGCAAATAAAAAAGAAATTATTCATGTGTGCATGAAATCAAAATGACAAAAATGAATTTATATACAATCTTTTGCATGGCAAATGAATGCTATGAACTACTCGTCTATGCTTAAATTGGATCATAGGAAAAATAAAATAAAGAACATGAGAAGAAATAAATCGATTTCTTCACAATTCTATGATCTCTCTTTCAATCATTGCTGATTCATACTTGACTTTTGTTTTTCAAAATAGTCATGAAAATGGCATCCAGGAGTTTTGGGTGTGGGTGTTGTAACGATAAATATGGGACTCTGACGAGTTGATGTATTAAGACAAACTGGATAGAGGTGGAGTAGGTTACAGCCACTCTAGGCAATGATGTTTATTCACTTTACATATCCAGAGTGTAACAACCTCATACATAACACATGTATACGTATATAGGAGAAAGATAGGAGAGCGACAGGAAAGAGAGATATTAGAACAATGGAAAGAGAACAGAAGGAGGAGGAAGGAGAATCATCGAAGCGTGCCATCAATATCGGCACACCCTCCCACTCAGATCAGATGCGCTCCTGAGCGTCTTTACAATATAAAAAAAAAACACTACAATGAAACAATATAGTGACAGAATAATAAATAATTGATAATTTTGAATATTATCACACAATACAAAGTCGGATACAAACGACATCAGTCAATGACACTAGTTACAATCGCTTGAACTTCTTTTTTTTAAACAGAAACTGAAAAACACAATTAACATCTACAAATAGATACGTAAATCTAGTGCATACGCAATGCTGAAAATAGTTTCTTTTCCCATTCCATACTCAAAGAGTATCTTAACACGCCACATTAAAAAAAACATTATTAATAACAACTAGCTGAACATCACAGCGATAATGAAAGAACACATTAAAGAATTATATAAATCAATATAATATCACAAAATTCAATTTTCTAGACATTTTTCACAAAAAAACATTTTGTCACATTTCTTATTTAACTTAATCCACTGTAGCGCGTCAAGTTAGTACGAAAGAATAGAAAAATTAATGCCCCCTCTGGGTAATGGATAAAAAAAGAAACTTTTTCACATGTTTCATCATTTTTGTCAGTTAACAGATAATCTTTTCTTTTACGGTATGTTTTTGTTTATCTATAAATATCTGATATTCATGCGTTGTTGGGTTTATAAGATAATCGATAATCAGATGGACGATATGCAGATGATGAATTGACGATAAATGAAACGATATTACTTGTGGCAATTGTGTGATTAAAATTCAGTGTCATCTACTCCAATTTTTTTTCGTTTTCTTTGTTGTTGAGGCGAATAATGTATGTTTTCAATTGCGCTCCAGATATGGTTAACAACTAAATTTTACTGATTTCATGTGTTATATAGCAGGCCCAGGTCAATGATTCCGGAGGACGGATACTGTAGGAACCGGCCGGAAAGATGCGGAAAAATCACCGTATCTGGCCGGAAAGCACGGGAAAGCACTGGAAACTGGAAGCAGTATTCCAGTTGGAAGTTACCGGATTTTTTTCCTGTGGATTCCGGTCAGTTTCCTGTGTTTTCCGGTCAGTTTTCTGTGTTTTACATCTGGAAGTTAATCGGAATCTACAGGAAGAAAATCCGGTAACTTCCAACTGGAATACTGCTTCCACTTTCCAGCGGTTTCCTGTGCTTTCCGGCCGTTTCCCGCCGTACGTCCACGACCTGGGGGTATATAACTTTTGTTAATATGATGAGTCGCCACGTAGTAGAAGCGTACCACTTCCATGTCATTCTTCTCACGGATGGATCGCCTGTTCGGTCGGCTGGGTCGTTCTCGCAGCTATTCAAATATTTAATTTTCAAGTGCTTTTCTTCATATAATTATTTCTATTTTTCATAAAAATTCTTGCCAACTTTTGTCCACTGGAGGCCACCGCCGTTCAAACCGTTGAGGAGGTTCATCATTATATTAATTGAATTCATACTTGCTACTTCACATACTTTACAGCAGTTGATTAGTCATTGCGCTTTGATTAACTTGTTGAATCACCTTCATAATAAAAGATAGAAGAGACACAGGAGAGAGATATATTAGAACAATGGAAAGAGAACAGAAGGAGGAGGAAGGAGAATCATCGAAGCGTGCCATCAATATCGGCACAGATGTGAGCGACAACTTCAAATTGAGTCACAGATATCTAAAATTTTACCATACACCCACACTCAATATAATCTTACTCTAAAATGATTAAAATATATTTAGAATATAAACTTTATTGAAAGAGCTATTAATTTCGGTTATAAAATATTCAGACATTAAAAGAACTTTGAAGTTTCATATCCGCATTATTAGCAGATGTTGAAATCCATACTGTATAAGTACCACGAGCAACTGTCCATTTTTGATTAACAACATTCCAATATGAAATGTCCTTTTGTGTTAATACTAATGATATTTGTTTCGATTCACCTTTATTTAAATACACTCTTTCGAAACCTCGTAATATTTTTGGTGGTTCTTCCGCCTCAGTAGGGAACCCAAGATAAAGTTGAGGTACTTCTGAACCCTGGCGTTTACCAATATTGGTAATAGTAAATGTTACTTCATAGACAGGTTCGTCAAGTCTTGAAATGCCAACATTAGTATAAGATCTTGTTCGGCGTTGTCGATACTGTGATGAAGCAGTATGTTTATCATCGCCAGCTTTTGAAATATCAAGTTGAGAGAAAGAGAATGTTGTATATGAAAGACCATATCCGAAATAATATCGTGGTATAATATTGTACTTATCAAAATGACGATAATCCAAGAAAACACTTTCAACATAATTCGAATTATGAGTTGGACTAATGTCGGTACCATAATCAGATTCATGCTTAGCTAATGTAAAGACAAGTTTTCCACCTGGATTATAATCACCAAAGAGTACATCAACAATAGCGGGTCCATATTCTGATCCAGGTAAACCTGACCAAATAACACCGACTATATTAGGATGATCAATCCATGATTCAAGATTCAGTTGTGAAACACTGTTGACAATAACTATAGTATTTGTACAACGAGAAGCAACCATTTCCACAAGTTGATCACCATTATCTGCAGCATGAAGATCCAATCTATCGAATCCTTCGGAAGAGAAAGAACTTATGAAAACAAGACATTTAGCATTATTGAAGCTATGAGCATTCAACGAGGCGTTAATAACATTGTAATCAAATTGATCAGTTATATATTGAAGTTGAAGATGAGACTCTCGACTTTTGAGCAAGAGTGAAGTAAGAGGATCAACGGCGTATGTTGGTTCAACATAACCTGAACCTCCACCTTGGTATATTGCTCCTCCAAGTTGTAACCAACCTCCTTCACCAAAACCGTGTTTAGATTGGCCTGCAGCTTCTCCATAGACAAAAAAGGAATTATCAGTAGTTACATTAAATGGTAAAACATTATTTGTATTTTTGAGTAAAATAATGCCTGCCATACTAAGTTGATGATTAATTTTGTGGTTATCTCCCATTGCATCTCGATCTAAATCGAGTGTCGGATATCCTTGATCTTGTCTAAGAAGATAATAAGGAGCTAATACTCGAGTAATCATATCATTGATTCTTGCTTCTGGAATTGTTCCTGTTTCAACAGCTCGTACAAGTGCAGCACCCATCAATCCATCACTACCTGGCATATCTATATCTAATCCACCTAAAACTGATTCGACGCCAGTTTTTGTTGCACCCCAATCAGACATGACATTGCCTGCAAATTCAAGTTCTTTTTTCAAGAGTTCACTTAAAGTTTTACTATTCTGACAAGCCGGTGTATTGTTGACTTGATTGTATGAGCACATAACCGAGCCCACACCAGCCAAAACACTTGATGCAAATGGCCAAAGATACATTTCATGTATGGTTTTGTCATCAAGATTAGCCGAATAAGCCGCGTAACTAGTAGTATCTGGTTGAATTTTATTACTTGGTGTACCAAACGAACGATGAGTTTCTTGTTCATTACAAATGTAGTGTTTGGCAGTTGCAACAACACCTTGATCTTGTACACCTTGTACATAGTAGAATGCATTTTCTCCTGATAAGTATGGATCAGCACCAAATCCTTCCCAATTACGGCCATGTCGAGCATTTCGATCGATGTTCATCATAGGACCCAAAGCAAAATGAACTCCTTTACCGTAAAATTCTTTTCCTATTGCGACAGCACGTTTAAAGAATAGATCTCGATCCCAGCTAGCTGCAATTTGTATGCCAGGTGGAAAAGCAGTTGAACGTTGAACACTATCGCCAACGCCAGATGGTGCGTCTTGAAAACAGAGACCAGTAAAATTAAGACGTGATATAGGTAAAACGTTGCCAACACAGGCACCCTTAACACCAGCTGTCATATTACATTTTTCCTCTAATGTTAATTGTGCGACAAATGATTTAGCCATAGCGATGGCTTCATCCCATGTTCTACTTTGAACATTGTGATACTCATTTGAGTTGATATTAACGATGAGTGAAAAAGTACATAAAAGCCATACAAATAAATGATTACCAACCATTTTGGAGACAATATTTAATATTTTGTCTAACAGCCCATATTTACATTGAAGGAGAAACGAGGACAGACAAGAAAGGTGCGCTTTTCTTATCAATTACAGCCAATATCAAGTATGTTTATTTCGTGATTATGTTTAGCTATTGATAAGGTGATGTTGAGGGTGTCAATTTACATTTTATTTTATTTAAATTTAACGTCGCGAAAAGTTAATTTAACTTAAAATTAATTAAAATTTTTGGACTGAAGAATCATTTAAATTTTAAATTTAATAAATTGTTTGGATGGATACACGTCCTTGCTATGAGGAAAATATGTGACTTTAATAGTAGTAAATACTAAATGAGAGGAGAACCTAGTATTTTAGGTTAATATTTGTTCGTAATAGTCAAAATTTCTCCACAGATGATGCAGGATCCGTCATCTTCCGTCTTCAAAACACCGGGATATTCATAAGAATATATTTAATAGCGCAATTCGTACAAGAATGACTAGCTTTAACTTTAGAAAACAAGAAACATACTCAAATTGGACGTTAAATAATAGAAGTCAATTCAAAAACTATGCTTATCTACTATAGTTTTCAAAATTTAACTAATTTGAATTTCAGACAATTTTATTTATTTTAAATAAAAATGTGACACCCCTAGGTGATGTGCAAAGTATTCTTGATGATTATAATTAGTAAGTCATACATGCAGACATTTTTAGTTTTTATTTCATAGATCACCAGCAAAGAAAACAAAAGGATGGTTATGTAATAATGACTCAGACACAAAATTCACAGTAGTTTTTTTCGATACAAGTATATTTCATTGAGTAATTAAATATCAATTTGAAAGTAACATTATTTTCATTCTATATGGTATTGATATACTAAATCACTAAATAATAATCTAGAAATTAATTTTCTATAATATTTATTCGTTATTATTAAATACAAAATAAGCGATATTTTTTCTTTCAAAAGAAATCGACTAATTAGTTAATTTATAGATTAGTTATAGGTTTCTTCTCTCGTTGATTGATTTATGAACAGGCTAAAATATTTCATAATAAATGTTTTTCCTATAAAAAGATATCGACGAGCATGAAGTTTTTATGAAAGAAATTAATCAATGGCGACTTTTTGTGATCGTTTGTTGTAATCTATCGTTTAAAAGATTTGAATTATCGAGTAGTTTAAATCCAAAGAGTATAAATCAAAATGATGCTACCATTCTTTCGATTGTTATGTGTTTTATTTTATCAGCATCTACTGCACACATTACAGGGGTGGGTGTGCGTGTAAATCTTCTCTTTAGTCACACCTACACCATGGATTGATTATATATATATAAATTTTAGTTACTCACGTATTCTCTAACTATATGGCTGGTGTGAAATTTCTTTTTCAATTAAAATTTTTAGAAAGATTGTCACAATCTCTGCAGAAACGCTTGAATTACTGATAATAGATGGGATTGACGAGATTTTTCAAAATTTAATTCGAATCAAATTTATCGTCACTAAGCCTATTATGGATTACGATCTCACGATTACATCTAGATTGCAGATGTGGGTGAAGGTGTATCGTCCCTTCACCCACACACCAATCCACAAAAAACACACTCTCATTCACCCACACCCACACACTGAACATGTCAATACTGCATAACGCACAAGCATCATTGTACAGTCGACGGTCGTCACATCAGGGTCAATTTTTATTCGCATCGAGTGTCATTGCTTTATATTGTTCTGAATTACTATGTGTATGCATAGTGAGTATGTGTTGCCAAATTTTACGCTTTATGCTCAGTGAATTTGACTGAAATTGAGATATAATGAGCAAACAGACGTAGAGAGAACAAATAAAACTCACAAGATGACCGAACATCGCTGAGTAGAATGATTGTAAGGCTGTAAACCGCCTGTAGACTAAATCATCCTTCAATGTATAAAGAGATTTCAACTGATTAAACGTGACATTAACTGCTTGGGCTACTAAACCGGTTATGTAAACATCATCGATCCACAAGAAAGGTACGTACAGGCTCATATTGTAGCTGATATAATAAATTATATTGCATATTTTAAAGAAGCAATGTTGACTTACATAGTTTTGGCCAGATCATTGGTTAGAATGAAGGCTAAAAACGAGAAGTCATTCAAACAATCCTTTTAACAGACTTACCAGAGCCACTACAGAAAGATGGAAATTTCTTGGGTGGATACTCTTTCTCTGACAAGTACCATTTTATATTTCTAAACAAGAGACAATGTGATCGAAGAAGAAAATCCAATGCTGTAGTTTACTTGTTTCTAAATACACTCACAGATTCATATATCTGACAAAATATTGAGTTATTCTGTTTCATTTGGTAGCTATCGAGAAACTTCAAATGCTTAAGAAGCGTAAATGTATTCACAATCATATCATCATCAGTTTTCAAAATATAACTTGCTTGCGAACAATAGGTCGATATCCATTTCAATGCCATCACTGCTTTATACGTTAAATTTCTGTAGGAATCGAGAAAGTCTTCTTGAACAATGTCTTGATACAAATCATTTTCGAATTTGACCGCTTGCATGATCTTGTTGTCGATCATTTGACCGAGCATGAAGACGAGGCGAATTTCTGGAAAGAGATTTCGCGTAGCCCATGTCTCGCGAATGAGAACACGACGTTGATAGTAGGCAGGAGCTGAGTGAACGTATACAATGACGTAAACATTGCCTTGACACACGTTCCAATTCGGATTGAGAATGTAGCTGAAATTGTGGGGATTGACAATGTGATCCTGGGGTATATATGGATTGATGGTAATTGAAGGGTAGCTCAAGTTGATTGTGTCGGTGTTCTCTGCGCTTTCAGCTGGCTGCATACGAAAAGCGGTGAAGGCGATGAAGATTAGTTTAGTGAACTTCATGCTTAACAGGCTATGAGAGAAAAATAGAAAAATTGATAGCATAGCTGTTCGCTTATTTTTCGTTGAATGTCAGATGGTAGAAAAAAAATACAGGGTGTGGGTGTGGATTCTTCATGCTACACATACACTGTACTAGGCTATTTCTTTCTCTTAAGAAAGACAGCACATAGAAACAATAAAGCATTGGAGAGAAAAAGTAGGCAAGAAAGATTGTTTGACAAGAGAGAACCTAGCTCGATTAAGCTTTTATTATATAAAGTGAAGAAGCTTATACTTATGATGAAATACTATTCATGATATGTATACGCATATTTTGTTTTTACACATGAAACATATTTGTTCGTCCCAGGGGCTGCCTTTACTGAAAAAGCTGGTCATTATTTTGTTACAGCTTATGAAAAGGAATCGATTCTTCTGTTAAAAATCTTTAGTAATAATTAAAAAAATAAACACTTGAGATTAAAATAGTTTTTTAAGTCTTCAATTGTAATGATCATAGATTTTTCATGGTGTATTCCCTCAACTGTAGGGAGGATCATATGAAAAAAATGCGTTTGTATCTTTGTGGCAGGTCAAAAAACATCGGTTATCGTTGATGTTATTTCTAAGCTTCTCAGTTTTTCTATGAAACTTTACTGCAGGTTTTCGGCGTCGAGGAATCCGAATCCGAAGTCAGATTTTTAAAATCTCGAAACGAATTTTCTAGAGCTTAGTATACGTTGGAAACTATTTAGGCTGCATCTAGTTTGGCCATAGATAACCGAGGTCTCAGAAGTTGTACTTCATTTTGGCTATGAGGGTTTTGTCTTTGATTTTCCTAGAAAAACAGTGGCTTCGAGATTGTGAAGAATCATACAGGAATAACTGAAAATTGTTCTGGGATGAAGCGTACCCTTAATATTATTTTCAGAAACGTTGATGATCAACTGGTTTCTAATGGGAATATTTTAAATCTATTTCATCTGGGAAGTGTTCAGTATTGAAATGGGAGTCGGCTTTCTGTTTGATGATACTTGATCTTAAGAGTGGCGATTTTTGTTTCAATGCAGGTTCTCAGAAATTGTTACGGAGCACTCTTTGTTAGAAATAGATTTAATGAATAAGTAATTTCTAGTTTCAAGTGAAGAGTTCGTGCCTGAAGAATTGGCTGTTTTCCTGAGTTTAGCAAACTGCAGTGGACTGGAGATTGTAAAATATGAGTATTGTGTGCACTGAAATAAAAAGGTATTATACGAAACTAAAACAGGGTTTCGAGATTTAAAACGAATTCTGAACCATTTTTTAGTTTCGTACAAAAAAGCTTTCGTAGTCGATGCTTTGTGTGGCGCGTAGTATGATATCGGTCAAACCTAAATACAATGTCGATTCGTTTTCTACAGAGCCCTCCCAACCCATATTCACACTTGAGAGACGCATCTGTCTTATTGAAGGCATATCTAATCCTGTATTTGTCCATTAAGAAAGGGGGGGGGGTCGTGACCCTCATCCTCCAATTTTTATCTTTACTGGATATACCCAGTCCAAGTTATAGACACCACAGGACGATTTTTTGGACTAAAACTTTGCCTCTGGGTGTGTCTAGTTTTTGATTGGTTCCCGGCATTAAGCAAAATGACAACTAAACTTTTTATACATGAACCGATAGAGAATTCCTTTCTCTATCTGATACGTGATGAACAAACTTGGATGAATAATTTGTTCATATTATTAAATAGTGAATACTTTGAGATAGACATCTACTTTTTACGCTCCAATGGCTTTCAGTTGTGTTTTCATAATTTTGACTGTACTTAAAAATAGCGTTCTACATATAATTCGATACAGCATTTCAAACTCTACAAAATGGTGTGAAAATCTTCAAGGGAAAAATTTTATTTGGTTTTGTTTTTTTAGAGAGCAAAATGTGTTGATATGCGAAATTCAATACAAACCTTAAAAAAACTGAATGTCAACACCAATAGTTACTTTTTATGCCAGATAAATATGATATATAAAATCAACATAAAAGACTAACCGACGAAGTACGATTTTCAGAGAAAAATATTTTTTCAATAAAATTTACCTGTACTCCCCTCCAGCTCATTTTCGCTTGACTTATTCCCAAGGGACGGCTACAGGTAAATTTTATTGAAAAATATTTTTCTCTGAAAATCGTACTTCGTCGGTTAGTCTTTTATGTTGATTTTATATATCATATTTATTTGGCATAAAAAGTAACTATTGGTGTTGACATTCAGTTTTTTTTTGAAGGTTTGTATTGAATTTCGCATATCAACACATTTTGCTCTCTAAAAAAACAAAACCAAATAAAATTTTTCCCTTGAAGATTTTCACACCATTTTGTAGAGTTTGAAATGCT